GGATCAGCCGCCGGATCAGCCACTATGGGGCGGGTGTGGTTATCCTCCTGATAACCCCACCTTTACGGGTAGGATAACCCTACTGTAAAGCCAAATTGAGGAATGTAAAATTGTCAACATTTCTTGTCCCCTCTAAGACCGCCACATATTTACCCCCACTTACCCCATCATTGCTTGCGAAAGGACGCGTCAATTGGCCACTGGATCGGCGGTCAGCTCCACAAGCCACACATTGCTGATCACAGTGGCGCTTCCAGCCACACTTGCATTTCTGAATGCCAGAGGCGAAACAAAACAGGTTGGAGAACCAACCGCAACTCCTTTCGCAGCTATCGCAGCCTGGACATATCGCCCTTGAAACCTGGAATTGCGCTTAAATCAGGAGAGGATGGCGGGAACCTGATTAAAACCGGGAAAAATGAGGTCAGGTGGATATCTCTCATTAGTAGTGAGTGGACGGAAAGTGAGGCATTGGTTCTCGGACCCTCGAACTGCTTCGCCATCGCAGGTAGCATGTGCGGCCGAGGGTGTATTTTTGTTGAATAATTGAGATGAGATCTGCTGGCGGGACTGTGGGGAAAATCGACAACCACGGGCGTAAGCCTCTTGGGGGATCATGAGCCAATGCGACTCGTCGGTTGTTACGTTGTGGAAGCTGAACATCGCAGCGACGAGTAATCGGCCTACATTTTGACGGACAGGGTGGCGATCGAATAACGGCGAAGTCTCATATATCGCTGGCTGCTGTACGGAGTACCGGATTTTTGCCTCCTGGTGTGCTTGCGACTCGCACTCAGGCGCGGGAGCAGCCGCATGAACCTCCAAGCGGCGGAGACCCTGCAGGGGGGGAGGGACCTAAGTGTACTCAGTAGTGTAGTGTGTGTGCTTCAGCTTTCCGGTCCGCGATGTCAACATAGAAGCAAGGAATAAAAAAGAGCAAATACTGAGCGGGAAAGACTGGCGGTCACTCCTGCACTTTGAGCTTCAGAACCCGATGCTCCCGATAAAGGCCGAACAGGGCAGGAGCTGGTCCCGGGCCAAAACCTCCGCCCCTCGACCTCCAGGCGGCACTCCGGGTTGTTTGCACCGCAACGCGAGGGGACGACGGGAGCCACGGTTGCAAAGTTCCCAACTGTTGGCTTGCATCCACGCGGATCGGGCACTCCCAGCCAGGGGTTGTGAAACAAATCCACTCTCACGCCGGTGCGGCGAGGTTTGGTGCAAGTTGGTTTTCTCGGAACTTTAGGTGTTGAGTTGGAGCCAGGTTTTTCCAGTGCGAAGGTCCGCTTCCCAGCAGGGCTGGCGCTAGTTCGGTCCCAGAAAAGCCCTGGTTGAAGATTTTCTCGTCCAGGTCCCCACCTTCCACAATGGCGGTGCGGGGGCAGGAAGGAAGTCGCAACCCAAGCTTTCTTCGATGGAGGGGCGGAAGCGCAACGCCACAACCTTGGCTCTGCTGCTGCGCAAGACAAACGTTAAATCGCCCAAAGCAGTGTGGTTCAACGTAGTAGGTCCGCAGACTTCTGAATCGGAGGCAAGAACGTCCGCTAAACGAGTCTCGATCAGCGGCGGGAAACCCCGTGCTCGGCCTTATAGGGCGGGAAGGAGGTCCCTTCTGAGCCTCCCATACATTGGCGCTATTGGATTACACGACGAGACCCAGCGTCCTAGCCGAGCACGCAAGGAGGCAAGCTGTTGGGCGGATGGTGGGGGGACAGAGCGACGTTTGTGATGCGCGGCGACTGTCTCCCAAAATTCGATTCGGTCCTTGGCGGGCTTGAGCCGGGAAATCCAGACTTGTCAGAGCCGGAAAGGTCAAGTCGCAGATGTCATCAGGTGGGGCAAAATGTTCTCAAGACACGGCGTAACGTTATAATATTCGAGTTACATAGCTATTACAGATCGGGGTGAGATTTGTGACCTTGTCGGTTAACAAATGGGAGAACATGACGCACACACGCTCTGGCAAAACATACATCCAACTACTAATCAGATCGATCCCAACGCTGGGATGTACCTCGATTAGGTACCCTCCAACGCGATGTCTGTGGCCTGGGTGTGGGACCGGAATATGAATGCCCACTGGCGGGAGACAGGCGCAAAGGGCGCTTTGCACCGCCAAGATCTTAGATCTAGGTACGTACCTTGAGTCCACCAGATTTTTATGTACCTGTATCTTCATATAAGAAAAAGGCATCAAAGTGTTCACGGGCGATGAGGCGTCCGGCCCGCAAGCGCGGGTTTGAGGCGAGGCGATCGTCGGTTTTCGGCAACCGAGCCGACAACGTTGCCCCAGGCCGGGGCAGCCGTCGGTAGGCACGGAGGGTACAGTCGATGGCTTTGGTGGGACCGAACCCATGGGAGCTCCTGGCGCGCTGTCGAAGTTGCTTATCCTCGATGGGAGTTACAGGGAAAAAATTGGGGGGTTCGTCCCAAATTCGGCGGGGACCCTTCTCTTTCCTGGCGGCTCCATACGCCCCTTGCAGCCCCAGCCTATCAGCACCTGCAGGAGGGTTATCCGCCCAGGAGCATTTGCTCCGGGCACCTGCTCGGTCTCTTGGTGCTGGGGAAGAGTAAAGAACGATTCGGAGTAGCAGCGAGTTCCGGTGCGATTTTGCTCTTCGCGTGACAGAAAGGAGAGCGAAAATGGCGGGATCGTGGACTGTTGTCAGCCCAAGCCTTCTCCCCCCCCTTCCGTGACCTTGCTTCTTGATGTGCACACCAGGCTTCCAGGTTTTGCCTCTGTCACAAGAGCTCAACGAGGCGTCCAGTGATTCGCAATTATCCGCGCCCAGCTTGCTAGTGGCAACTTCCTCGATCCAGAGGTGCCAAGTCCACGCAGTTGCCCCCAAGCTATACCCCCGGCTTATGGAGCTCTTGATCCGGATCTGGTGCTCCTTCCCCACGACGCACCACACAAGTTACCTAGCTTACTTATAACACGGGGAAAGAAGACTACCGGACATTTTGGCAGAGCAGCCACATCTATTTGACCTGGCCGTCGGGCGAACACCGAAGTGATTCTACATGCGTTCCAGCCACACTTCCGCCGCACCATCCCCCCACCGTCCCACAGCCCAACGGTCCGCCAGCGCACACGCGCTCACCCATCCACCCATACTCGCACACACAACATAGACCGCAACACATAGGGACACCATCATCTCGCACACTTGGAATCACCGCCACATGTCGTCAAACAAGCTCGGAGACCGCCATCACCACGACCGACCTCAACCCACTTACACAACCTCCATCACGCCCACCATCGGACACATCGAGCCCACGGAAAAGAAGAGCCCGCGGAACCGCCGTTGATGTGCACTGAGCATCACAGCAGTGTATGCCCAGCTTGCGGGAAAGACTATCTAGTCTATGTCGAGTTTTGCCAAGCCTTCCGGCCTCCGTTGCTGTACTGTCTCAACGGTACTATCGTGGCTCGCATAGAGATGGAACGAGGGGGGTGTCCGAGCCGAATCTGTCCCAACAGTGCCGCAGGCGGGTGCGCGTTAATGTAGTAGTGAGCGATTGGAATACGAGGATAGAGCGAAAGGGGGTAGCTGGAGGGAAGGGAGGAGGAATAGGGGGAGAAACAGCACCAGCGGTAACAGCAACCGCAGCAACAACGACAGTCTTTGATGGACTACCGTTACCACCACCACTGCCATCAGAACCATCACCGCCGCCGAACCCTTCTATCACCATCCCCACGACCACGGCCCACGGGCACCGCGGCTACGAAGCGCAAGATAACTGCACACCTCAGAGCTTCTGCCCGCCAGGCCCAATCTCAACAACCTGGTCGATCCCCTCGTACTCCGGGACTTCAAAGTCATACTTCCTAGCAATCTCTGGCGCGACAAATCTAGCTCCCGGTGCTAGTCAGCTTTGGACCACCCCTGAAAAAGAGGGAGGTACGGAGAGGAGGGTAGAATTGGGGGAAGCAAAACGAGGTTAGTTACGTACCGCCCTCCAACGAAATGGCGTCCCCGGAAGTGTTTAACGAGCGGTTTCGGTGCCGTCAGGCTAACCAAAACACTAGGGTGGAAGTCACTGCCGACACCAGATTTAGGAGGTCCGTCCTCAATATCCCAGGATGATGGCGCGTCGACCGACGTCACTGTCAGCTTGGTTTCCGACATGGCCTGGATGACGGCTGGAAATGGTTCCCGGACTTCGCCTGAGAAGCTAAATCCTGAACAACAGCAAAGTGCTTACGTTAGCCATAGCGAGTATTCGTACTAGTGCTGCTACGGGAAGGGAATTCGAAGGGAGGATAACGACAAGATGTTTAAGAAAGGGTGGAAAGAGGGGGCGCTGCGCGCACCAAATATCGCATCAACGATGTGGTCTGTTGACTGAAGGGCGGTCGGGAAGTCATCCACGAATGGAATGTTTAGATCCTCAAGTTGTTTGGCAAGTCGCTACGTACACGAATCAGCGACCTCGCCCATCACAGGAGAGGCTTGGGGGCAGCGAAGAGGGAGAAAATGGAGCGGTCAGCAGGTCTGGCCGACAGGAAGGCAACAGCAAGTACACGAAACGCTGATAACGAGCGTCCGGCTCAGTGTCTGTAGAAATCTTGACATCCGCCGTAAAGGCTAATAAAAGATAACTTCACCAGACACCCTTGCTTGCGCCGCAAAGCCAAGATTCAGGGGTTGCCCCTAACGAGTTAAAGTTTGGGATCCCGTCCTGGAGAGGCAAAACATAAGAGGCCGAGGTCAATCCATACCTGATACAAGTCGTTCTTCGGTCGTTTTGGATAGTATACGCTTGGCTGGTAGCCGTAGTGGCGGAGATGGCGGGCCGCGACCAAGCCGTCACCCCCTGAATGGTAGTGTCCCCTTGGTGAGCGCAGGCATTGACTATGACCGATTCGGCCAAAAGTAAACAAATTGCTCTCCAGCTCACCTACCATTATTGCCAGGCCCGACGGCTACCAAAACCCGCTTCCCCTTTTCGATAGGATGGACACGATAAACTAGATCATTTTAGTGAAGGGGAGGAAGAAGTAAAGGGTGGAAAATAGAGAATAAAGAGCTCCACCGCCCCTACATAAATAACTGACCTGCCTGAGAGACGGACAAGCCGGCGAGTTCCATGAGCTGATCGATGGAGAACGCGCCGGTGCTCATCAACTCTTTGTCCAACGCCGCCGCGGCCTTTGCCGAGAGTGTCTTGGTATTGGAGTGTCAGAAAGTGACGCCCTACTCGGCAACGCCCGAATTCTTTTGTCCTTCCGTCTCTAAAATCGGGATTCCGAACACCCGAACACCGTTCGAGGTCTCTTTTTACGCACCTTGAGCGCCATAGAGCTAGTTTGTTACCACTGCCCGACTCTAAAGGCGGGACCACGGGTAAAAGAAAGCCAGATTGTGGGATTTATGAAAGGGCGAGAAACTTAGGCGCAACAGTGACCAACAAAATAACCTCAGTCCCGGGCAATTGTAGTGAAAAGGAAAAGCGAGAGGAGGGGGGGATTGACATCATCGAGCAGTGGGCAGCTCGCTTGGTTGCCAACTTGCCGGTTTGGGAAGCCTTTTGACTTTGGCCAGGGCGTTTCAGAGTGTGAGCAGATTTGATTGGATGGTATGAATGCCAAGACGGGAAGGTGGGGTCAAGCGCAACTGAAATCAGGGCATGGCCCGTGCATCATGAAATTGATCTTCGAACTTTCGCGGGCTTAACGAATGTCAAAGTCCAGCAAGAAATCCAAGACAAAAAGCCACCGCCCTCACCAACCAGTGTACAGACGAAACTCCAATCTCTCTCGCCCCTCTACGGTCTCCATCGGAAAATGGTGGTGAAGATTCGGCTCGCGCGCTTCGGGCGTACGAATGCGCCCTTCTACAACATCGTTGTCGCCCATGCCCGGTACATGCCTCTCCCACGACAGAACCCCTCCTCCTCAGCCCCTCCCTGGTCCAACTCTTGAGATCGCATAGTTGGGTCGCTAATACAAACGTCTTCGTTACCAAACACAGGACCGCTCGCAACAGCCGACCTCTCGAGGTGATTGGCACCTACGACCCAATCCCCAAAACCGACCTCTACGACACCTCTGGCAAGTTGCACAAGGACATCAAGCTCGACATTACGAGAGCCAAGTACTGGGTCGGTGTGGGTGCGCAACCGACAGACACCGTGTGGCGGTTACTCTCATTGGTAAGCACCGTACTACCGAGGCGCAGTCACTGGACAGTTTGGCTTGAAGGGACAGACGAATAATGAGAACTGACGGAGGGCGGTCCATCAGGTTGGCATTCTCCCACCCAAGTATCGACCAGCAGGCGGCGAGAAAACGGACACACCAAAACCAAGTCAGAGCCAATAAAACAAGATGTTTGACATAGCACCATGGAAGGGGCACAAGGGAAGGAAACAAAAGAACATCTTGACTCCAGTCCAACACGATCTACAAGAGAGGTTACGACATATACGAAGGCATTATTGGGAAAATCCCTCGTTGGGAAAGAGCCGGGTCATTGGATGGCTGTACGATATGGATGTATGCCCGGTGAGACGAGGACAACCTTCCCGAAGCTAAACCAGGCCTGGGGCCTTGCGCCCGGCTGCAAATTCAAAGCTCCAGACTCCTCGCGTGGCAATCGTCAGTGCACGAGTAGTGCATACCAATTCCTACAAACAACATGAAAGGGGCAACGGAGGAGGAAACAAGATGTACGACGGGGTCGGAAGATGACACGAAGCCGAGGGCAACTAGTTAGAGAACGGAATGCAAAAGGAATGGGGGATGAGATATATGTAACCACATCAATTGACTGTCCAGGGCCTATTTACGTACATCTTGCGAAACAAATAACAAACCAAAACCAGATACGCCCTGCTCCGCCCCTAGACTCCGAGCTATGACCCAATATCTCCCCATTTGCCTGGCACCCACGAGATTGTCCCAACGTCTCTCAATCAACCGTACGTCTATGCCCCTTGTTTATATAACCGCAAAAATGACCAGAACCTTGCGAGCCTTACCAAATAAGGGACAGCGGTTCTCTCGTCCAACAGCCAGGCCGAGCCGGCCGCTCAATCCCATGTCCTCTTTCTCTTGTGCGTCGTCGCTCATTTCGAAAAGAAAGCGTTCGTCCCCAAACACACCACCATGACACACACACCGTACATGGACAAGCAAAGTGACAGCTTCCGCAGCAGGCCGGTGTCTAGGTGTTCCAAATCCCATCTCCACTTGCGTCTCCACCGCCAGATGCCCCGCCCCCCGCTCCCTGTCGCTTTCCCCCTCGATCGAGGTCGGCCTGATCCCGCGCTACTGCTCGCCGTCGACCGCAGGCTGGCGACACTAGGCGCCAGCAACCCCGAGCCAACAACCGCCTCATCATCCTCATCCTCATCGTTCGCATCACGATCGTCCTGGACATCCAGCCCGGCATCATCGTCCTCCTTGGAAAGGCGTTGGTGGTAGGTACTATCCGGATCACTAATCTTGTAGTAAAACAGGCCCGGGAGAATAAACGAGATAGCCGTGGACCCCGTGCTTCCAACATATGCCAACACACGATCCAGTGTGCTAACATGCAGGGCTGTGACATAGCTCAGCACGAGGATCGTGCTGGTGATGAGGGCGAAACGCATCTCTGACATGGCTGCGGCGGGACTACCATGGCTGTCGAGGGCAGGCGGTGACGGCGCAGCGGGGCTGCTAGAAGAAGGCAGCAAAGGTTGATGGCCACTGGCCGGACCCGTAGCACGGGATGGGCTAGTGGATCGCGAGTTGTTGCCAGGGCGCCAGCGGAGCACAGCATCGATCGAGGCGCGACAAGGATGGATTTGAAGTGGAATGCTGAATGTCACAAGCGCAACGATGGCTGCCTTGGCGATAGTCGAGGCGATGGAAGGGGGGTCTAGGACGTTGCGTTAGGGGGACGAAACGAGCTGAGAAGGGGCAAGGAGGCCACTTACACATGCCAACAATGTTCCCTTTGACCGCGTTACCAAAAGTAAGATAGCCAGTGATAGCGACTAGGATGTAGACCGATGCCGCGGAGCCAATGCTCGAGACAATGACACCCACGATGCTGCCCGGGGAGTTATCCTTGATCTCGTTCACAATCGAGAACATCTGAGACAAACGGTTAGCAATCTAGCATCTGTGGGCAGGAAAACCGGTATCCTACATTCTGGTGGCACGTGTAGGCAAAGATGACAACCGGTAACGTCCTCAACGCAGCAGCCGGGCCCTCCCATGTGATAATGCGAATATCCCGATCATTCGGAATTTCGTCGGCGGCAAAGTGATACACCACCAGCAGGATCAAGTACCCAATGGCGAGAAGCGCCACCATGCTCGTGTACTTGAGCGAGTCTAACCTCTTGGGAAAACTCAGCGGGATAATGAAGAGCACAAAGAAGACCGTGATCCAAAACCGGCGATCATCCAAAAACGACAGCCCCGAGTCGATACTCCCAAACGCCTCGGCAACCCCAGGCATCAGGTCTCCAATGATGATCATGTAGGAAACGCCCACCCCGAAGCACTTTATTGCAATGGCAGCATCAAACACAACGGCGGCGTTCGGGTAGGTAATCTGGGACAGCGCGAAAAAGGACGACGTGCCCCTGTCGAGGTACCGAGCGCAGCGGCCCTGAAGGTACAGGCCAAAAGCCGAGGTGAGGCCACACCACACAATCAACAGCACGCCTAGCATGACACCGAAGTGGGACATGGCTGCGGGCATGGCGAGGGTTCCGGCACCGACAACTGAAGAGGTGTGTTAGGGCATATAATATCTTCTGGTTTTCCTGTTTATTCCTCCTCGACACGAAACGTACTGGTGTTCAGAAGGTTGATGTTGCTGCTCAGCATGGAGGCGTGGCCGCCCCCAAGCTTAGGGTTGCGGGATCGGCGTGGACTAAAGTCAAATGTCCCGTCAGCTCTGGTATCTCCCTCCGTATCTCATTCACTCTAAGTGGAAAAGCATACTGCGCCATGTCTTCGCCGCTGGCCTCTTCCGTCGCCGTGCCAGACCCTACAGTTTGGTACCCCGTCATCGAGCCCTCTTGTGGGCTCCGTAGGCGGCCGGAAATCTACGGATGTGGAGAAAGAGGAGGGGACCGGAGGGATGGGGAACTCAGGTCGCTTCGATCCGCTTCTTTATACACCGATGGTTACCGCCATGGACAAACAACCTGCCTTCCCCTGATGGCGAATACCCAAAGAGGCAGGAAGAGTCGAGTCGGTCGATCGATCGCCGCGGTCGTGGTGCACCGAGTATCCAAGCGAGCGTCAGGTGCTGGACGGGCAGTCGTATCGAGGGCGCCAAAAGGCTATTTCAGAGGTGTTTGAATTGGGTCGTGCTGTAGATGTACACGTGTAGATAGAGGCCGTTGGGAAATGGTTCGATCGCACAATGCAATTCCCAATTCTTTGGTGCTGATTGCAAGATTGGGGACTCCTGGCCAGATGAGGCGTGTCCCGGGCCAAGACAGAAGTGGGGCTTACTAGCCCAACTCGGAATAATGCCCCACTCTTCCCCTGCAGCTTGGCATGGGTTTCCCACCTGAACAAGGAACCTGTTCAACCTGTTCCTCAAAGTTCTGCGCACTGTATCCTGCACCCTCTCCACTTATTAAATACTTAGTGCGAATTCCCAATTCACACGGTCTCTCTTCTCCCACCACACAACCCCAACCAAGCCGACACTTACACCAGAAAAGATGAAGACCTGCCGGTATAATGGCTGCGTTGTGGTCGCTGAGGATGAAGGCTCTCTGAAGTGAGTTTAACCACGTGGCAATCGTCCAATTCCCTTAGCGGTGTCCCTAATCTTTTGTGCAGGGAGCATGTTCAGTCCACCCACCAGCCAAACCCGCAAGAACCCCAGGAACTGGTCTGTAATGAGTGTGGAAAAGTCCTGAGCACTCACAAAAGCTTAAAAAGACACATGAATGGTCACGCCCATCCAAACGAATTCCGTTGCCCTTTTCCCGAATGTGTGGAACTGGGATACGATCGGGGAGACAAATTGGGAAACCACATAGTGTCAAAGCATATGCAAGAAATCTGTGAAGCTGTTCCATTCTGTACGTGCCAACCTGTGCTCATGGAAAGCACAAATCTTCCTCGCGGGCAGTTACTTACGTTAACCCATATAGATCGCCGCCACCAGGGTGTAGCGAACATGAACCAGCCTATCAACCAGCCTATCCACCAAGTCCCAGGTATCTATGCTGGCCAAACAGTCCACCGCCACTGGGGTGCACAATCCGCCAACAAACCTGCCGATCAGCTGGCTAATAGGCCCGGCCTTAATGCCGCGAGCATTCCTGGCTACTCACATGCTCACAAACACATCAACCAAGACCTGGGTACCCGTCAAGCGTTCAACAACTTCCTTGAGGCCCAAGTTCAAGTAGGCCCTCGTTGCATGGAGTTCCCTGAGGAGGGTGATCAGCCTGACAGTAACTTGGCTGGATTGGGCTGTGAGGGGCTTGGATCGCAAGGGGGGCATTATTCACGAAGGGCACATGGTTCGCGAAGGGGGTATCTTCGCGAGAGGGGGTCATGGTCCGTGATTAGGAAAAAGGTATCTGGGAAGCATGGGCATGAGGTACAACAACGCACCTAGCTTAGAGAAATGCATCACGTGTGATCGAGCACCTTCCTTGTAAAGATTCATCTCCACCTTACATATTGACTTATCATCCTATGGTCTTTATTTTCTGATTCTGCTTGCACCAATTATGATGATGTTTATAATCAAAGCCAGGCATGATGTGATAAGGACGATGTTAGTCAATCAGGATCAACCAATTGCTTGAGTATCGAAATGCTTGGCTTTCTACTTTATTATAATTAAATTCGATTCCCAGGTAAAATCAACCAGTATCCCAAAGCTCCTAATACCACATAAACGCTGCCACTGCCGGGTATACGAGCTCGAATTAATGATGCACAATCACTCCCAGCTGCTAGTTTATGGAACGACTACGAAGTGCGCTCATGTCAAAGGCCTTTTCTTTTTCCACTGGATAGTTTCTAGGAAATTAGACAAACCATCGAGTTTGCTAAGTAGGTGACGCCGTCCATCTTTTCATCTAAAATTGATTCTAAAGATTTGGGGTATGGGAAGAAGTGACTGAGAAATAAAAAATTCAGGAAGAGACAAGACGCAAGATCACATTCTCACCGAGCGGCTATATCATATATTTCCTTGATATACCACTAGCTTGCTACTGCTCCCATCAACTTGCCTCACAGCAAACCGGCCTTGAGTCCTTACAGTCTTCTAGACCCTCTCTGCTCTCACAGATTCCCCATCTATCCTCAGCGGGTAGCTGCATTATCCCCTTGCTCCCCGTTCTCTTGATCGGCCGGCAGTTCACCGGCAGAGCTATCGCCGATCTCAGTTGCACCTGTGTACATGTCCAGTATCTGGTCAGCAAAGGCCTACACGTTGTCTTGCAGAAATTCATATGCTGTTCAAAGTTCTTTTTCTTCTTTTTTTTCCCTTTTATTCCTTGTGCAATTACCATTCTTTGGTATTTTCATTCTCACATCAATGCCATTTCAGATATCTCTCCCATTTGTGTCTTTCCGAGGTTGAAGCTTGGATGATACTAACCGGAAGCAATAAGTTCTTTCAGGCGTCCTTCATGGGCACCTACAACATGGGTGCCGTACTGATCTCTTCGAAAAAACCCTCGGTTGCAAAAAGGGCAACGATACCGGTTCGGGTCCTCATGCCGAACCCTGTGTGTACGCAGGGTCGAGGGACTCTTGGTCTTCGTCCCACAATCTTGGCACGCCAGCTTGTTATGCTGGTGTGCGACCTGGACATGTGCGCTGCAACGCGAGTGTCAGTGCGAAGAAGTGGTGCACGGTTCCTGTCCCAATTGGGAAATCTTTCAAGGTCGGGTCAATACTTACGACAACGAAACGTTATCTTCAGCTTCCTCGCCGCAATCGGGGTATTTACACTTGAGAGGCATTGTTCTGTTGCGGATTTGGTATATGCCAGAGTAGGTAATCTTCGAACGGGTGTTAAAATGCGATGTTCGTCCGCAGCGGATGGGAGGTCGTTGGGATTCGCGTGCCAAAGGTGATGACCGCATTAGGTGGATAATGAACGCTTTCACCTAACCGCATAAGGCTCACTGTTCCCTGCTTGGTTGAATCCTCCTCCAATTTCTCAATTCTTCCATAGTCACCTGAGTGTAAACCTTCCAGCCCGCACAAGTTAGGTCGGTACCTACCTGATTGTTCTTTGTTTTGATTGGCCCCACATTGACACAATTACCCAATTCAGGTGTTCAGACATATCACTCCTCGAAAGCTGCTCCACCCAACTTTCCCACGCGACAACCTAGCATTAAAGGACAAAACACAATCCAGCAATTGACCGCAAATCGCTTATATCATGGACAATACTCTCGACCAGACAACACTTGGGACCATCTCCTTGCTGGAGTCGCGCGTCCAGCGGATTGAGCATATTATCTATGGCTCGGCCGGCCCAACAACGCATCAACCACAGGACTCCGCCGTGAGGTCCCTTGCTGAACTTGAGCGCCGCTTCAACCAGCTCCAGCGCCACTTTCGCGTCTATCGCGAGATCCTACAAATATGTACGCCTACAGCATCCACCACTCCCATCTCCCACCACTGTATTTTACCAATCGGTCCATTAACCTGATCTGTCCACTTCCCAATAGACGAATCCCACCCTTCTCTTTTCCAAGGCGCCTCCGCGACGACCTCCCCCAACGCCCTCCCGCCCACCCAACTCTCCCCCGAAGCCGTGTGCGAGACCGTCCTCGCGTACGCCACCGCCTTCCCCACTATCGCCTCCTCCTTAACCGCCGCGACCGCCGACACGCCGATTCCCGACGCGAAGCAGAGCGCCGACCTGGCCGTCCTAGGCCCTCGCATGCGCGGCATCGAGGCCCTGCAGCACGCGCAAGCTGCCGAGATGTCAGAGCTGAGGATACGCAGTGAGAAGGCGGTGCGTGCGTGGTACGAGGGTGGAGTGTTGAGCTATGGGGCCACGCTCGCGAAAATGGAAGGGAGACTAGAGCAGGTGGATCGCGGGATAAGGCGTGTGGAGAGGAGGCGGACGGAAGGGGAGAAGGTGTGACGTGGTTTTTTGGGATTTTTTCTGGGTTTGAAGCTTTTTTACAAAATTATGGGACAAGCACAATGAGTTGCAGTGACGGGACCAGACCAAGGAACCAACGAGGCTTATGGATGATGGACGGCGAACGGGCACAACAGCACCTTGGTTCCGGGTACTGATGGTCCCGGGCGTGAAGCCTATGACGAATGTCCAGACGGTGATACGTTTGAGGGCGTTGTCCAGCAGCTAAGTTGGGATGGGTTTTGGGAGGAGAATCGTCATGGATACCACACCGAACTACCCAAGCCGCGACATCGTCATACACCGCCTCGCGCTCCGAGAAGCCTTGGAATTGGCAATCTATCGTTCATTGCGGTGTCGTCAGGCTGGGTATTCCGGGTTAGATGGCAAGGAACCCGGAGCTTCTAAGCAGTCGAGGGGCTGGGATGGTGATCCTCGGGACGCACTACACCAATTCCTGTAATTCTTATGATGCCGTCGAGGCCCGGAGAGCGGCAGCATGGCACACCCCCCTCGACGCCGGCATTGAGAGACGGATCCGTTTTCAAGACCTACGAATTGTTACCTGACATGGAAGTACAAGCTGTCGGCTCAGTAAGCCGGATTATAAACTGTGCTTGATGATATCTACAATATATAGTGTGCTCCCTAACCGTTTTATGCTTTGTAGCCGTGGCCTCGGGGTAGACGCCTGAACCTTTCTCAAATTTGTCAAACGCCGGCCGTCGAACCGCCATGGTAGATAGATACTTGGTCAAGGTTAACCCCGAGCTGTTGAGCTGTTGTCAAGCGGGACGAGTTTAGTTGTAAAGTGTGTAATTAGGTAGGGGCAATGAACGTTAACTAGGTAACTACATACTACCTAGTATTGCAGTGATACGTGGACGGGATTTACCATGTAAGTGTATCGGTGAAGCTCAGGTCTAACGGAATTTGACGAATGGAATACGTAACGGGAAACTGGCGAAAAAAAGGAGATTCTTTTCTTGTGTTTCGTATGGATCTGTAATTACCACATCGCGCTGATGAAAGCGGCTGCGCCACTGATATTGCCTACACGGCCTAGTTATTGCTCTTTCTAATAATTGATCCTTCTAATTTCTTCAAGGCTCTCTTGATAATGGTCCAAGTTAAGGGGTTTGGACGGACAAGAGTAGGCGACCTAGTAGAAACGGTTTTCCCCCTTTTAGGAAGACCAACCCACCGGAATGCTTTACTTTCATCGGACGATGGCACAGGATTATGCGTACCGGCTTCAGGTTTCCTTTTCCCCAAACAGACATGCCTTAGTTCTGACTGCTGGTCCTAGCAACGCGCTTGTCTCGGGTCGCGGGGATTGCGGCCGGCCAGTGGCCGTGACCAACGCGACCTGCGGGCCGGTGGTCGTTCCCGTCACGGCGTTCCAAGGGTAGGTATATATCAGATTCTGAACCGCACCCAGCACCCAACGTCACGGTGAGAAATGTGACGATGTGGGGGCCGGTGAACGGGAGCTCTGTGCTATGTAATGCTGTCTGTGTAAGTACCGTTTGGAGAGAAACCGTTGCGGTGCGGGTACTTGCGGCGATATAGGTAGATATGTTGGCGCTTGCGCTTGCGGATGCGGATGCGGATGCGGACTAGACACCCAGACATGCCGCCTTTTAACTCCTCGTCTTCGCCGACAAAAAGAAGACTACGGCAGGACGCAGAATACGGCAGGATTACGGATACTGGGACGCTCGTTGAGGTCCTGCAGTTTTCCGAATTATGCATGATTGATGGCACCCGGCGGTTTAATTTAGGAACACTCTAGGCAATCTAGGCTGCGAGGGGTCTTCAGCCAAGGATATGCCAAATCTTGCCTCCGAGTGGGTGATGAATTCACTCACATAGTGCTTTGCAGTCGGATTCGGCCTCGTCAATAACTAGCTTCCTTGAGATTTGGTGGGGAGTGTCTTGAATTATGCCAAGACGTCGACTGCATGCAAGAGGGGGTCTGTTGTGTGTCGATCGATTCGATAAAGTTGTCCGCGATCAGCTCTCCCGAACGAAGGCCTGTTATGGCCGATACACACACCACATCCGCAAATAATTCCCCGCCTTGTTTGTTACACTAGTTAGTCGTAGTCTTTATTTGGGTGCTCCCCACAGTCTCTAATGGACGTGAGCGTTACGAAACAGTCGACCGCCAGCCTACCTACCTTAGTTGAGGCTTGCCTCGGCATCAATCGAGCATAAGTCGACATAGTTGTGTCAAAAATGAGCACGACCACCGCATGCAGCACTGACAACTACCCCTTTCTCCTTGAAGATCGCGCGATGCCCGTGTCACCTGTCGACCGAGCTCCTCGGGACGGTGTTTCGAGAACAACGCGACAACCCCATCTCCAGTCAGTTGGCGCGATTCGGTGGAGCCTGTGCAACTTTGAAACAGCTAAGCGAAGGTCATGTCGACGGGATTCCGCCCGCCAAGGATCCAGGGGCCAGGGTCGGAGCAAGGGTAAGGGGCAACCGCCAGGAACGGAACAAACCACGCAAGGTCGGGTGGATTTCAACCCAATCAAGGACAGCACTCGCGGCGGTTTGCTAGCAATATGCAACCGCGGCAGCGAACGAAATCCTGTGGGGTGCCAGTCATTTCAAACTTTTGGGTGCAGTCGCAGGGACTTCATCAGACCGAAAGGCTCTCATCGAAAAGCGCATCCATCGGTCCCTGTTTCAGTATCAGTTCGCTGTAGTGCGTTGTTTCGACCTCGCGTTGCGCATGTTCCGATGGTAGGTTTTCCACGGATGTGATGTTGGCCGCTTGCGCCCGTGAGCGAGCTGTCAACGGCCGTGTTTCTTGTTTGCTTGTCTTTCTCGCCTCCACAACCCGCTTCAAATCCCGGCCGCCACGAATTGAGACATTGCGCTGCGCTCCGCGCTGAACAGATGGCGACCACGGACAAGAACGAGCTACCCTCCGCATAGCAAGATTCATTTTTTGCCCCAAGCCAGCCGCTCTCAGGCAGCCGGGATGCAGGCTTCCAGGCAGTGCTTGCTGACATGGAGGTACGGACTTGCACCAGCAGGGTCGCGAGGTGGTATTTGTTCATTTGGTTGCAAGATTCGAGATTCGCATCGGTGCTTGGGAAAGAGAAGAAAATGAACAAAAATGGGGAAGCCTCAGAAATTCCCCGTCTGCCCTCTAGTACTGGATGAAAATGCACCGGCAAGAATGGAGCGAGTTGCACATTGTAACCTGCAACTTCGAGCGACGGGTTGGATTATCTGTTGTCACACAGCTTGAACTCGTGGGCGTCGCCCAGGTCCAGCCAACAGTGAGGCTTGGCTCCAGGGGCACAGCAGGCGAGACCACGCACGATCCACCCCCTCCTCAGTTTTGCAGATAGGTTGGTCCCATCGTATCCGCCTTCCACCCTGGCTCCCTGGCCTCGGCCACTCAGGTCCTCCCGTTCTTCCCGCTGCGTTGCGCAGCCCCAGTCGCTCTCGGCCTGGCTCTGCGTGCCTCCCTCCCTTCCATCTCGCATTAACCCATTTTACCACCCGCCTGCCTCCTCTTTCCACGGCATTTTTTTTGACTCTTTCGCTTCTTCTCGACGCCTTCCTTTCGCAACGCTGGCACGCCCAACTCCGCCAACGCCAAATTCGGTATCTCCCCTTTTCCTCGACACAACGCGTTCGCATCGATCGATTTGAAGCACGCTGGCGGGCACTGCGGTTGCGACATAGTAGGAAAAAAGGATAAGGGGAAAACATAGGAAACGGAGCAAGCGGTCTATTTTCCGGAAGCCAACAGAGCCAACTTGACGAGGGTCTGGGCATTAGCAGCTATTTTGGACCGACGAACAAACAACGCTTCTAGATACCTTCCAGGAAGCCCCTGGCCTCACCCGTTTTCGTCGGCCTCAATTTCTGCACTCATTCACCACGTTCGTTCGTTTGGGTGGCGCTTTTTTCTTCTTCGACATCATTCGCTTGGCACCGTCGCCGTCGGTTCTTACCCGCGTAACCAAGGCGATCGATCAACACTAGGCCTCAGGAAGCCGCAAAGTTCTCACAGCATCGATCCGAACACTGCGCTCGACCCAGCCCCACCGGACACGTACCGGTCCCCTACAGCGTGCCCCTGAGTTAACAACGCAACGTCCCTAAGCGCCGCCCCTCTATCGGACGACTTGGCTACGTTGCATACACGCCGAGAAGCTCTGCGTCCGTGAATACCGAGCTGCGATTGATATCAGACTGCCGCTACTTCCCGGCCTGTCAACCCCCAAAATCCCGGACTTATGCCTGGTTACGGCTCGGTCCGCTCGCCGTCACTCATGAAAATGGAATACTCTCGGCCCCAACAATATGGTCGCAAACGAATGAGTCTCGGGAATATCGTCGGTGACCCGTTCGCTCTCGCGACCATCTCGATTGCCACGGTGTGTATTTTTGGTTTGGCTAACCCCCCCATTTGGATATCGGTCGCTAATTCACTCGGCGCTAGCTTGCATGGTTCATTTCCTTCATTACCACAATCCTCGCGCACGTCCAGGACCCCACGGGATTTCCACTCTACACGTATTGGTCGTTGGTGTTTTTCCTCGCACTGATCATTGGAATCTTCATTGTGGTCGCCTCGGATAGTACACAAACGTACCATGTTGCGATTGTCGGCTACCTTGGCTGCGGTCTGGTACTTTCGACGTCATCCGTCAACGGTCTGATTCACAATAGCCAAGGTGCCATGGAAGCGTCGGCCGCTGGCTTCATCTTGTTGTCCATGGTTACAGTACGTTTTCATGCCCGCGACGGACCTGAGATTTTGACTAATTGCCCTGATAGATTGTCTGGATCTTTTACTTCGGGTCCGCTCCCTCGGCCGTACCCCGCGCCTACATTGATTCATTTGCCCTGGCCAAGGAGTCGACGTCTACAAACCGGCAAACCATGAATGCCGGCTACGGCACGCGCCGCCCTGAGACCTCAACGTCGGTGCAACCCCCGCAGATGTACACCGCCCAGCTGAATGGCCTCGAGAACCCATCGCCCGTCGGGGGTATGACGTCCACGATGCGCAACTCGGCCAACCCTCCACCTTTCACCGCGGCGCCTGTCCAGAAGGCATCCCCTCCGCCAGCTGCCACCCAAGACGCTGAGATCGTGCCACCGACTGAATACCCATATCGGGCAAAGGCCATTTACAGCTACGAGGCGAACCCCGAGGACGCCAACGAGATCTCTTTCTCCAAGCATGAGATCCTCGAGGTTAGCGACGTCAGCGGCAGGTGGTGGCAAGCACGGAAGGAGAACAACGAGACAGGTATCGCGCCCAGCAATTACCTCATCTTGTTATAGTCTCTTCCAGGGGTCACGAAGGCGTTTTACGGAAATGGGAGCCGTTCTGAGACAGTGATAGCGCCAGAGCAGAACACATGATACCATCGGGATGATTTTCTCTTCATTTTCTTTTCCGCGCGTCTGGACGACGTTTTTTTATATACCCCACTGCCCGACCAACCAAGCCTAGCATCTGAAGATGTACGGCCAGGTCCGCCACACTCGCCTACCTGGGAAGCGGAGTGCCTCGGGGACACGGCATGACCCACTTCGTCGTATGTGGCCGACGAAGGAATACGGTCTATAGACTCAGGTAGGGCGAGAGGGAAATCGGTGCTGCGACGCGCGCCTTGCCGTTGTTTTCGTGTTGGGGATGTATGGACTTGAATTGGCCTGGAACGCGTTGGATGAGGTTTAAAACTGTGTGGTTGTTCTGGGCCGGGCTGTGGGAATGGGGGGTCTAACTGGCTTTGGCTTGGCAGGGGTTTTTCTTGCCCTTTATTTTTTGTGGTCCTTTTGTTTTGCCGGCTCTGTCATTTTTTTACCGTGTTCTTCTACTTCTTGTCACAGAGCCGCTTCTTACTAGGCTGCTGTTGATCTCCCCATGTACCATTTGTGTATGTCACGTTATCCGAGTCCGTGGTTCCCCGCCGGAATACAAACTATTCTCTGATTTTGCAGTCCCATATCCCGCCCTGTTAAAACCGCTTGCTTCTATCCGATTACTGTCTGCTGCTAGTGCGTGGTCTGGTCCGATGACTGACTCGCCGTGCTGCGCATACTTTCTATGATCCCACCATCTCCTGGCCCGCAGGTAAACCCACAATGTCCCAGCTCCCGGGAATACGGGATAGGGCGGCCTCCATCCCCCTTCATCCCCCACCGTAACGGGTGTCATGCTTGATTTGGCCAGCGGGTGCCTTCTCGTCCGGCAATGTCGGTCTGACCCCGTATTCCCTTGCTCGCGCGCAAGTGCGGGGCAGACTGTCAACCTCTGTCGCGAGGTTTGAGGTTTTGGCCGCTTTACTAATGCCACCCCTCCTTCAAGACCTGTATGTCGGGCTCAGCAGACCCTTGTGGTCGGATGGCTATCCTCGAAGGGGTGGTCACCAATAGTCAGCCGCCCGTTGCAATACCGTGAGCTCGCATTCCGAGCTCCGCGTTCGCTATCGGCAATCGTTTAGCCTTCTCTATCCTCTTGTTCCCAGGCAGATTCGCGGACCTGTCTGCCCCTCATGCCTGCTCCAACCGCATCCTCAGTTCCCTCTCTTTCTGCGCCACCTCCAATTCCAACCTCTCCACGCTGTACTGCAATGCCTCCTTTCGCTGGCGGACAACTTTAGCACGCAGAGCGGCCCCGCCATCCAGTGGCTTACCCCGTCCCTTCATCCTAGCAGACGCAGACGCAGAAGCAGACGCCGAGGCGGCGGTACCCCGTATTTTCCCTTTCGATCCACTCCCATAGCCACCCCCTTGTTCGTCTTCCTCGCCTGGGGCCGGGTAGTGTGATAGACGGCCGGCGTTGAGTTCGGCACGGGCTTTGAGGGTCTCGATGCGGCGGGCTTGCCGCTCGAGGTGTTTGTCGGCGCGGTTGAGGAGGAGGGCGACGAAGGGGCCGATCTCGTCGCGCAGGGAGGATTCGGCGGCAGCAAGGGTGGGTTGGGGGATCAGTTCGTAGTGCTGTGGTGTTGGGGGGTGGTTAGTGGTCTGCCGGTGGTGGATTCGGTGGGGTTGACGGAATGCGGGGCTGGTGTTATGTTGAGACAGGGGCGAGAAATGGGGAATGGGCTGGCTGTCAGTCGAAGGGGTGGTGAACGGGAAGTATAGCATACGCGGACTGTCTTGAGAACGGAGGAGAGGCGGGGGAAGTCTTGTACGCCTGCGTCCAGGGTCGCCACGGAAGACTCGAGGAATGAGAGCGAGGTGCGCAGGGACGCGACACAGTCGCCATAGGTGGGCGAGGAGCTTTGGAAAGCCATCGTGCCGAGGTATCGGCCAGAGGTTTGAATCAGAGTTGTCGGGGCCTGGCTTTTTCTCCTTTTAAGACAAGGGAATGACTAGTGTACCTATGTATTTGAGAGGGGACGTTGAGGTGGGTTTGTTGACTGCTCAAGCTTGTTTTGGGTGTTGCTTGGCCCACCCATTAGCCTCGGGCCCTTCTGATTGGGTAAAACTCATGCCATGTCAACAACCTCGACAACCAGTTCCCTTCAGACCTTTCAACGACGAGGAACTAAGAGGATGACTAGGGAGGAGAAGAACAAATGGGGGTGTGGAAGCTTAAGTCGAGCGTCTAGGAGATTTGATGGTCTTTAAACCCTCTGGCTTTCAACGAGCCTCTTCGGGGCTAAAGTTCTCCTTGCATCCTTGCACAAGGCACATTTGACAGCAAACAAGTTCACTCCCGCCTCTTTTCACCCAACACCCCCTGCAAACAAACTGCAGAGTATACGAATAAAATGGCGGGCTTTGCATGTGTGTTGGTTGAGCCGCAGCACTCCTTCTTTCTGCCCGACTGCCTCCCAAAGATTATGACTCCGCTCAAGCTATTTTACATCCATGCTTCGTCACTGCTCTCTCCTGTTCAAGGCGAGTGTATGATACCAGTCACCCTTTACATTTCGAAATTTACTTGTCTTACTCAACTATTGCAGCGCGCTCGATTCCACAGCAGGCTTCCTACCGTCTTAATGGCCTCAAAGGTCTCAGTGGTCGGCAATCCAAAGTCGAGGTTCTGGTTATTCCATCTGGACCATGGCTTCGACTTGACGCATCCATCGTCGCCTGATCAGGCTCCCTCGGGTCGGCGCATCAAGCTTCCGACAACCACAATGCCCGTGACCGTCGCCCCCGAGAAGAAGGCTCTGGTTATCATCGATATGCAGAACATTTTCCTGTCACCTACCATGTTTGGAAAGGTCCGCGGTGAGGGCCACGAGGCCGAGGATACACTCCTGCGTACGGGCATCCCAGCTGCGCGCAATGCCGGCATCCAGATTGTCCATGTTACGTGGGGTATTTCTGAGAAGGAGTTGCACGTGTTGCCGCCCATAATCTTCCGCATCTTCCGCTTTTCTGAGACCGAAAATGACGAACCCGGCGGCATGAAGGAAGTCGAGTCGGATCTGGGTGTTGGGGTTGATTACGGCGATGTCAAGCTGCCGAGCGGGTCGACTGTATCTGCGGGCCGGCTGCTCATGCGCGACCAGTGGAACACAGCACTCCACAATCCGCTACAGCAGGAGTTCGATAAGTCCCAGACGACAGCCCTGCCCGACGTCCGATTTCACAAGAGCAGGCTATCAGGTTTCTGGGGAGGCACGACGCCATGCATTGAGTATTTGAAGGAGAAGGGGATAACCACCCTGCTGTTTGCTGGCGTCAACACTGATCAATGCGTCCTCGCATCCCTCCAGGACGCATGCAACGTCGGGTTCGATACTATTCTCCTCAGAGATGGCTGTGGCACTATAAGCCCCGAATACGCCACCAAGATGGTCGAGCTCAACTGCCGCAAGTCGTGGGTATTTATGTCTTCGTGCTATGGATTGGAGAATGGGGTTAAGAGCATGGAGACGCTGTAGTAACGGGGTCATCTCTGTCGCGAAAGTTATCTCCCTTAGGGACGGTTGAGGTATGTAAGCCGGTGGCACAAACAAACAAAGAGAACTGGTCTTTCACTGTCACCTTCATTGTGTTGTATTCTAGCAGCGAGTACAGGAAGCATGCTCGATCGTGCCCCCGCATTGTAGCTAACAAGCGACAATTCACTGTTCCCTCGCAATTGGCTCTCAACCGACCACTCAACTACCGAGATGGATTATTCATTCCTTGGACTTGCTATTTCCCAGACTTTCGGTTCCAGAGCTCTTGTTGCTGTTCCTATGCGCGGGTATTCTAGCCTTAATCTAAAGATAGAGTTGACCTCCGAGAAGAACATCCAGTTTTCTATATATTAGACACTTGCTCTGATCTACTTTAGTTGAGGAAAACCCCTGATGTGAAGCAGCGAGTGTGTTGTTGTTATGAGGGCTCAGGATGAGGGCTCGTATCAAAGGATGACGGATATAGACACAATAATCCATCTTCTTTAGCCTCAAGGTCCTTGGTACCTCGAACCTTCCAGTTAGGTAGAACCATAGCCCTCTCATGTACCCTGAGGTGTTGCCCAATGGGGAAATAAAGTAGCGGATGGAGTTAACACCAAAAAAGTTGGTTATGAAGCAGGAACTGTGGTTTCAGAGTTTTTATGTGATTTCGCCAACACCGCCTCTTCATTGCCATGTAACTTGCTCGGCATACTCCGTAGTGTAGACGAACCGTGGTGCTTCCTCTCCCTCGATGGGTTCAGAGTTCTGGGGCGCAGTTTTCGAGATCGGAAAAGGGCAAGGTGAGATCTTGGGAAAGTGGGCTGCGCCTCGGGGACCGCGAGTGGGGAAAACGCTCCGCCAACGGGGGGCGTGACCCTACGAAATCAATCTTGTACAAATGGCCCCTCATCCGCCACCTCGTCGTCCTTTCTCCTTTTCCCTTCCCCATCACCATTTGTTGCATCGGAGCAACAGTCCTTGCCTACCCGCAAACTTCTCAGGCTTTTGGCCTCTGTCTTAAGGGGCCGCCCCCTTAATCCTGCAAGAATGGTCGCTGCAGTCGTCACTGGAATATGCTGCTCTCGTCTCTCTTCCATCTTCTACCAGCCCCAGATACGCGCCTAGTTGCGACGACTCTCTGCAGCCAAGTCTCAGCAGTTACGAATACAGTTATGATTTCGTGAACCCCCTCACCTGGGAGGACGCCGCAGCCAGCGCCTTCGACACGGGCACGGGCACGATCGTCCAGCCCGTCGATACTGGCGCTTTAACCACCGTCGCAACCGCCGCAGGGGCAGACCTACACTCCAACTTCTCGTCGTCGCCCGAACTCGACTTTGACCTCGCACCTTGTTTCGACACCGCTTTCACCACCCCACTCTTTGACTATTCTACGTCTTCCTCCACTACTTCTTTCCACCCGGCCACAACAACATCGGCATCGGGCGGGTCATCGCTTCTGACAGCCCTCCCAACGCCCGGGGCCCTTGGCGTAAGCTCAGCAACAAGCCTCGGCTCGACCACCGCCTCTCTCACCAACACACCCGCTACCACCACCACCTCTGACTTCCAACTTTCACCTTCCCCCGCTTCGCAGCCTAGCCCTCCCCCCGAGGGTGGCACACTCATCCCGGGTCTCAAGTTGCCGTCGCAACGTACCAAGACGTCGTCTTCCCGGCCGGGACGTCGGCCAGGCCCCCGTCCCGGCGCTTCGCTCTCGCGGACTGCCAACGGACGGATTGCCAAGCACGGCCACGGTGCCGCCGTTAATGTAGCAGCTACACCCACCGCTGTTTCAGCAGCAGCCGTGGCAGCCTCGGCCGTAGTAACATCTGTATCTGCCGGCACCGGCGCCGCTGCTCTTGAGGGCGACGACGTCGACGCGGATACACTTGACCGGCGATACCGCAACAACCTTGCGGCGAAGCGGTACCGGCAAAAGAAGATTGACCGGATTGAGGAGCTGGAGAAGGAGGTGAAAGATGTGAAGGAGGAGCGGGATGATTTGCGGATCCGGCTGGCTAGGCAGGAAGCCGAGGTGGCAGCACTGAGGGAAATGATGAAGATGATGAGGAATGGAAACGGAAGTGGGAGTGATGGTGGATCTAAGGATTGAAGTTTTAAAAAGTTCCTCTTCGAGTTTAACTAGTTGTAGTGGGAGAGTCTTTGGTAGTTTTGATAGATTAGGGCCGAGTTAATACATTACTATGTAATCGTCTGACTATTTGTGTCTCGTTTATTAATCTACAACTCTGCGAGTGCCGAGTATGCCGGTGTGCATTCAATTTGCCTTCGAGTTCTTTCGCAACTGAATACATCAAGAGCAATACCAGCGTTAGTGTAAAATTATATGTGTAAGACAACCCTGGCCACACCCTTGGCGACTCCGCCGGAAGAGACTCGACGTTAACTTGTCACACTCAAATTGAGACAGCGCGCGTATTTCCGGTTTACCGCCGCATCCAGCTCGCTCTCGCGAATCCTTTCTCACTCTCTCCCGTCCCGTTAGCCGAAAAGGTGCGCAGCCGAAAACAGTAGGCCGGGGTTGACGGCCGCGTCAGAAAAACACCACAAATGCATCATTGGGAAGGTAAGGGAGGGAGGATCAACAAAGAATGACGGAAGGTGAACCATTTTCCTGTTCATATCCGAAAATTGACCTTCGGAGATGTGTTGGCTCACATCCTTTCTTGTCGTTTCTTACACTTAACTCCTCAGGCCGGATGGGCACTCCACAAATCGAACATCCGAATCCTCGTTTTCGGAATTCTCGATTCCCACACCAAAGCGGGCACGCATCAGCCCAAAGGCAGGGAAAGAGGAAAGCGGGGTCCCGCCAAATGGTTGTGATATCTAAGTCCACCCCAACGTGTGATTTTAGCGGATGATTTCATCCTGAGTCGGAATTGTTGTGACGAATCAGGGGCTGTCAGATTTCAAGAGCAGCATGACTTGCACCGTCCGCTAGCGCGGGCGGGATCAGTCCCGGGTGGGGGTCGAATTGGTGGGTCCCGCCTCGTGTCGGGCGGTGTCGCGGGGTCACCGCGTTTCTAGTTCAACTTTTTTCCCGGGGCTGTTTGTGAGTGAGAAACAGACCGACTGCGTAAAGATCTTGATGTTGAACGCATTGGGGACGTGGAATCGGGAATTGTACCGAGCCGCCCTCGTCGCCCGAGGAGTGACGGGGGAAACTGTGCCTCAACCTAGCTGCATCTGAGGTTGCCCAACACATGCCTTCAGGTCACATTGCGTTTGGTGCTGCCCATCGCTCATCTGGGGTCGAGGGACGGGACCACTGCAGAAACCCTGCTGGTCTGCTAAACCCCGAACGGACAGGGCGACACAAGATCCATGCGATCCCAGATACGACGACAGTTTGGACTTGATGATAAAATCGAGGGATTCGCCCCCTCTTTATTCCCCGATTACTACTTCTTTTACGGGCTTGGTTTAGAAACTGGATGAGTGAACGGATAGACTGCCTCCCTCGGATTGATAATTCGGAGAAACGCCGGCTGAACATCTGCTGCCAACCGGTGCAAACAAGCCCGCCCATTTGTCAGGGGGTGTTGTTCTGGGCGCTGCTAAATGCCTAACGCCGATGGGGCGGTTTCGGCGTGCGCGCAGGGGTTGTGGATTTCCGAGACCAAGGATCCGTGCCATCTCGGGAAGCAGGCAGTTTCTGGACTTCCACAGGCTTCGAAACGCTCGGATTGGACTGCTTGCCTCGACTTGCGTGCGCCAATCTCTCCATCTGGGTACCGCAGGGTGGGGTTTGATTTGTTCAAACGGCAAGGGCGTTGGGGGATTCTCGAGTCAAATACGCAGTCTGTGTGCGAAAAGGGAAAACCGAAGGCTAAACCCCGATGGAGCTCGATGAAGCAACACTCGTTTTCGGAAGCATGTTACTTTTCAGAGGGGCCTTCACTCTTTCAGGGCCCAACAGGCAGGAGAACCCCATCCATGGCTCTCCCATGCATGGATTTCTCGATCCTAACATTTTCTTATCTCCATTCGGCGGTGATTCATCATAGTTAGCACACCATGCCACGCCCTAGCCCCACGAGCGTCGGCGGCCCGCTGCACGCAGTCCCTTGCAACGCAGCTCTGCCGGTGGGTTAACAGACAAAATGTGGACACCCGCTGCGCAGAAACGACATGGGCTGCTGAGAAATCAATGGAGGGTTCGTTATAAAAGAATCCCATGCCACTCCCCTTGCCTTGATCCGAGAGAACCTCTCTTGTAGTCTGAAGAGTTCTGGACAGTAACGCCATCCGTTGAACGCCTATTTCCCCCAGTGGCTTCTGAACTCAACGATCGGACCACAGCGAGCAGGTTTCCGCAGCCATTGACTGCCACCTGGGGGTCGGATCGTTCTTGCCGGTTGCGCCCATCCACCCCTTCACCGTTTTCACCTTCGGGGAAATTCCATTGTTTCTCATTTTCCTTTTTTAGCCCCCTTCCACCGTCAACGGTTCTAGACGCACTCACCGCCACGTTTTGTGTGATTTTGTCTCTGCTACAAAAGTCGACAACACCAGCCGAAGAAATTAAGCTCTGATTTTCAACAACAAAAACGAAAACTCCAAGAAAACAACCCAGCATTGTAGCTCAGCATGTGGGGCCACTCACCAGAAGAGGCCCTGCGGCGCAGTGCCCAGGATGTGCTCCCGGATTCGCTGCACCACCGAGACGAAAGCCAGACGCCACTCCCGAACCAGACGACGGCCGAAGGCGGGTTGAGCGAGTCGGAGGTGTCGGGCGAGATCACCAAGCAGCCGGCGACCCCTGAGAGAGAGGGAACATGGGGCGAGCGCGAGGTGGGCGGGCCTGTAAGCCAGCGCGCGGCCATGCACGACTTTGAGGAGCTCACCACCAAGCTCACGACGACACGCTCTCATGCAGCAGCATCACAGAAGTCGGCCAAGGGCACCGGCGCCGGCAATTTCTTCCGTCGGATTACGTCGCGGGCTAGCGCCGTGTCGAAGCGTCCGGATGAAGAGGCGGTTGTCGGCGACGACGAGTCAGAGATCGAGGACAGCACCACCGACACGGACGAGTTCCCGCTCGAGCAGTTCATGCGGGACGGGCACCTCGAGAAGCGTACGGAGTCCGGCGAGTCAGCCAAGAAGGTGGCCGTGGTGTACAAGAACCTGACCGTTAAGGGCGTGGCCACGGGCGCGTCGTTCGTCCGCACTCTGCCGCAGGCTATCGCGGGCACGTTCGGCCCGGACTTGTACGGCATCTTCTGCTACTTCATCCCGGCGCTGCGCATCGGCGGCGGCGGCAACCTGCGCACACTGATCCACGACTTCACCGGTGTCGTGCGCCACGGCGAGATGATGATGGTGCTTGGTCGGCCCGGCAGCGGGTGCAGCACATTCCTTAAGGTCATCGCCAACAACCGCGAGACGTACGCAGCCGTCGAGGGCGATGTGTCCTACAGCGGCATCCCGGCCGCCGAAGCCCGCAAGCGCTACCGCGGCGAAGTCGTGTACAACGCCGAGGACGACCAGCACCTGCCGACGCTGACGGTGGGTCAGACGCTGCGGTTCTCGCTGCTCAACAAGACGCGCAAGAACCTCCGGGGTGATCTCAACACCATTGTCGACGCGCTCCTGCGCATGTTTTCGATCAAGCACACGGAGAACACACTCGTGGGTAACGCCTACGTGCGTGGTGTCTCTGGTGGAGAGCGGAAGCGGGTCAGCATCGCCGAGACGTTGGCGACGAAGAGCACGATCGTGTGCTGGGACAACTCGACACGGGGTCTGGATGCGTCGACGGCGCTCGACTACGCCAAGTCGCTGCGTATCATGACGGACGTGTCGGACCGGACGACACTCACGACGCTGTACCAGGCTGGCGAGGGCATCTACGATCTCATGGACAAGGTGCTGGTCATCGACGAGGGTCGCATGTTGTACCAGGGCCCGGCCAAGGAGGCGCGCCAGTACTTTGTCGACCTTGGCTTCTACGCACCCCCTCGACAGACAACGGCCGACTTCCTGACGTCCATTTGCGACCCAGGCTCGCGGCAGTTCCGCGAAGGGTGGGAAGCCCGCACGCCTAAGACGGCCGAGGAGCTCGAGACGGCCTTCCGGGCCAGCCCCGCGTACCAGCGGTTGTTGGATGACGTGAAGGAGTTCGAGCAGCACCTCATGACGACGGGCCACGCGGACGCGAAGACGTTCAAGGAGTCGGTACAGGAGCAGAAGTCGAAGCGGGTGCTCGCAGGGTCCAACTACACGATCCCGTTCTGGAAGCAGGTGCTGGCGTGCTCGCGGCGTGAGTTGTGGCTGATCTGGGGCAACCCGACGGAGCTATACTCCAAGTACTTCACCATCATTAGCAACGGTCTCATCGTCGGCTCGCTCTTCTACAACTCACCTGCGTCTACGGATGGCAGCTTCCTGCGTGGTGGTGCCGTCTTCTTCGCCGTCATCTTCCTCGGGTGGCTACAGCTGGCCGAGCTGATGAAGGCCGTGTCTGGACGCGACATCGTGGCCCGTCACCGGGAGTACGCCTTCTACCGCCCCAGCGCGGTCACCCTCGCTCGCGCCCTCGTCGATCTGCCGGTCCTGATCATGCAGGTCATCATCTTCGGTATCCTCCTCTTCTTCATGACCGGTCTCGACCTGCACCCGGGCAAGTTCTTCATCCAACTGCTTTTCATGTACGCGACAACGTTCTGCATCACGGCTATGTACCGTATGTTGGCGGCCATGTCACCGACCATGGATGATGCGGTGCGCTTCTCGGGCATGGCGCTGAATCTGCTGGCCATCTTCACCGGCTACGTCATCTCCAAGCCGGTGTTGCTGTCGCAAAAGATCTGGTTTGGCTGGATCGCGCACATTAACCCGGTATGTCTTTCTTTCCTTTTCTCCCTTCTTCACATATCTTAGGTTCATTTGGCTGACTGACCCCCTACAGCTCAGTTACTCCTTCGAAGCCGTCCTGTCCAACGAGTTCCACGCCCGCACGATGGAGTGTGCCCCCTCTCAGTTGGTCCCCCAGGGCCCCGGCATTCTCCCCGAGAACCAGGGCTGTGCCATTGGCGGGGCGCACCTTGGCAACACCAGCGTTCTCGGCGATGACTACTTGGCCGTCCAGTTCGACTACTCCCGCGCTCACCTGTGGCGCAACTTCGGTGTGGTCATCGCTTTCGCCGTGCTGTACCTCATCGTCACGGCGCTCGCGACCGAACTGATGTCGTTCACTGGCGGCGGTGGTGGTGCGCTGGTCTTCAAGCGGTCCAAGAGGACGGCCAACAAGACCAAGACCGCGGCACCCGCAGACGAGGAGTCTGGTAACATTTCAGGAGGTTCCTCCTCGACGGAGGTCCCCTCGGGCGCCTCGGACAGCGCATTCCGCAGCATCACAGGTAGTGAGCGGATCTTCACCTGGGAAAACGTCGAATACACAGTGCCCACAGCAGACGGACCGAAGAAGCTGCTCAATGGTGTCAACGGCTATGCTAAGCCTGGTGTGATGGTCGCGCTGATGGGTGCGTCCGGTGCCGGCAAGACGACGCTTCTCAACACCCTCTCGCAGCGGCAGACCGTGGGCGTGGTCAGCGGCGACATGTTGGTGGACGGCAGTGCTCTCGGTAATGACTTCCAGCGCAGCACTGGCTTCGTCGAGCAGATGGACCTGCACGAGGAATCCGCGACGGTGCGTGAGGCCATCGAGTTCTCGGCGCTGCTGCGGCAAAACCGCGACATCCCGAAGCAGGAGAAGCTGGACTACGTCGACAAGGTCATCGACCTGCTGGAGCTGAATGAGATCCAGGACGCCATCATCAGCTCGCTCGGCGTTGAGCACAAGAAGCGCCTGACCATCGGTGTCGAGCTGGCTGCGCGCCCGGCCCTTCTCCTCTTCCTCGACGAGCCTACCTCGGGTCTCGATGCCCAGTCCGCCATGTCCATCGTGCGCTTCCTGCGCAAGTTGTGCGCCGCCGGCCAGGCCATCATCTGCACCATTCATCAGCCCTCGTCCGACCTGATCCAGGAGTTCGACAAGATCCTGGCCCTCAACCCCGGTGGTAACACCATCTACTTCGGCCCTGTCGGCCCCGATGGTAGTGCTGTTGTCAAGTACTTTGCCGACCGCGGCGTGCACTGCCCGCCGGGCCGCAACGTCGCCGAGTTCCTTCTCGAGACCGCCATCAAGGGCGGCCGCCGACCCAACGGGAAACGCATCAACTGGTCCGACGAGTGGCGCACCTCGCCCGAGAATGAGGCGGTCATCGCCGAGATCCAGGAGCTCAAGGCTGAGCGGGCCAAGGCTGTGAGCGCTTCTTCTCAGACTCAGACCGCGGCTCAGAGCGCTGCGGTCCATCACGAGTTTGCGGCCCCGGTCTGGCAGCAGATTTTGTTGCTCAGCAAGCGCATGTTTGTCCGCCAGTGGCGCGAGCCCTCGTACGTGTACGGCCGTCTGTTCACGGCTGTGGTGATCGGCATCTTCAACGGGTTCACGTTCTGGCGGCTGGGTAATTCGGTTGCCGACCTGCAGAACGCCATGTTCACGAGCTTCTTGATCATCATGATCCCCGCCACCGTCATGAACGCCGTTCTGCCCAAGTTCTTCGGCAACTTCGCCTTGTGGATGGCCCGTGAGCACCCGTCGCGCATCTACGGTTGGGTCGCCTTCTGCACCGCCGAGGTCGTCTCCGAGATCCCCGGCTCCCTGCTTGCCGGCGCCCTGTACTGGATCCTGTGGTACCTGCCAACCGGTCTGCCCCGCGAGGGGCCCTCCGCTGGCTACGTCTTCCTCATGACCCTGCTTTTCTTCCTGTTCCAGTCCAGCTGGGGCCAATGGATCTGTGCCTGGGCGCCCAGCTTTACCGTCATCAGCAACATCCTGCCGTGCTTCCTGGTTATTTTCTGCTTGTTCAACGGTGTTGTCGTGCCGTACTCCCAGCTCAACGTCTTCTGGAAGTACTGGCTCTACTGGCTCAACCCCTCCTCGTACTGGGTCTCCGGCGTCCTGTCCGCCACTCTCGCCGGTCGCGCCGTCCACTGCGCCCCCGGTGAGGGCGCCTACTTCAACCCCCCCTCCGGCCAGACCTGCGCCGACTTCGCCCGCGACTTTGTCCGCGCTGCCGGCCGTGGCTACATCATGAACCCCGACGACACATCCAACTGTGGATATTGCCCCTACAAGGACGGCTCCGAGTACATCCAGGTGCTTGGTGTCTCCCCCGATACCAAGTGGCGCAACTTTGGCATCTTCCTTGTGTTTTGCGTCACCAACTGGATGTAAGTTTCTCTCCTTTCCGATGATATTTCTCCATTGAATGAAGGCTGACAAGTGATATGATAGGTTGGTCTACTTCTTCATCTACACCGTCCGCATCAAGGGCATGAGCTTCGGTTTCGGCCCCCTGTTTGGTCTGTTTGACAAGGTGATTGCCGGTGTCAAGGGGTTGTTCAAGAGCAAGAAGGTGGATGAGAAGACCGCTGCATAGTCTCAGATCTTTATTAGCTTTTGTTCTTGTTCTTAATTTTTTCTTCTTTTCTTGGTACATTTTTTCTAATTACGTGCCGGCGACTGCATGTTAAGATACCATACCATGGGTTTCATAGAGGTAATGGGCTAGATAGGCTGCATAAATGGATTGATTTATGACCCTTAAGTTTGTAAAGTGAGGCAGTGCGGTGTGCGACGTGACGTGGAAAGGTTGACCCGATTCGACTGAGTTGAGTGCAGTTGGGGGTCCCCCTTCCCTGACCCTATCCAAGCGAAGTCACGGAAGACGAGCCAATAACCTCGTTGCATTGGGGATGCGCAGTTCTGTCAACCATGTGTAGATAGGTGCGCTGACCATACTATGCACGTTACCCCCCGGAGTGAAAATAATTTAAGACCCAAATTGCCTTAACGAGTGAAGATGATTTGACCTAACATAAACTCGGTCAACACAGATCTGGTCAGGTCAACTCCCAATCTATCTATCGGTGACCTGACCACACCCCCCTGCGTTGACCTGACCATTGTCCCGAAGTTGACCTGACCATAACCCCCCGAGTTGACCTGACTAGTGCAAAAACGATGCATTTGTTTGACAAACACGAACCAACTTCTCGCTTTCAACAAGGTCAAATGCTGAAATGCAACAAGGCCTTGTGTTCTTGCTTAACATTCGCGCAGTCTTGGCACCGGTGTCGAGCTACGCTTGGATTTTAAACTTGACGGAAGCCAGCATCTTGGAAATATATATTTGCTCCTTGCTTCAAATCCAATTTATCTCAAAGACTGCTTCTGGATCATTTTTGAGCCGACCTCTAATTGATCATTCACACACAAGTTTGCAACTGGGTTGAGTAACAGTTCAATTGACCAAAGACAGTAATTAACAATTGCAGTAATAACAAACGGTATCTACTTGATAGGAAACGTAAAAGAGAGGAAATAAAAGACAGAAATGAAACACAACTAAAATGTCAAGACAAAGGAAATCCAAAGACCGCTAACTCGAAGGAAAAAAAAGACAACAAAAAAGCACGCTTTGCAAGGCAAGCTAGGAATAAACCCAGGAAAGCATCTACGCCCTAACTCCAAGTGCAAATCTCGTGATCAAAAGACGCCTTTCCATTTCGTCCTATTCCTTCCCTCCCATCTTTTTTTTTTTTTTTTTTTTTGGTTTGGATTTATTTGTTCCCGTTCTCTTATCACTCTTTTCTTTTCTTGTCCTTTCCCCTTATCCATCATCCCTTACTCAACAATCTGCACATCCCCTTTCCTCCCCTGCAACCGCTTCTTCACCAACCCCATGGCCCGCCCCAACTTCAACCTCGACGATCCATCCTCCCCCTTCATCTTCTTCGCAACCCCTCCTCCAAGCATAAACATGCTCTTGGTTCTCTCCATCCCTGGCACTCCAGGCACGGACTCAGCTGCAGCAGTCATAGAATCCGGTACACCAGCGGGGATATTCCGCGCTAGGAGGGCCATGTGGCCAGCCAAGGTAGGTGTCTCGATGAGTTCTTCAAGACGCGGCGGGGGTTTGTTGGGGTTGGCGTTGGCGAGGTTATTTCTGTAGTATGTGGTGGTGGTGTTGGGATGGCTGAGCAGCCAGGCCAGCTGGGCTAAGCCAATTATATCCCCACCAAGAGCAAAGAAGGAGGTTGTTTTCTCAACTGAGACATTGTCCGTCTCCGGGAGATCGAGCACCTCACGCCAGGCATTGCCCACAAAGGCAGTCAACTCATTCACCTGAGCGTTATTCAGATGCTCCAGCCCGGAGTCTGTATTTGTCTCCTCCTGGAACTTGGAGGTCCGGTAGAGCGGCAACTCAAACGGCAGCTGGGGGCACCGTGCGCACAGGTCGGCGGCCGAGGGCAGGGCCAGGTCCGGGTTGCTGGCGAAGCGCTGGGCGGTGCGGCAGAGCAGGCCGAGGGCGCGGTCGGCGAAGATGCGGGGGACGGGTCCGCCTTCGGCGAAACTGAGCATGATTTCGAAGTGGTCTGCGTTGTTGTTGTTGTACCTATGCCCAGTGTTGTTGGCGGTAACGGGAACTGGGGCCGGCTGCGAGAAAATAGCAATATCGGCAAACTCCTCCTGGGCCGTCGACGCACACCCGAAGGTGTACTCGACCCCGCCCATGCGGATGGTTTGACCGCTACCACCGGCACCGCCCTCGAGGTTCTGGTGCTGCACGGTGGATGCAAACGTCGTCCAGCGCGGCCAGGGGGTACAATGGCGGATGATCTCACGGAAGCCGAGAACCTCGTGAGCCATGTTGGCGACCTGCTGGTCCTGCACCTGGCGGAGGAGTGCGCGGACCGTGATGCCCTCTGCGCTATCCTCAGTGTTACCGTCGGTGTCCTCTGACCCGTCGTGGAATCGGACGCGCACGGGGACCAGGTTGAGACAGGGCCCGACCATGTTGGCGACCCCCGGCACGGCGGCGTTGCGGCCGCTGATGGTGTGGCCGAAAACGACGTCGGAGGTGGCGGACGCTTGGGCGAGCACGTAGGCCCAGGCGGCCTTGACGACGGTCGCGGTGGTGATACCGCCCGAGGTGATGGGCGGGATGCGGACGGTTTGTCTCAGGGTCGTCGTGGTGGTCTTTGTGGATGTCCCCCGGTAGTTGGGTCCCTGGCGGCGCACAATCTCGGTCATGGAGGCTCCCGCCAGCAGCTGGGTCCAGTGCTGGTAGTGTTCTGAGGTCAATGCCCCAGCAGACGCACGCAGGTAGTGGGCGAAGGTCGGCGGGCGGGGCACGGTTTCTCCTTGGTAGGCCGCTTGCAGCGCGGCGAGGATCTTGGGGAAGCACACGCCGTCATACTGGGCGTGGGACAGGCGCAGGTAGAGCCGGTGGCGGCGGCTGGGCAGGTGCTTGACCACGGTGAAGGCGACGAAGGGCTCGCCCAGCTGGGGGTCGCTATCGTTATCGGTGTCGCCCATATCCGTGTTCACTCCGTTGTCTTCGCCTTGACTCTTCTCGTCACCAATCTGGAAGGTCTCCAGCGGGGATTCGGTCTCGATGACGCGGAACGCCGGACGCAGGGTGCGCAGAACAACCTGCAAGAACCGCCCCCCCGACGGCACAAAAACGGTGCGCAGGATGTCAAAGGCCTGCACAAGAGCGAAGCAGGCGCGCTTGAGCTGGACCAAGTTAAGGGGCCCGGAGCCGTCGAGGTAGAACGAGTTGAGCATCCAGCGGGACTCGAGCAAGGCACCGGCCACAGACAGGGCCTGGAAGTCGGTAGCGGGCAGCACGTCGGAGATGCCACCCCTAAAGACGCACACTTGGGGCACGATGCGGGCCTGCAGGAAGGCGTCGACGTTGGACTTGGCCACGGCGGCTAGCAGCGAGAAGCGCTCGTACGAGTCGCGCGGGGTCGAGGTCGAAGTGGTCTGCAGCGATAGCGGGGTCAGGGGGGTGAGAGTGCCGCCGCTGTCGAGTTCGGGGCTGAAGACGAGGTCTGGGGTGAGATCCTCTTCAGGAACGTCCTCCAGTACGGGCATGACGGGCATGCTGGCGTGAATGCGGCCCAGCATGGCATCAAAGGTCGGCGCGCGGAAGACGTCGGCCACCGTAAGAGAGAGGCCATTATCGCGGGCCTCACCAGCGAGTCGCATGGCGGTGATGCTGTCGCCGCCGAGGTCGAAGAAGCTGTCGTGGGCCGCGATGGATGCTGTGGGTCGGTCCAAGAGGGTGCTCCAGAGGGAGAGCAGGATCTGCTCGGGGGCCTCAATGTGGCCGGCCGTCGGGTCAATCAGGTTGGGCAATGGGCTAGACGGGAGCGACACGACCATGTCGCTCTCGGAATGGTCGATAGTGCGTTCTTGTTCGGCTTGTCGTGTCGGCAGTGTCTGGAGCATGGCATCGAGCCCGGCGAGGGATAGCCCGGGTTGGTCGACAAAGGCGTCGAGGATGCGCCCCATGGTGCGGGCCATCTGCTGGGCTTGCTCGTCGCCGACAAGGTCCGACCAGTAGCGCAGCACGCAGCCCTCGCTGCCGGCGGAGGTCTCGATGTTGACCGTGATGGCGTACTGTTTCTGTGTTAGTAACCCTAACCCGAAAGCCCCGAAAACCCTAACCCCCAAAGTGAAAAAAGGGGCAATAAAAAGGGGTAACATACCTCACTCGGATCATGCGCCTTCTCCATATCAAACACCAACGTTTCCGTGTCTTCCTCCTCCTTCGCCTCCCCATGATTCTGAATCGAAATCGACGTGTTATACAACGGCCGTCCCGCCATCCCCAACTCATGCTGCACCAGCGCCAGCGAGCAGTGCTGGAACTGCAGACTCTGCAGGTACTCTTCTTGAGTCTGTCTCACAATCTCTTCCAGGGATGTCTGCTTCCCTGCAACAGAGGAGACCCGGACGCGGCAACAGAGCATATTGATCAGCGTCCCGACCGTCCTCGCGATGTTCTCCACTGGCGCATCCCGACCCGCGGTCAGATACCCAAAGCACACGTCATCAGCACCCGTGTAGGCGCGCAAGACCAGAGCCCAGGCGGTGTGCATGATGTTAGCGAGCGTGACGTGCGTGCGGGTAGAGAGCTGGCGGAGCGCGGTGTAGCGGGTGAAGGGGAGAGTGGTGGCGTTGAGGGACCGCGAGGACGCTGACGATGACGATGGGTCAGCAGCTACGAGGGTGAGGGCGCTACTGTTGTTTAGGTCCAGGTTGGGGACGTGGCAGGGTGCGAGGCCCTGGAGGTAGTTCCGCCAGTAGGCGCTGGCTTGGTCGGCTGGTTTTCTGACGATGTGCTGCACGTAGTCGCTGTACAGCGGGGCGGGCGTCACCTGCAAAGTGCCGGTGTACACGGCGGCCAGTTCACCGAGGATGATGGCCAGGGATCCGCCGTCAATTATGGCGTGGTTGACCTCGAGTTTGAGGAGGACTGCTCCACTAGAAGTCGTGCAGAGGGCCAGCTGGTGTGGCAGCGGGTGTGTGGCTGAGCGGAGGGTGACCTGGGCCAGTTTCTGCGCGGCCTCGGCGTCGGTGTGACTCTGCAGCAACACCGCACAGCAGTCGGCCTTGCGGAGAACGACCTGGTCAAACACACCACCACGACGGACACTCTCAACAAACAGGGTCCGCAGCGCAGCGTGGCGATCGACCACCGTCTGCCATGCCTTGGCCAGCCTTGAAGCGTTGATTTGGTTACCCCGGGTGTGCGCGAGACGGTACACCGCGTGGAAGACATAGGCGTCTGGGTTGCGCAGCTGGCTGATGAGCATGCCCTCCTGCACCGGCGTGCACGGGTACATGTCCTCGACCGCAGCCAGGACGGAGTTACCACCGCGAGCCACGAGCCCACGGGCGGCCCGGGGCAGCGCGACGTCGGTCAGGGCGCGCAGGCTGGCGTAGGTCAGTGGCAGACGCGGGTAGTCGCTCAAAGTGGGCTCTGCGGGGTGCTGTGCCAGGGTGCGGGCCATGGCTGCGAGGGTGGCTTTGCAGGCGCGGATCCAGCGCAGGATCTGAGGTCCGCAGGAGAGCGCAGAGTCGTAGACGAAAGTGAACTGCAGCTTATTGTGGACCACGGCGGCTGAGATCTCGAATAGGGCTAGTCGCTGGGTCTCGGGACCGACGTCGGCGGTGGATGGGTCGGTGAGGTCGAGGTCGATGGAGCGGACCAGCGAGGTGTCATCGTTCTTTTCTTGTTGTTGACCGACACCACCGCCCAGATAGTTGAACAGAATCTCCATCGGAGCCCATGTCTTGTTAGATGCCCCGAGGTACTTGTGAGCAAAGTACGGCCGTCCGTTTTGCGGGATGCTTCTCCGCGCATCCTTGGTCCGGCGGAGGGTGTCGAGGGCGTCTGGTGTACCAGATGCCACAACGAGCGGGCAGATGGTGGTGAACCACCCGACAGTCTGGGTTAAGTCCAGTCCAGATCCCTCGGGGGCCTCGCGGCCGTGGGTCTCCATGTGCAGCGTCGGCACGTTCCTGTCGGGGAAATTGGCGGAGAAAGCGTGTACGATGGCCGCAAGAATGAGATCGACAGGCTCCGAGCGGAATGCCTTGTGGGATGCGCCCAGGGCCAGGCCCGTGGTGGTCTCGTCAAGCGCAAATGTTTCGGTCTTGGTCCGGCCATAGGTAAATGGTCCACGCGCGTTCCAGTAGCCAAGATCGGCCGCCGTCTCTTCAAACGGAAGTAGCGTCGTCGGATTAACCGTCTTGTTGTGCGCCGCCTGCTGGGCACACCAAGCCTGGAACGAAAGCGGCATGTCGGACAGGACGCCACCTTCGAGTAGCTGGGTGAGGTCCTGGACGATGATGCGCCACGAGACGATGTCGATGCACAAATGGTGGGCTACAAGAGACACGATGGTGTCTTGGCCGGGGATGCTGAGGAGGTCGGCCCGGAAGACCGGGCCGTGTTCAGGCGAGAGGCTGGCTTGTGCGGTGGCCACGATCGCCGGGATCTCGCTGCGGGAGCGAATAGGGTGCTCAGCACAGTATGATGGGGCCTGTCCACGTTGTTTAGTACCTAGTGTATCTGCGATGTGTCGAGGGATGCTTGTGAGTTACGTACCTTGGTATATTGCTGCTCCCACAGATTCTTGGTAAACCGCGCCCGGAGCATGCCATGGCGCTGGACAAGCGTTCCGAGGGCCTTCTTGATGGCCTCAGTAGAGACGCTGCGAGACACACCCAGTGTAATACTCTGGTTGAACCGGCTGTGACCGCCGTACTGCTGGGCCGACTGGAAGTATAGCGTCTGGATCGGCGACAACGCGAACGGCGTGTCGGTCTTTTGGGTGTTCTCCGTCTTCGTGCCGGATGGGAGGCTCTTGGCAAGTTGGGTGAGATGCACGACAGAGCCGGCCCGCAGCACGTCCTGGACGGAAAGCTTGATGTGGGCGAGGCGGGCGCGAGAGACGACGCCCATGGCCCGGATGCTGTCACCGCCTGCTACTCGTTAGTGAAATGTAAAATAATAGCACAAAAAGTGTAAAGCGAAACTTACCCAGAGCAAGAAACGGCTCATTCAACTTGATCTGCCCAACCGGCACATTCAACTCCTTGGCCCAGATGTCTCGCAACGTCTTGACTGGGCCATCCACCTCCTTCTCATCCTTTTCCTTGAGACCAAGTCTCGCAATGCGGTCATACTCTTCGTTACTCAATCCCTCCACCCAATTCATCAATTCTTCTCGGTCTAGCTCTCCGGCAAGACTCGGCATGCCCTCTAGGACAATCCACGCGCCAGGAACCATGTAATGCGGCAGTCTGTCCCGCAGTCTCGTCCGAATCTCATCCACATCGGACCGGGCCGTTGCCATGTGTTCAGCTGAGCCGTTCAGTTCAGCCACCCGAGAAGACGGTGAAGCAGACGAACGGAACCGAGCAAGCGTAACAACAGCAACCAGCATCTTCTTACACGCTCCCCTGTTCGGCTGCACCACAGCGGCCCTCGTAACCTTGCGATCAGCAACCAACTGATTCTCCACATCGGCCAGGGCCAAGCGTTGACCCTGGACCTGCACCTGGCTGTCCTTGCGGCCGAGATGTTCGAGCGAGCCGTCGGGACGGTAGCGGACTAGCTCGCCGGTGCGGGTTGCCGTGGTGGGTGTAGCACCACCGATGGCGAGTTCGCCGATGGCGCCGATGGGGGCGAGTTGTGTGTTGTCATTCTCTCGCACATCCACCACGCACCAGGCTGTGGTATTTGCGGTTGATTTATTGGCGTTTCTCTCGATGCACTGGTCAACAATGCTAGAGGTCTTGGCAGCCCGACGCCAGCGAGAGAGCAGAGATTGATCCTCGGGACTAAGAGCGTGGATGTCACCGAGTGTTGTCGCGTCTGAGTCAGACTCACATGCCTTCACCAAACGCTGCAGCACAGCATCCAACTGGTGGATCATGCGCCGGGAGTGCCACGAAGACAGGACAGTCTCGTCGTAGTGGAAGGTAGCCTCGACGACAGACTCAGAAGCGGTGCATTCCACAACGAGAGGGTGTGTGAAGAAGCTGTTGGAGGTACTGTCAAAGTCCCACTCTGTAGATGTAGACTCCGTGGTATTTTGACCTTGCGACGCAGTCTGAATTACCAATAGATTCTGGAACCCACAAGCAGCCGCGCATCCCTCGAGCTGCGCAATCCGCTGTAGACCCAGATGCTGATGCGGCACGACCTGGCCGGCCATAGTATGCAGACCCTTGAAAAATTCCACAAGAGACAAGCGGCTGTCGACATTCACGCGAGTCGGCACGGTGCTGAACGTCGGCCCGGAGATATCGGCCACAGACACGGACGCCCCGGGGAGGTCAATGTTCCGCCCGGCGAGGGTCTCACCAAAGGTGACGTCGTCAACGCCGGTGTAGGCAGCGAGCAGCACGGCCCAGGCGGCGCGGACGAGGGTCGGCGGCGTGATATCCGTCAGAATCCCGCTGCGAGGACGGCCGCTGCCCAAGTTGATGGCGCGGGTCTCGACACGGAAGCTGGGTGTCTTGTTCATGCTGGCTCGGCGATGCGCTGGTTGAGGGAAGTGAGACACCGAGGCGCCGTGGAGTGACGCTTTCCAGAAGGCCTCAGACGCGTTCTGGTCGCGGCCAGCTAGATAGCGGATGAAGTGGGCGTACGGCGTTCCGGAGGTAGTTGTTTGTTGCGTGACCGAGAGCAGGCTGTGGTAGACATCCTGCACGCGCTGGGCGAGCAGACGCATGCTCCAGCCGTCGTAGAGGGCGTGGTGGATGCCCCAGACGAAGTCGTGCCCGGATCCGTCGGGTTTGCGGACGATGGCGAATCGGGTCAGGGGGCCGCCGGTCTGGGAGCCGAGGGATTGTCCTTGGACAGTTGCGTCTTCCACGGAGACATCCTCATGCCATTCGATAGGCTTAGGGGAGGTGACCACCTGGAGGAAGCCAGACGCACCGGTGTGCAAGATGCGAGTGCGGAGGATATCCGTCTCGTCGACCACGGTCTGCCACGCAGCCCGGAACTGGCGCATATCGATGTCGTCGGGCAGTGACAACGTGTGAACGGCCACGTACGCGCCGGCCTGGGTGCTCGCAAGCGTGACAAGACCCTCCTGCAGAGGACTGCACGGGTACATGTCCTGGATCTGCTCGGGGGCGACCTGGCATTGGGAAGAGACGAGGTCGAGCAGGTCGTTGACGTTGACATTCCCCTGAACCAGCGAGAAGGGCTTGAGGTCTTTAACAGGGGCAGTTGAAACCTCGGCACCACCGCATATGCGGGCCATGTTGGCGAGAACCGGCTTCTCAAACACGTCCAGCACTGTCAAGTTCATCTTGCGTGCCCGGGCAGCGCCCACCAGCCGCATGGCCGCGAGGGAATCACCACCCAGCCGGAAGAAGCTATCCCCAGCCGAGACCGATCCTGCAGTGAGACCCAGGACAGACTCCCACAGAGCCTGCAGTTTCTTTTCCGTCTCGCTAGCCGGGCGGGTGTTTCCTGCTGATGTGCCTGGTGCGACCTTGGACAGACGATATCCGCTGACAACCTCCCGACTGGCCTGCTCAAGAGCATTGCGCAGCTGTCGGCGGTCGAGTTTGCCAGCCGTGGTCCATGGCATGACCGACACGGGGACGAACAGCTGCGGGACCATGTACGAAGGTAGCTGCACAGCCATGTGGGCTTCGGCGGCCAGCGCGAGGTTCCGCGTGGTGTCGTCCAGTGGGAGCATTGAGAAGGCTGTGCCGGTAGTCCGGGAAACGCAGAAGAAGACGGCGAGGGTCTTGACCTTGGACCCCGCGCTGTTGACGACCTCGACGGCGGACTGCGCATCGGACGGCAGCCCCGCGCGACAGTGGAACTCCATCTCGCCTAGCTCGATGCGTCGGCCATTGAGCTTGATCTGCGTGTCCTTGCGCGAGATGTATGAGATGGTGCCGTCGGCGTTGTAACGGACGAGGTCGCCGGTGCGGTACATCCTCTGGGGTCCTTCTGCTCTCTGCGTGTGTTCTTGTTGTTGTTTCCAGAGAGAAGCCAGGCCCCGAGTACGGGTCCAAGCCGGTGAGCGGACAAACACCTTAGCCGTCTGCTCCTTGTTGTTGAGGTACCCGCGCGCAACAAGCCGGCCCTCCACGACCAACTCCCCGACCGCGCCCACAGGCACCAGCCGGTGGTAGTCCTGGGCATCGACCACCCAAACGCGCCCACCAACAGCAGCACCAATATTCGCCCGGTCGTTATCACACACCCGCCGGGCCTCATCCACCTTAGTGCTCGTGGTGGCCACCACAGAACACTCCGTCGGGCCGTACGCATTCACCAACGCACACCGAGTACCCCAGCGCTCGATATGGCCCGGGGCCATGGCCTCGCCGCCGGTAACCAGCGTTTGCAGACACGCGACGCGTTCCGGACGCAGGGTGCTGGCCACGCTGGGGGTGAGTAAGGTCCAGGTGACGCGCATGTCGCGGATCACGGCGGCTACATCGTCCATGCGGGCTTCGTCTGAGGGCACACACACGCAGCCGCCGACTAGCAAGCACGAGAGAGTCTCCATGATGCTGGCGTCGAAGGTGTAGGACGCGAATTGCAGCACGCGCGACTCGCGGTGCATGAACATGGCCGCAGCGTGGGCCAGGGCGCCGGTGCTGAAGGCGCCGTGCTCGACCACCGTGCCTTTGGGTTTGCCGGTGGTGCCCGAGGTGAAGATGACGTAGGCCGGGTTAGATGGTAAGGCGGGAGAAATAAACGGGGGAGTTGTGTTGGTGTTGTTGCGTGGGAAGTGAACAGGGTTAGGGTTGGCAGTGAGGATCCCCTCGTCCACGACCATTACAGTCTCCGCGATCTTGGCCATCTTCTCCCGGTGCTGCTCCGAACACAGCACCACCGAAGCGCCGACATCCTCAACCAGGCCCTGGAGACGGGTCTCCGGGAAACTCGGATCGAGGTTGACAAACGCGCCCCCGGCCTTGAGCACACCCAACTGCGCAACCACCGTCCAGGCGGACTTGTCAAAGCACAGCGGCACAAACACTTCGGGGCCAATGTCCAGGTCTACCAAACGGCGGGCGAGTGTTGTAGCAGCCCTGTCCAGCTCGGCATACGTAAACGACACGTCCCAGCCGCACACCGCTGGGCTGTCCGGGTGGGAGAGCACATGCTGCGACACAAGATCGTGCACGCACTGCTCGACACGGGGCAGTTCGTAGTCGTTCCACGCCCGAATCTGTTGGATCGCAGTCGGGCCGACCAGGCTCACATCACCGATGGTGCGGTCGTCGGTGTTGTCGTTGTTCTCCGACACCAGATCGGCCACGGCCTGGGCAAAGGCCGCTCCGATATGCTGGATGTGGGTGTCTGAGACGGTGTGGCGCCAGTAGCTGAAGTGGATCTCGACCGCGGCGTCTGTGGCCTCGACGTTGACGGCCACGGCGTACTCGCTGGGGTCGTGTGCATCCAGGACGCGGTAGCGGAGGGTATTGTCGTTTTCCTGTCCTCCCCCACTCCCACCCCCGCTGCGCCGCTGGTAGGTAAACGCAGTGTTGAACAACACCGGTGTCTGCACGGCATGCTGCATCTCCGCCAGAGAGCAACTCGGGTGCGCCAGGGCCCCTGCAAGGTCGGCTCGCATCGTCTCCAGCACGTCGCCGACTTCGGCTTCGGCCGGGAGTTGCAGCCGGCACACGAGCATGTTGATGAGTGCTCCCACGGCGTGTTCCATGTGCGGGACTGGAATGTCGCGGCCCGAGGCGAGGTAGCCGAACAGCACCTCGTCGGAGCCGGTGTAGGAGCGGACGACGAGGGCCCAGGCTAGCTGCAGTAGGGTGGACAAAGTCACGCCCGAGGTGCGGCAGTATGCCTGGATTTGGGAAGGGTTCTCCAGCGTAACCATGTGAGCCCCGAGTGACTCTTTGTTGTTGTCGCCCTTCTCTTTCTGCTGTCCCGCGGACAAGACCGGGAACAGACACGGCTCGGCACCTGAGAGGTACCCCTTCCAGTAGCCAAGGCTTTCATCCCTGGGCTGCGCCTGGAGGTGGGCAATATACTCGCGGTAGGCTGGGACAGGCTTGTTGATGATGTCATTACCGTACGCAGCTGCGAGGTCATCGAGCAAGATCGGCATCGACGAGCCGTCCGAGATGGTGTGGCTGATGTCGAGACGACACACAACCTGGCCGGTGCTTTTGTTTGTGCAGATCGACAGCCGGTGAGGGGGAACCTTGTCGCGGTAGTCGATGTTGTCCAGGGATTGCAGGGTCTGGATGGCGTCTTCGGAATTCACCTCCAAGAGTTGAACCCGACCGGTAGCCTCCCGCAACACAACCTGGTCCATCAGCCCTTCATCACCAACGGCGTCAACAAAGATGGTCCGCAGCGTCGCATGTCGACGGACCACAGCCTGCCATGCACTGGCCAGCTTCTCCGCATCCACCCCCTTTCCAAGTGACGACCCAACCTCAAACACAGCCGAGTACCCATACTTGTGCGGATCCCGCATCTGGCTGAGCAGGAGCCCACGCTGCATCGGCGAGCAGGGGTAGATGTCCTCGACCTCGCGCAGAGCCACACCGGCTTCCTGCAGCCGGTGTTCGAGACTATCAAGGCCGTAGTAGCTGAGCGACAGCAGCGGGAACGCGCTGAGGGTCTGGGCCTGCGAGTGCTGCGCTAGTGCGCTAGGTGCACTGGAGAGGAGAGACTGGCACTCGCGCACCCACCGGTGGATCGAGTCGTGGTGTTTCATGTGCTTGTTGTAGGCAAACGACAGCGTCATCTGTCCGTTGGCCACGACTGCCGAGACCTCGATTAGCGCCAGGCGGGGGACGCTGTTGCCGACGTCAGACGTGTCGATGCTGTGGTCCGCAGCTTGCAGGAAGTTGTCGGTCCGGCTGAGATTCTGCATCTGGCCGAGGTAATTGAAGGCGACCTCGACCGGCCAGCCTTTGTCGTAGGCGGCCCGGCCGTCGGCAGTCAGCATCCGGTAGGCAAAGTACGGTCGGCCCTTGCCTGCGAGGCGTGCGCGGTAGTCCTTGACCCAGCGGACCGCCGTGATCAGGTCGTCGTCTGCTTTGTTAGCACACCTAGTCACAATGTAAATAACATCTTTAGAGGAAGGAAACATACCAGACGACGACTCATCCGGCAAATGCACCGGATACAGCGTAGTAAACCACCCAACAGTCCGCGACACATCCATCGCACCATCCCACACTTCACGCCCGTGGCCCTCATTGTAGATAGTCGGCACACCCTTTCGGCCGTCGGTCGCGTTGCGGTACGACAACAACAAGACAGCCAACAGCACATCCAACACCTCTGTGCCCATTGGCGCATGACAGTCCGCACCTAGCAGCTGAGATGTCGTAGCAACATCGAGCTCAACCGCTTCAGCATGCAACACATCGCCATGTGCATTCGACGACGCGCCGCCAGACATACCCCAATACACCAGATCGGCATCGGCCGTCTCACGACGCGGCAGCAGCGCAGCCCCGTTCTTCTCGTCCTGCGCGCGCTCCGATTGCTGGCGTGTCCATGTCTGGAAGGACAACGACGGGGGGGCTTTGATCGACCCGGTCGCCAAGAAGTCTTCCAGGTCTTGCAGCAGGATACCCCACGATACGACGTCCACGACCAAGTGATGCACGGCGATAAACACGTACACTTCGTCATCACCGGAATTCTCATCATTGTCTTCTTGTCCAGTGATACTGAACCAATCCGCAGCCATCAACGGCCCCCGTTCAAAGTCAAGTGCCGTCTGCGAACTGCGAATCCGCTTCTCCATCCGGCTGACGCTGCGTAGAGAATGAGTCTTGAACCGGTATGACCCGCTGACGTCGGTAGTGATGCGTTGCCGCCAATGGCCGAGACCGTCGCGGCGGAAGCGGGCGCGCAACATGGAGTGGGATTCCACCAGAGCGTGCAGGCCGCGGGCTAGGTCGTGGGCGTTGGTCTTCTTGGCTAGGCGGAGGAGCACGCTTTGGTTGAAGTGTGATCCCTGGGAGGTGCCCTGGGATGGATTGACGTGCATGGCCTGGAAGAAGAGCTGCTGGATTGGCGATGGGTCGAACTCGTGGTGGTCCTCGCTGTTGCTGGCTTTCTGTCCAGAGACTGGTTGAAGTTGCTGAGATTGTTGACTCGCGCTGGGTTGGACCTTGAGAGCTAGCTCGTGCACCGACTTGCTGCTGATGATGTCTGAGACGGCCACACGGATGCCTTGCCCGCGGCACTTGGCCATGACCTGCATCGCTGTGATGCTGTCGCCGCCGAGGTGTAGGAACGAGACGTTGGGTCCGATGCGGTCGGGTGAGATGTTGAGGACCTGGCTCCAGATGGTCTTGAGTGTCTCGTGGAGGGGGATTTGGGGGGTTTGAGGGATTTGAGAGACTTGGGTGGTTTGGGCCTGAGAGACAACCTTCTCGGCGGGCTCGCTGGCGTTCGCGATCTTGTCGAGAGCCTCCTCGCTGAGACTGTCCACAAACTTGGCCACGCTGTTGCGGTCGAGCTTGCCAGACGGCAACAGGGGAATGCCCTCCAGAACCAGCCAAGTCGATGGCACCATGTACGCAGGTAGCTTCTCCCGCAGACGGTCCTGGACCTTGGCCACGGCCGAGGCAGCCGTCCTCGTGATGACCAATTCAAGACCCTTGACTGGTCGCTGAGAACCTTGGAGTGAAAGCACCGCAACGAGACGCTTCGCGCAAGGCCCCGTTTTGGGCAACACCACGATGGCGTGATGGACAGCTTCGTCAGACGCCAGATGGTGGACAATCTCGTCCAACTCAAGTCGTTGCCCGTTGAGCTTGGCCTGCGACGCATCTTTGCGGCCCATGTACACCATCTGCCCGGTCGCGTCGTCGCAGATGCGCACCAGATCGCCCGTCTTATACATCCGACGGGCACCACCAGAGAAACCCATATCCGGAAACCGCAGAGCAGCATCCACAGCCCAGCGCGGAGTCTCAATAAACACCTCCCGCGTCTTGGCCTCGTTGCGGAGATACCCGCTCGACAGCGTCGGGCCCTCGACGAGCAACTCGCCCACGGACCCCACAGGCGCCAAACGGTCATGGTTGTCCGGGTCGACGATCCAGCACCGGCCGAGTCCGCGGCCAAGGTTGACCGGGTTCGAGGTGCGCTGCATGTGCGGGTTGACTGTCGCGACAACGGCACACTCGCTCGGTCCGTAGGCGTTGACGAGGTGCAGTTTGTCAGCCCAAGTAGCAAGGTGGCTCGGGGCCATGGCCTCGCCGCCGAGGATGAGCGTTTTGAGAGTGGGAACGGCGGATGGGTCGAGCACGCGGGCGAAGGAGGGCGTGAGCAGGGTCATGGTCACGCCCATCTCTTCCATGGCCGCCGCGATGTTGCCGTTGATGCGGTCCTCCTCGCGGGGAACGCAGACGGTGCCACCGAGCATGAGGGTCGTGATGATCTCGACGAGCGACGCGTCAAAGGTGTACGAGGCAAACTGCAGGAAGCGGAAGGGGGGGTGCATGCCCATGGCCGGGCCGTGGGCTGCTGCGCCGGAGCAGAATGCCGTGTGGGAGACTGATTGTGTTAGTGTTTGACATTACTCGATATCTGAGGAGAGAAATGATAAAAGAAAACGTACTAATGGTGCCCTTTGGCTTCCCTGTCGTGCCCGAGGTGAAGATGACATATGCCGGGTCACTCGGCGCAGCTGTTGCTGTGGTGTCAGTAAATATTGACTTCAGGGGCTTCAGGGGCTTCAGGGGCAAGTAAGTAAACAACTCACGTTGAATGATGGCAATCCTGGATCTCTTCGCCTCCAACGCTTCGAGCATCCCCATATCTACTGGAATCACAGTGCTCACCACCTCCGCGCACCTCCCGGCATACCGCGGCGAGCACAGCACGACCTCAGCCGCACAATCGCCCACAATCTCCCTCAACCTCGCAACCGGATGCGCCGGGTCGAGCGGGACAAACGCCGCGCCAGCCTTAAGCACAGCCAGGATAGCAACCACGGCAAAAGCCGACTTGTCAAAGCAGAACGGGACAAACCGGTTTTTTCCGTTGGCGCCGACCCCGCGCGAGACCAAGTCGCCGGCCAGGGCGGTTGAGAGTGATTCGAGTTGGCCGGCTGACAACGTCGCGTCCCAGCCGATAACAGCTGTCTCGGACGTCCCGCGGCGCGTGAGCGTCTCGGAGATCATCTCGTGCACGCGACGTTCGACCAAGGGGCCGGGGGTCGTGTTCCACTGCCGCAGAACAGTCTGGTCCTCGGCGCTTAGCAGATCGATGTCACCAACCAGTTGTTGCTGGGTGTCCACCGCGGAGAGCCGGTTCAGGATGGTCTCTAACTGTCCCAGCATGCGGGATACCTGCCATTGAGGAACCACCTCCGCGTCAAAGATAGCCCGCAGCAGCACCTCTTCTCCGGCAGCCCCATGACCAAGCGTGCAAGTGACGTTTAGCGGGAGGTTAAAGAAATCCGCCCCCTGCTTCGTCCCATCACCTACCATCCCGGCCCACAGCGAGTCCTTGTCGGGCGTCTCATCGGCCATGTCAATCGCCAGCAAATTGGCAAACTCACATGCGGCTACAATCGCACCACCGAGAGCCCGAATGCGCGGAAGACCGGCAAACTGATGCGGGGTGACGTCGTTCAGTTGACCCTGCACATCCGCGAGGAACTGCTGGATGGTCAGAGTGCGGTCGATGCGCACGCGCCGGGGCACGGAAGCGAGGGTAGGCCCGACGAGGTCTTCGATACCGGACATAGACACGTCACGGCCGTTGAGGATTTCGCCAAACACGATGTCGGGCGAAGAGGCGTATAGTGAGACGACGAGGGCCCAGGCTGTGCGGAGGAGGGCGGCCGTGGACAGTGTGGACTTGGGCTTGGTAAACTGAATGGCCCGAGTAACCTGTGTCATAGCCTGGACGCGGTACCCAGGATGAGGGAGCTGGGGAAAGTGTGTCGCGCCAGGGGCGGACAGTTTGTCGCTCCAGAATTTGTCGGATACAGACGCGTCGAGAGACTCCAGATGTTGCACGAAGCGGGAGTAATGCGGGACGGATGGGACAGGCGTTCCCGGGTTGCGATATCGGGCCTCAACTCGACTGAGAAGGCCTGGTAGACTCCAGCCATCGTAGACCGCGTGGTGGGCCGTCCAGGCGAACCTCGGCCGCTGCTGCGTAGCGTGGTTCTCGATGGTGTACCGGGTCAGAACACCGCCGTCGTGAGGGGGTAGGTGACGGTACTCCTCGGTGAGAGACGTAGTCCACTCGATCTTGGTCTTCGCCACAACCTGCATGAAGCCGAGGTCCTCGACAAACACCACGCGCGTACGCAAGATGGCTTCCGAGTCGACGACCTCCTGCCAGGCTTGCCGGAACCGGGCCAGGTCGATATTGGAGGGTAGCTCGTACCAGTTGACGGCCACATAGGCGCCGGGTTGTCGTTGTGAGGCTGCGACGAGACCTGCTTGCAGAGGTGTGCAGGGGTAGATGTCCTCGATCGACTCAGCATCAAGCTGGCAGATCGCGCCCACCTGCTGGCGAAGTTCCCCAGCCTGAGCTGGAGTTCCCTTGATCATCGAAAAGGGCTCAACAGGGCTGGGGAAACTCTCGACTGTAGCCACTGCGCCGACGTTGTTGTTGTTGTTGCTAGCAGCCAGAGAAGCCGCCATATCAGACAACTTAGCTGACTGAAAGATAGTCGCGACAGTCAAGACCACCCCGCGCTGCCTTGCGGACGCAGCCAGACGCATGGCCCCGACCGAATCGCCGCCGTGGATGGCAAAGCTGTCGTCGGCCGTGATGGACGCGGCCGGCACACGCAGCACCGAGGACCACAGCTCTTGCAGCAGTTTCTCCATCGGCGTTTCCGGAGCTCGTCCGCCCGTGGTCTCCATGCCCAGACGGTATTCGGCCATCTTGTCCAGAGCCAAGTCCTGGGCCATGGTCCGCAGGCATCGCCGGTCCAGCTTGCCGGACGAGGTCAGCGGCATTCGAGAGACGGGGAAGACCAGGCGGGGGACCATGTAAGCGGCCACCTGGGATGCTACAGAGGACAGCACGGACTGGGCCAGGCTGCGGGACTTGTCGTCCATGGGGAGGATGTTGATGTCTTTGTCGTTGTCGTTGTCATCTTGCAATAAGACAAAAACAGCCAACGCCTTCTTCCCATCTGCCGGCACGATCAGCTCGACAGACGACTGCGCACTCGCCGGCAATGCCGACTTGACGTGGTGCTCAATCTCACCCAGCTCAATCCGCTGCCCGTGCAACTTGACCTGAGTGTCCTTGCGGCCGAGGTAGATAATCGAGCCGTCCGAGTTGTACCGCACTAGATCGCCCGTCTTGTACATCCTGCGACGGTCACCCTTGTGGGCGTGATAGGGATCCAAGGTAGCCCAGGCTGGCATCTCGATAAATGCCTTGGTCGTCTCGACCGGTCGGTTCAGGTACCCCCGTCCGAGAATGGGCCCTTCGATGACCAGTTCTCCGACACACCCCACAGGCACCAGCCGGTCATGATTCTTCGGGTCAACCACCCACGACACGCTGCCGACACTCTTTCCAATGTTGCCGACGTCGCCGTCCGCAGTGAGATGCAATTTGTGCGCCGAGTTGATGGAGCATTCGCTGGGACCGTACTGGTTGTGCACGGGGATGACACCGCCCCAGGCGTCAAGCACTTCCCTCGTCAGCGCCTCACCACCAACGGCCATGCCCCGGATCGAGGGCACCTGTTCAGGCCGCAGCATAGCAGCCACCGTTGGAGTGAGATCCATGAAGTTGGCGTTGAGCCGGGCGATAGCCCCCGGGAGATCCCCCAGACGGTCGGCGTCCGAGGGCACACACACGCACCCGCCGTGAAGGAGGTTGGTAAACATCTCCTCGATGCTGTTGTCGAAAGTGTGGGCTGCGAACTGCAGGAACCGGGTGTGTGGGCCGAGACCTAGAGCCGCGCCGTGGGCGAGACAGCTCGAGACCAGCGCGTGGTGGCAGAGGACCACGCCCTTGGGCTTTCCTGTACTGCCCGAGGTGAACATGATGAAGGCCGGGTTCTCGGGGGTGACCCCCGAGTCGATAGAGCCATCATCAGGGATGCCTCTCGCAGTGAGTCTAGCCAGCAGCGCCGACCCGACAGCCACGACAGAAGGCACCATGTTGATAAACATGCCCGCGCGAGCCTCCGACGCGACGACGACGTTCGCGCCAGCATCCTCAACCTTGCCCTCGAGCGCCGAGGCTGGGTGCGACGCATCTAGCGGAACCACACCGCCACCAGCCTTGAGCACGGCCAGCATAGCGATGGTTGTCCAGGACGTCTTGTCGAGACACACGGGCACCAGCACCTCCGGGCCAACACCGAGCGACCTCAGGTGCCGCGCAAGACGGTTGGCCGCGGCGTTCATCTCGGCGTAGGTGTAGTCGCCGTCCCAGCCGCGGATGGCTTGTGACTGTGGCCGGAGAGCCACTTGTTGCTCGACTCTGTGATGCAAGCAGTCTTGTGTCGTGGCTGGCATGTTGGCGTTCCAGTTCCAAATACGGTCCTTGCTGGTAGCGTGGACGTTGTCGAGCTTGGAAAGAGGTGTGTCGGCGTGTCCGTTCTCGGCCATGTTGTGTAGGGCCTGCAAGAAAGTAGCGGCCACATGCTCGGCCTGTTCCGGGGCGACCGCATCGGTCCAGTAGTCAAGGTCAATGTCTGCTCCGCGGTCGTCTGTCTCGACGTTAAGCGAGATCGGGTACTCTGTCGGGTCGTGGATCGCCCCGAGGTCTTCACAGACCAGCCCGTCCTCGCTGATGCCGTTGGACGGAGAGTTTGGCTCCCGTCGACGATACGAAATACACGTGTTGAACAGCGACATCCCACCAGGCACCTGCAGACCATGCTGCACCTCGGCCAGCGACACCTGCGCATACGGCATGCACTCGAACAGGTCCTTCTGCACAGTCTCGAGCAGGCGCAAAAGCGAGGATTCGGCCTCGAGTTTGACCCGCTGCGTGGCCATGTTGATGAACGGTCCGACTGCATCTTCCGAGCCCTCAATAGTAGCTGCATCACGACCCGAGACGAGGTACCCAAAGCACACTTCGTCCGTAGCCGTGTAGCAGCCCAGCGTCAGAGCCCAAGCAGCGTGGAAAGCATTCGGCAGGGTGAACCCCGTCGCGCTGCAAAAAGCTTGGAGCTTAGCGAGCCCAGGGAACGACACGCGGAGGGTGCGCAGCGCTTTGTTGGCCTCAGGAACATTGACACCGTCGTTGAGCACGGGGAAGTGACACGCGTCGACGCCGGAGAGATGCGTCTTCCAAAAGGCCACGTCGGACTGCAGATTGCGCTGCTGCAGACTGGCCACGAACGGACGGAAGAGGGGCTTGGGGTTTTTCGAGAGAGAGCCTTGGTAGGCCCGGCCGAGATCGCGGAGAAGAATATCCATGGAAGCGCCGTCCATGATGGAATGGCTCATCTCGAGAACGCAGGCGACAGTGTCACGGCTGTGGAACACAGCAAGACGGTGCTGCGGTGCCTCGTCTGCGTAGTCCATGGGCTCGAGAGAATTGACAAGCGCGTGCACCTCCTCAGCATCGGAACACTGGCGGACGGCCATGGGTGGCTCGACATCCCGGAGAACCACCTGGTCGTGGCTGCCGGCCTGTGCTTGGCTGAGGGCATCAACAAAGACGGTTCGCAGTAGCGCATGGTGTTGCACCACTTGCTTCCACGCGCGCACTAGACGCTGCACGTCAACAGCACGGCCCTTCTCGCCGACCTTGGCCTCAAAAGCCCGACGGACGGCGTAGACGCTCCCGCTGTCGTCCTTGGTCCGACTGAGCAGCAGCCCCTGTTGGATGGCTGAAGTCGGGTAGATATCCTCGACAGCATCCCAGCCTTGGCCGTTCGTGAGAAGAGCCAGCTTGGTCTTCTCAAACACGGCCAGATCCGCCGATGACAGTCCGGGAATCAAGTTGAGGTCACCTGCGGTAGTCCGGCGTTGCATCTGCGGGAGAGTAGCAGCCGCTTCGACAAGCACCCCGCGACAGTTGTTCACCCACTGCCGGATGCGCTCCTGGTGCTGCATTGTGCCGTTCCACGCAAACCCAAACCGCAGCACGCCCTGCACCACCACGGCCGAGATCTCAAACAGCGAGAACCGCGGCGCCCGCTGACCAAAGTCCGCCGTAGGACTGCCTGCGTGCGCTTCGCCCGCCATGGTCGCGCCCTCGGCTGGCTGGAATAGGCCGTCCTTGCGCTCGAGCTGCTGGTACCGGCCCAGGAAGTTGAACGACACCTCCATGTTTTGGTGTCGCGGCATCCACTCCTTGCGACCCTCGGCCGTGTGGAATCGGGATGCAAAGTAGTTGCGTCCGTTACCCGGCACGCGCCGACGGAGGTCCTTGACCTGGATGAGTGCGTCGGCCAGAGAGGTGGGGGATGAAAGGGCCACGGGGAACAGTGTGGTAAACCAGCCGACAGTCCGCGCAATGTCGATGTCGTCTTTTGGCGGTTCACGCCCGTGGCCCTCGTTGAAGATGGCCGGGGGGTTCCGGTCGGGAAAGGCAGCTCGGAACGACCAGATGAGGGCAGCCAGGAGGAGGTCAATGGCCTCTGTTGTAAAGGGAGTGTGGCAATCGTGGAGCAGCACATTGCTCGTGTCGAGGTCCAGGTCGAACCCCTCACAGGCTACATCACCATATTGATTCGGCCTATCCTGCATGCCCCAGTAGGCAAACTGCGAATCAGGGACGTCGTCCGCGCAAGGGAGGACATCACGCAAAGACTTGCCGGAGCAGTCGTCGATCTGAAGAGCGGCCCACTTGCGGAAGGAAAGAGAACGGTGGAAAGGAATTGCCGCTGACGACGGGTTGTCCAGCAACTCCTCGACCTCTTCCATGACCACGCGCCACGACACCAGGTCAATGACCAGGTGATGCGCCGTCATAAACAGGATCTGCTGGCGCTTATCCCTGACTTCAAACAGCTCGGCGGCCAACAGCGGGCCCGTCCGCGCATTGAGGCAAGACTGCGCGCTGGCCATGCCTGTGTCCGAGTCTGCTCGGGTCGCGATGGTGTGTGCGCGGAGTCGGTAGGAGGTCTCGACCTCGGAGGTGATAAACTGCATCCACTCTCCCGTTTCCTCCTCTTGTGCGAACCTAGCTCGGAGCATCGCGTGCCGTTGAACAACAACCCGAATCGCATCCCGGACCGCATCTTCCTTGACCGGCCGGGCCAGGCGCAGGCAGAAGCTCTGGTTAAAGTGAGCATCGCCACGGACGCCACCCCTCACCGCAAAGTGCAGGTGCTGGATAGGCGTCAGCGCAAATGGCTGATTTAACGCCGCCTTCTCTGCGGCCTCCTCGCCCTCGACCTGCTGCTCAGTCGGCGCGCTCGTCACCTTGGCCACGGCCGCAAGCTGCCTCAGGGATTTGGCCTTGAGGACATCCTGCACTGACACGCCTAGTCGTGCCTTCTTGGCGTGGCTGGTGCATGCCATGGCCGAGATCGAGTCCCCGCCGAGACTGAGAAAGCTACGGTCGCTGGCGGAGATTTGGTCCGCGGGGAAGTTGAGCACCGCGCTCCAGATGTCGCGGAGCGTGCGTTCCACTTCGCTTAGCGGGGTGTTGTCCTCCGGGCCCGCCGAGGTGGTCGTTGTGTGCTGGGCCCGGATCATCTCCTGGCATTCTTCTGCCGTCAGGGCGTCTACCCAGGTAGACACTGTCTTGCGGTCCATCTTGCGCGACGCCAACATCGGAACGCTCTCCACGCACAACCAGGTCGACGGCACCATGTACGCGGGAAGACGCGATCCGAGGCGAGTCCGGATGCTCTCGAGAACGGGCTCCGTCAACGATGGCGTCTTGGTCAGTTTCATGACACCAACGGCATCGCCTGACTGGGACGCAGAAGCTGAAGCAGCCGCAACAGCCGGATCAGAGAGCGAAACCACAGTGATCAGACGTTTCGCCAAAGGCCCCTTCTTCGGGAGGAGCACCAATGCGTGCTGAACGGCCTGGTCAACCGCCAGATGGTGTTCAATCTCACCCAGCTCGATACGCTGTCCATGCAGCTTGATCTGGGTGTCCTTCCTCCCGACGTAGCTGAGAGACCCCGCATCGGAGTTGTACCGACCCAAGTCTCCCGTCTTGTAGAACCGACGCTCCGAACTATCGGCCCAAGCTGGACCATAGATGAAGCTGTCCTCCGTCTTGACCGGGTCATTGAGGTACCCCCGCGCCAGGCTCGGGCCCTCGAGGAGCATCTCACCGACACAGCCAACAGGGAGGAGCCTGTTGTGGTTTTCCGGGTCGACGATCCAGACGCGCACACCGCAGGGCATGCCGATGTCGGTGGCTTCCGAGTCTGGGCCAACGCGCGAGTTGACCACCGCCGCGACGGAGCTCTCCGCGGGGCCGTAGCCATTGACCAACTCAATGTGAGACCACGTCCCGACGTGCGTCCGGGACATGGCCTCGCCCGCCAACACCAACCGCCGCAGCCCGGGCACTGTGGCCGGGGTGAGGAAATTAATGAATGACGGTGTGAGCACGGCATGGTCCACCTTCATCCGGTTGATAGCTCCCGCCAGGTCATTGAGTCGGTCGTGCTCATCCGGGATACAGACGCACGCGCCCACCATCAACGGCGTAAGGATCTCCACCAAGCTGGCGTCGAACGTGTGCGCCGCGAACTGCAGCACCCGGCACGTCCCGTCGATCCGCAGCCCCGGGCCATGCGCGCGGGCGCTCGAGCAGAACGCTTGATGCTCGATCAGGGTGCCCTGAGAAAGTTAGCTTCGGATATTCTTCAACCAACTCAACGCAATGGGATTAGCATCGGCGTACCTTTGGCTTGCCGGTAGAACCGGATGTAAAGATCACATAAGCAGCATTGGTGCTGCGAACTTTGGAAACCAGTGTGGTCTGCGCATTGCCCTTGGTCGCCTGGGCAATCGTCTCCTGGTCGATCGGCAACACTGTGTCGACGACGCCAGCAAGCTTCTCAGCGAGGTGCGCCGCGGAAAGCACGAGCTTGGCTCCGACGGACTCGCAGAGCCCCCTGAGCCGGTCCAAGGGATGGGATGGGTCCAGCGGGACAAAAGCACCACCGGCCCTCATCACGGCAAGCATGGCGACCACGGTCCATTTCTGTTCTTTGTTAGTTCACTCGTCTCAAGAGAGACTGCTAAGTGGCCGACTGAACCTACCGATTTCTCGAAACACAGCGGCACCAAAACCTCAGGCCCGACGCCCAAGCTTTGCAGCCAAACTGCCAGCCGCCCCGAAACAGCATCCAGCTCCTGGAACGTCAACGATCCGTCCCACGCACATACAGCCTGCACATAAGGGTGATCCCGCACGCGGTCCGCAATCACATCGTGAATGCATCTCGCGACCGGGTCGAGCCGCGCATGCCGCTCGTTCCACGCCTGGACCTGCTGCGCGTTGGCCGCGCTCATCATCGTCGTGGACGACGACGTCAGATCCCTCAATGGCGTCTCGGGCGGGCTCAACAGGACGCCGGATAGGATGGCGCCTAGCGTGCTGGCCACCCGCGCACCCTGTACGGCCGACATGCCGAGCGCGTCGCCGTTCCATTCCAGGGACAGCTTCAGGCTGTTGCTGCGGCTGATGCCGTTGTGGACGTGACCCACTCGCTGGGCCAGGAACCGGATTTTGTGGTGTTGCTGCAGCCAAACGTCAGTTTCATATTTCGTGCATCTTAATTGTCGCCATCGTCATCGTCACTATCGCCAACAGGATCGCGTGCTGCATTGCATGCAGCGCGGCAGAGGGCAAAATCCCAATTGGACGAATTGGACGGGGTGCATTTTGTCCGGGCCGCAGTCGCGGTCGCGACGGCAAGTGCCAGTGGAATGGTTGCCAATTCCTGGATGCACTCGCCCAAAAAAACGTTGTAAAACGCGACCAAAGCGACACGCTCCAAAATACGCTACCAAAATCGAATCTGCCAAAATGCTGGCAAATACGACGGTAACGCCAAACGCGCAAGGTGTGGGCGGAACGGAACCACTTACCGGTGTCAAAACAGGGCACGGCGTCGATCGCCCAACGGAGCTCCACAGCACCACCGCACTGTCCAACATTGACAGATCCGAGTTTTCGGTTGCGACGAACCGGGGTGGGGCCCGGGTCCAGGAGCCGGCAAGCTCCGTCTTGGCGCGCCCCACAACCCCGGCAATATTGCCGGCGTCGTCGGCGACAACCACACGGGCCACCTGCGGACCCTTCTGTCTCCGGTTCCGGTTTTGGTCCCCGTCGTCGTGACCCACAGCAAACGCGTGCTCAAACGCAAAGCAGGTGTCGTCCTGCCCGGTATAGCACCGCAACAGCAGCGCCCACGCGATGGCGAGGACAGCACCCAGGCCGTCCACGTCGTCGGCCGAGAGCTGCTGCAGCGCCGCGTCTTCGCGAGCTCCGTCGATTTGCACCGGGGCGGATTCAATGCGAGCAACCGAGCCCGAATCCGTATTTGGGCGGCCGAACCGGGGAAAATGGCAGGGCGTGAGACCCCGAAGGTAGGTCTCCCAGTCGTTGGTGTTGGCGTGAGAATCCATGGGGAAAATAATGGACACGTAAAGTTGGCGAGTATTAGTCGGGATTTGTGGCGAAGTGTGGTGAGTTGGGTGAATTGGAGGAGAATGAGTGGTAAGTTGGCGAGGAACAAATGGGAATTGGTGAGAATCGATGTTGGGTGCAATTGACTACAGGTCAGCGTCAACTGACGGAATCCGGGTTGTCGTTAAGTTGAGATTGCGAGAGTCCTGGGAACCGGTGATGTGAGGTCAAAAGTGTGGTAGTGGTTATCACTCCGGGTATCAATGTCGGTGGTGAGGGTGGCCGCTCAAGGTGAATAGTGTCACCGAGGCGTTTCGGTGGTGGAAATTGGGAATGTCGTTTGTGCCGTACAACTTGGATACCTGTGTTGCCGTGAATGTTGCTGAAAAATCGGTTCAGCAAACGCAAATATGCGGGCGGCGAAAGGGCAGTTTGCGGAATGCAGGTATGTCCGTAGGCTTCTCGACGGTGATAAAAGGGCGAAGGGGCAAAACACCGAAGAATATTGCTGCAAAAATGCAACGGTCTTGGTTCGACTTGGGCAGGCCGTCTCGGCAACGCAATGTAGATCACGCAACCTGTCCGGGTATACCCCAACTTATCGCTGAAGCAAGAACCACGGTGGGACTGACCAGGGGAATACGAAAAACAACGATCGCAGGAGTCAACGTCCATGGCTCAGGATCGACATTTCGCCAGATATACATGTGCAACCGATTGCCCGTATCCCAGCCTGTTGGATCGCCATGTCATCAAAACACCTTCCAGCTCGTCCCGAACATCCGCCCTTCACTTCAAACGTTCCAAGACAGGCATGGAAGACGAACCAAAATTTCAAAGACGGGGGAATAGTTGCGGCCGCACCGTTCTGAGAATAGCTCAACATTGACGCTCGTGTGCCAGATCCCGGGGTTGGCTGGGGTTCGCTCTCGCGTTTGTCTTGTTGTCTTTGCAGTGATATTGCTCCGCTTGCATGTTTTCCCCTCTCTCATTACCATAGTATTACCCCATCCATCTCCGGCTCATCCGCTTCGCCACGATCGGAGCGGCGGAGGGCACAGCGATGACAGTTACACTACAAGGTACCATCTCGAAAAATCTTGACAGACGGTTATTTTTGGGCCGCCCAACGATGCCGGCCACCATGAATTTTTTTCCCGCATCGGGGTGCCTTTCGACTCTGGCCCCAAGGGGCCCAGACCGTCGCTGTCCATTGCTGCCCTGGGTAAAGTCGCAGCCCGGTCCGTCGCCTCGAGCATCGATCGACAGTATTGTTACGCCTTTGGGAAGGTACTCCAACACGTGTACATTCATCCTGAGCCTGGCTAGAGCCTGGAAGATGCTTTGGACGGTTCCAAGACGGGAACCACTGGTCGTGCATGCAGGGGTCCGGGGTTTGCTCTTGGCAAGCGGGTCGCTGAGGCTACCAAGGAGCAAAGTCACAAAGTCTCCATGGTGCCAAGGCTTGCTAGGGCAGGGGTTCAACGTCAAGCGACTCGGGAGTGGGGCTTGCCGTTCAGCTCCCTGCGGGAAATCTCGCCGGGACCCTTGTAAGCCGCCCCGAGACGGGAAACGGTTCGGTCGATCACCTGGGGCAAACGGTAAATAAACGTCCATCAGTCACCACGCCTCTGACGGCGAAGGCAGGCGAGCCTAAGCCTCAACAGCCCAAACCCTATCCTTTTACTTGCCCACACACCCACCTCCCCGAGCTTGGCGTGTTCTTTCTCTCTCAACCAAGCCTCATCTTTCCCCTCGTGCCCACCTTGCAGCCATTCCACAGGCGCAGCCGGACCTGAACGGAACAGCCCTTGAAGCTGGCCCAAAACGGCTGCTTATCCGCCCTCCGGAGCTCTTCGTCCTCCCGCAGCCACTGCCGCAGCCACGCGGCAGCTCGGATTACCATACGAGTACACGTGTAATAATACGCCGTACGGATCTGGTAATTACACCTTAACCCTCCGTACCTTTTTTCTTCCACCCCTGCATTTTGCCGACCTCCACGCACCGCAGTTCCCCTCTCTGCTGTCCTGCAGCACTGCAGTCCACCAATGTAGGTACCCACCGCCAGCCGCAAAGCCGCAAAGCCGCAGGGGGAGGAGGAGGGGGACAAGCCAACCAGCTGAAAAATTGCCAGAGATCTCTTGACAGCTCGCAGGCGCCATTCTCCACTCGGCGACGTCGGCGTGATTATCTGGGCTGCGGGCACGCCACTAGCCGCATGACTGACGCTGACCGGACTGGCTGGCCATCGAGCAAAAATGCCGAGTTTTCTCGCAAACGCCACAAAGCATATTTGTCTCACTTTTCACGCCCTTTGCCCCACGGCACGGCCGTGCTCTCCGCACCTGGCGTGCAGATCGCCTCATCCAGGACCAGGTTGGTGTCGTCGTTTGTTGACCAGACATCGAGAATCCGTGTTCGGCCTCGACATCCAATCAAATACATCGGCCCCCAGCCAACGGAACCGGTTGTACCTACTGTAAAAAACAGGATTTGACTACTTCCGTTTTTTTATGCATGTCTGCTGGAAATTTCCTGTTTTCTCACACTTTCCGTCCAGTTTCCGTTTTATGGCTCATCCCTCAACTCTTATGTTTTCTTGGTAGCTAGCTTCCCATCAGTCGTTCCCACTTCGCCCAATTTCCCTTCGTTTGCCGGCACCTCTGCTTATGGTTTGAACCTGCGGGCTACCCAGCTCGTTTGTTACTCGCCAACCGCGTCCAACCAAACGGCCTTGTGCCGACAGCCGTCGTCGTATTCGCCCAGCTTCTGGCCATGTGTCAACCCAACCATCTAGCCATCAAAGCGGGTCCTGTTTTATTAATATCAATATTCTTTTTTTCCTCTTCCTGCATCTTATTCTGGCTGGATCGCGTTTCCGCCTCCGGACTTCCCGTTCGCCAGCCAAGCGAGCCCCCCCCTGCTATTACATCCATCATACATACATCAATCACCATGGCGTAACGTCCCATTTCCGGATTTGTTGGGCACCGGTTCGAGGCGTGGTTCAGTCCACCACCACCCCTCACCGGGGAGCATGCGTTGTCACATCGTCCACCGCCATCAATGATGGAATTGATCGGCCGATGGACAGCCCGTTGCTGATTTTTCTTTCTTTCCTGTCTCCCTTGCTCAGCCATCTCGATAGTCTGCCTACCTGGCTAGCCTCTCGCTTGTCTATTCCTCCGTTGGCCGGTTCTTGGACCGAATCCCGGGTGAGCGGCCCCCCAAGCCCGGCTAAGACAGGAAGTCGATGCGTGTTTGAAAAGAAAAAGAACTTTGGGAAAGTCAATATGTAGCCTTGCAAACCCGGTCAAATCCCGTCCCACGACGCATGTATCTCCTTTGACCTGCCCTTCTGCGACATCCCTCGTGCCGATCGACTATCACTGCCTCTCCCGTCCTATTTCCTGGGTTATTTTGTCTATTTTTCTTTTTGTCTCCTCATCGTTCTTTGGTTATCCCTTATCCCCTCGGTTCTTCTTACCGCCGTAGGCCTGCTTCCTGCCTTACGTGCCTTCTCTGTTTGTGGAGCCTGTGTTTGACGACCATGGAACACTCCTCTCATGGTGCGTGTATACGCATCGACGACACCTTTGGTCCGCATGCGGGGCCCTGCCGTGGCGGGTTTGACTTCACCCTTCTCTTCGAAGAGGTTATTCTCACTCTCCTCCCGGCGGGGATCATACTTTTGGCGCTACCATTCCGTCTCTGGTACCTGGCCCAGCGCGTGAAAAAGGTCCAAGGAAACAGCCGCTCGCTGACGGCTATTAAGTTGGTGAGTTGAAAAACAACAATACCAGCCCCTGGTTTCAACATGAAACTCCGGTTCCTCGCCGCAATATTCGAGTCCCATGGACCCGGTTCCCTCGCTAACCTCCCGCTTTTTCCCACCCGCTCTGCAGTTGTCTTGGGCAGCTCTGGGTGCACTGCAGCTTGCTGCATTGATTCTTTGGGCGACCCCGTCCGCCGCTAGAACGCAGACCACTTTGACCGCCGCGGCGCTTGCTTTGGTAGCCACCCTTGGACTTGCTCTCCTTTCATACGCCGAGCACACACGGATTGTACGACCTTCATCTATCGTGAACACCTTCCTGTTCGCTACCCTCTTGTTCGACATTGTCCATGTGAGGACCCTGTGGCTGCGTGCGGCCACACATGTGGAAGACATCATCTCGTACCTGGCTACGGCCGCGGCCGCAGTAAGGGCAGCCCTCGTCGTACTCGAGGCTCTAGAGAAACGCCGCTCGCTTCGTCCCGAGTACCAGGCATACCCGCCCGAGGCAACCACCAGTATTTACAACAGGACCTTCTTCTGGTGGCTCAACCCTCTGTTCCTTCAGGGATTTCGCCGCGAGATCGATGTCGATGACCTCTTTGTGCTTGACAAGCATCTCAAGGCGTCATACGGTTACCAGCGGTTTTACACGACCTGGACCTCAAGTATGTTGTTTTCTTTTCTTTTTTTCTTGTTACTCCACACATAATCTTCCCCTTTTTCGATCGTTCCTTTTTGATTCCCATTCCCCCGTATTTTATTCGTTTGAACTCTTTATTTTTTCGTATTCATTCTCGGCTTCGGGTACTCGGGTTCGGCTTCGGATTCGCTTTCTGGAGTTTGTACCCGATTGCTTTTTTTTCATCGGCATGTTTTTCCTCTGGCTTCACTTTCTTTTTCTCTTGAAGTTTTAAGGTTTCGCCCTGTCGATCCGTCATCCTTCGTTGCTGGGTATCATTATTCCCCACTTTCGCTCGCTTGGCGCCGTTTCCCGAGACAGTGTCCGTCATCCCCCTCAAAGTCTTAGCCACTGTGCGAATGGGGTTCGCGTCGCCGATCGTCGGGGATAATTCTGGACTCGTTTAATTCGTTTTCTCCCGCTTTCACTAACACCGACCTCCACCGCGCAGTTGTCAACAAATCACCATACTCCCTTCTTGGCGCATCATATGGCATTCTCAAATGGCCCGTTCTGCAAACCATTCCGCCCCGAGCGTGCCTCACTGCGCTATCTTTTTGCCAGCCATTTCTCATCAATCACGCAATCGCGCTTTCTGAGCAACCGGTCAACGATGACACCACCCAAAGGGGCTACGGCCTTGTCGGGGCGTACATTTTTGTGTACGTCGGTATTGCCATTACCATGGGCCAATATCAGCACCGCACCTATCGCACCATTGCCATGCTCCGCGCTGGCCTAATCTCCATCATCTACCGCAAGACTGGGAGCTTGAGCCTCAAGGACATCGATCCCGCGGCGTCTATGACGCTGATGAGCGCTGACATCGAGCGCATCGTGCAGGGGTTCCAAACGATGCACGAGATCTGGGGCAATGCCATCGAGGTTGGAGTCGCCATTTACCTCTTGGAGCGACAATTAGGTGTCGCCTGCGTTGTGCCTGTTGCGGTATCAATCAGTATGATTATTCAACCGGCCTCCTTTATCCCTGTGTGGACTTGGTTGACTGACTATGCATTTAGCTTCCCTTCTTGGGTCTATCTTCGCCATGAACTTTATCATGTCCCGCCAAGCGATGTGGCTCGAGGCTATTGAGAAACGTATCTCGGCAACATCTGCCATGCTCTCGTCCATGAAGGGCGTCAAGATGTGCGGTCTCAAGGATACTCTGCTCACTAACCTACAGCAGCTGCGGGTGGATGAGATGCGCATCTCCAAGAAGTTCCGGAGGCTTCTTATCTGGAACATGATCTTCGGTAAGTTCGAAAACGCCTTGAGCCAATGGGTTAGTAGGAACGGGCCGAGTCTAACTGCTTCACAGCGTACCTTACTCAGGTGTTTGCGCCTGTGCTCACATTCACTGTCTTCTCGGTCCGCGCCCGTGACACCGGCGACACGACCTTGGACACTGCACGGGTCTTTACCGCGCTGTCTCTCTTTGCACTCCTTTCGGAACCCCTGGCGTCCCTGGTCATGGCACTCGCTGCTTATCTCGGCGCTGTGGGTAGCATCGTCCGCATCCAACAGTTCCTTGAGTCCAAGGAGAAGACAGAGACCCCCAAACCAGAAGACTTTGGCGAGAAGCCCATGATCGATAACTCCGCCGCCGAGGCCGTTGTCGTCCAGGGTGGTAATTTCGGCTGGGATTCTGAAAAGGAGCCACTCCTGAAGGATGTCAACTTGTCCATCCCATGGAGGAAGTTCACCATGATTGTCGGGCCCGTAGGCTGCGGCAAGTCAACACTGCTCCAGTCGCTTCTCGGAGAGGTCCCCGCCCTCTCAGGCTCGGTGTGTCTTGGGACCACCAGCATTGCCTACTGCTCGCAAGACCCTTGGCACATGAACGGCACCATCCGGGAAGCCATCATTGGTTGCGAGGAGCCCGACGAGTTGTGGTACGCCCATGTCGTGCACGCCTGCTCCCTTCGGCGGGATTTCCGAGAACTTCCCTTGGGCGATTCCACTCGCATTGGTAGCGGTGGTGTGGCTCTAAGTGGTGGACAGAGCCAGCGGATTGTGAGAATCTTTCTTTCCGCACACCCCCCTTTTGAGAGGATCGGTAATATACTGACAATTCATTCAGGCCCTGGCTCGTGCGGTGTACGCCCGAAGGAAAATCGTTATTCTAGACGATGTTCTTGGCGGGCTGGATAACACGACCGAGAACCACGTCTTCCACAACCTTCTTGGCGACAAAGGCCTGCTTCGTGAGATGAACTCCACCGTTCTTATTGTCTCATCGTCTGGTACGTTTACACGCCGCATCGCCCCACGAAGTTGCGTAGTCCTAACGAATTGACCAGTCAAACGCCTGCCCTATACGGACCACATCGTATGCATCAGTGCCAACGGAGAAATCGACTCCCAAGGCACCTTTGCGGAGCTCAACAGCGCTGGTGGCTATGTTTCATCGTTTTGTCTGCCCCAGGCCAACTGGGTGTACGTCCCCGAGAGTGATGATCAAACGATGCAGCTTGATCTCCTCAAAACTCCTGAAAAGGCTGTCACCATCATCCAGCAAGTTAAGGAAGGGGAGTCCACCGAGTCTTTGGCTTCGAGTGACACAGCGTGTCCGGTCGAGGGCGAAGATGGAATGAGTCGCCGAACAGGTGATGTGCAGGTTTACTTTTACTACATCAAGACGGTCGGCTGGTGGGCCACCCTCTTGTTTGTGCTCTCCATTACCGCCTTCGTCTTCTGCATGTCATTCCCGAGTAAGATAACACCTGATCTCCTGTGCATTTTCCACGGCTAACCCACTTCATAGCTATCTGGGTGCAATGGTGGGCGGCATACAACGAGGACAATCCCAACGGCGAGCTTGGATATTGGATCGGTATCTACGCGATGCTGGGCGGTGTCGCCCTTGTTTGCTTGTTCATCAGCTGCTGGTAAGTGCTCCTCGTGTCGTTATACGCACAGGGACCACACTAACTCGGATGCAGGTCTCTGATCATGACTATGGTGCCTTTGTCGGGAGAGAAGTTCCACTTGGAATTGCTCAAAACGGTTCTTAGCGCGCCCATGTCCTTCTTTGTCAAGACCGATTCTGGCGTCACGCTGAACCGTTTCAGTCAAGATCTGCAGCTCATCGACATGGAATTACCCGTTGCAGCTCTCAACACGTTTGCGAGTAAGTCTTTTGTTATTCTTCCTCAACCTTGCATTATCTGACGAGATGCAGCATTCATTCTCTGTCTTGCACAGATGGCTCTCATCGGATACGGCTCCGTTTACGCGGCCATCTCGTTCCCCATTGTGCTTATATCGCTGTATCTCATCCAAAAGGTGTACCTCCGCACATCCCGGCAGCTCCGTCTGATGGACCTTGAGACCAAGGCCCCTCTGTATTCGCTATTCGAAGAGTCACTCAGTGGCATTGCTACCATTCGCGCTTTCGGTTGGCAAGACAAGCTGAATGACAGGAACCACCAACTCTTAGACCGGTCGCAACGCCCCTTCTACCTCCTCTTCGCAGTCCAGCGTTGGCTTACGATGGTCCTCGACCTTGTTGTTGCCGCCATCGCTGTCTTGCTTATGGTACTGGTGGTCCAGCTCCGTGGTACGATGGCTGCGGGCGGTGTCGGTCTTGCGCTGCTCAACGTGATTCAGTTCAGCCAGAACATCAAGCTGCTCGTCACCTTTTGGACCACTTTGGAGACGCACATTGGTTCGGTGGCTCGTATCAAGAGCTTTACCCAGACGTCGGTGCCCGAGGATCAGCCAGAAGAGACACAACAACCCCCTCCAGGGTGGCCTAGCGCCGGAGCCATTGAGTTTGACAACCTATCGGCAGCTTACAAGTAAGATTCCTTGTCCGACCCCGAAATCTGAGGACACCGTGCTAACCACCAGCCCATGACTATAGCCGTGATAATATGGTCTTGAAACAGGTGAACCTGTCCATCAAGGCTGGGGAAAAGATCGGTGTGTGCGGGAGGACTGGCAGCGGCAAGACCTCCCTCATCATGACACTTTTCCGCCTTGTGGATATGAAGGGGGGTGCCATCCGCGTCGACGGAATTGATGTGTCTCAGCTCCCGAGGCAAGAGGTCCGAAGCAAGATCGTCGCCGTGCCACAACATCCCTTCCTTCTCAAGGGTTCCGTTCGCCTCAATGCGGATCCAATGGGGCAAGTTGGGGATGACCACATTCTTTCCGCACTTCAATCTGTGCAGCTTTTGACAACGGTCGAGAAGAATGGGGGCTTGGACGCTGATGTCGATGACTTGAACTTGTCAATCGGCCAGAAGCAGCTGTTCTGCCTTGCTCGAGCAATGCTACGGCCTAGCAGTATTCTCATCCTCGATGAAGCGACTAGCAGGTTAGTTGAATCCCTTCGTTCTCCTTTTTCTTTATTTACTTTTTTCCTCCTTTTGTTCTTTCTTGGCACTGTCACACTGTGTCCGTTTTCGCGCTTAACTAACGTTGGGAACAGTATTGACGCGAAAACGGAGGAGGTCATGCAACGTTTGATTCGCCGGAAATTCGCCAACCACACCATTATTGCGGTCGCTCACAGGATTGAGACGATTATGGATTTTGACAAGGTGGCAGTGCTGGATGCGGGGCGGCTTGTCGAGTTTGACAATCCTTACCGCCTCTTAGAAACTACAGGGTCTGCTTTCGGGAAATTGTACAGTGCGGCGCTCCAAGAAGAGGAGGAAGATCTGGATAAGAAGCGAAGGTAGCATTTGTGTAGTATTTACGGTTTGTGTATTTCGTCCTCAATCTAGTCACAAAGTGAGAAAGGGCCGGTCTCGTCGTCATTAGGTCCATACCTGGTCAATAATTACCAGGCAGGAAATGGCATGAAATTCTTGTTATCAACCTAGCCACGTATGCCGTAACGGTAATCACGTATGAAGTATAGATCCTTAATGTAGGCACGCTCATAGTATCCTGAGTTAAAATGGATGGTATGTGTGGGCTATGAATAGCAGATGTTGGCCTAGTCGGGCGGCTTACCTCCGACCGACGTGGGGGTTCGGGATGACCCGAGCAGGTCGGAAAACATACATAACAGACTTTCACGGTCTCGCGCATTTTTCTTGGCGTACTCGCTTGTATCATGCATCCGACTCGGGGAACGGTTTCTCTCCCAAGTACATGTAAATAACGTTGCGTACGATCTGGGGGACAGGCTTCGCGCTGTGGAATGGTCCCGAGTAACTGAGTTGCGGTCTCATTTATGAAGGCTGCTACGTCATGGTTTGCACCGGGTTATAAACCACAAACTTAAAATACCCTGGAATAGCGTTGTTGATGACAGAATTGGTCTCAGAATGGTCGAGTGGAAGATGCCGGGGTCCCATGTGTGTAATTACAACACGGGGATAGGCTTGGTAACGCGTCACCATCTACAGAGCAGTGTCGAGGTACATGTAACCCGGGCAAGTCTTCCCAGTAGACTACATACACGCGAAGTGTTCATGTATTAGTTAAGCAGAACGGAAATTCCAAGGCACCAAAATAGCACAGTCTGTTGAAGCAAACTGCAGGGTGTTCAGCGGGTTCCTGCCTCGCTGCAAACTCAAGTGACCTCAAGCTACCGTGTTGGGCAACGAAAGCGATAGGAATTGCTGCTATGTTATTTTTGTATGGACGACATGAAGTCATAAACCAAGGGTTAGACGGTCGAACATCATCGCTCCATTTAGATGCTTACCAGGCTATAATTACTGGCCAACCTTCCAGAAGGCACAAGAATAGCTCAACCACCTTCGATCGGTTCAACCACCCGCGCGGGTTCTTGCATACCATCTTCCCGGTTTATGTGGCTGACCCCTTGGCAATGCGAGACGCGATCTGATCTCGTCATACCTCACGATGCCCGGCAAGGTTGACAGGGCGGAAGGTGTGCAAGAGCGGCAATCGATCGACAATGGTCTTCCACGTGGGGTGAAGATCCACGGAGACACTGCCGATCAGCAGTTTCTATTTTAACCTCCTGCTCGGGTTCGTCCCCAGAATTCGGATGGGAGGGGGGGGGGGCATTGAGCACCAAGAAGTGGGCTGGCAGTCTGGCACTGCCACACGGTCCGGATGTGTGGACTGTTGGTTCGGGGCTGCAGCCCGACGGCAGGCTTACTTCTCGGCACGGAACAACTTCTGTCATTCCGTGCCACACAGACAGGAGAGACCGCAATTACTCCACATGATTGGTTGAATCGGAGAATAAGACATGTTTCGTAATGATGCAAGTCGTTAAAGCTTTCCCCGCAATTGATAGAATCTCACGACGATGGACCTGCGAGTGGGACCAACTAGTAGTCGTAACCCCTTTCGAGTGTATCAACAACCAAAATCTGCCGTCGATGGGGGCTCAGAGGTAATGCCAACAGTCGGTGGAACCCGCCGCGGACAATCATGCAACACTTCGATGGCGAAAATTTCTAATTTGGCACAACCTTCCCGAGTATACTCATTTTGGTGTCGCAGAAGATTGTGAGATGCGTGAGCTGTTGGATAGTTCGACCGATGATCTTCAACTACCCGTTCTGAACAGAGTCTATTCTAAGTAATTGAGGGAATGGTGGATGATCATGGCATTGTGTATAAAAGGGGCATACTCATGCCGCATTCTAACCGTTAAACTATCTAAACCAAACTACTACCATCTATCTTGCTCACTGCCCCTCTCAGCTGCTACAGAGTTTATTGTGTCAGTATTTTGTTTGACACCAACCACTTCCCCATTAATTACACTTGCTTCAACGAACCAAAATGAAGTTCCAACTTATCACAACCGCCGCTGCCATCTTTGCGGCAACCGTGGTAGCCCTCCCTGCCCCGCAAACCGACGACCACGGACTGCTGATCGACACTGATGACTGGGTCGAGGGTGATGGTGCCGACGGCATCGAGGCCCGCAACATTGATGCCGTCAAGGCTCGCATCACCCGCGATTTACACGGGCTTGAGCCGGATACAGACGACTGGGCTGATGTCGCGGGCATCGAAGCTCGAGCGCGCCACATTAATGAAGCCGCTGTGAACTTCAACTTTACTAGCGACTTCGACTTCGCCCTGGACCGTCTCCTGGCCGAGATTTTCGACATCCCGGACGAGATTCTGCGCCAGGGTGACGAGGCGCTCCACCGATGGTTGGTCGAGCATGGCCACCGCCGGAACGACCAAAAGACCAAACGTGATATCAACACGCCCGAAGCGACTCCCGCGAACAATCTCCACAGCCGTGCCTCCATTTGGGAGGTCGCCAAGTGCGTCGCAGCCATCGTCCAACTTCTGGCCACTACGGCCGTCCCTGCGACCAAGCTGCTCCGCATCAAGAAGTACATTGAGGCTCTGGGTGGTGTCAAGCAGGCTGTCCAGCTCCTCCTGGGAGCCACGACCTACGCCGAAAAGCTCCGAGTGGGTGGGGAGGTACTCGTCAACTTGTCTGCCGAACTCCTTGGCATCAGCACAGTGAGCAAGAACTGTTTCTAAATGACGGGGGTTGAAGGTATACTTTAGCTGAGGGGGACCGAGTGATGAATACGTCCTGGAAGTTGATCGCGGTACACTCGACGGCAAGGGGGACCGGTCCAGAGCAGGAAGGACAGTGCATTACACGCACTGGGCCATCTTTTCGTGCTTTCCTCGTGTTTGTTGCCTGTATTCTTAGAACGATGAAAGATATGTCGCTTGTTTGTTGCTATTACCTCTGCATGATGTGACCTTTTGAAGTGGATTATTAAAACAAATGAGCTACTTCTCCATCAGCTGATTCAAACTCAGCGATCACGCCCTTATCATGAATCCTGCTCACTCCCAAGTGTCTAGACATGCAAGTCCTGCACGGCAACCCCATCATCAACGCACCTAGTTCTATGGACACTATCACCAGTCTTGCCAGCGCAAATCTGGAGACACTCGGTGGATTCCCATCCAATCAGAACTTTCGGACGGATGGGGGAGTACAGAGCCCTCCATCGAGCAATTGTGTGCGACGCTGGGCTGGCCCCAGGAATGTGGTAGGCCGTTGTGGCGGTGGCGTCCTGAAGGTCACTGCCAGTGGCAAGAAACCCACAGAGCTAAAATGTGCACATCGTGCCGCGGGCGTGCAGGCATTCGGATATGATGGACGGGTCGGGGATATGCTGGGCGGAGGGGCGTTGATGGCGCCACCCCCCTGTGCTGACCAGTGGCAGCGGTTGTGGTGGTTGTCTGGATCGGTTTTCTGGCAGATGCCGAGAGTTTTCAGAGCCTGATCGGCTCCCTTATCTCGGCCCGGCCACCTCATGGGAGTCATCAGTGACGCCCACGACCAGGACGGCCGACGGCGCGTGGGCGACGGACATGGGAGTGTTCTGTGACTGTATGGGGCTTTGTGGTTCCCAAAGCAGAACGTCATGGATGTCGCCCCGCCAAAGACCGGCGAGATAGACTTCACAAGCTTCGTTCGCTACGAAAACAGCTGCTGCCCGAGAGGGAAGGGTCGTTGCTCCAGTCTGCAGGGATGATGTCACATGTGAAACATGGGGAGATCCAGTCCGAGTGCTTCCCAACCTTGTAGAAATGAGGCTAGTATCAGCAGCTCATATCAAAAGGATACACCCACGGCCTAAATGCTTCCACATTCGTCGCGACGAAGCGATTCTGCTGTGTCCCACGGCATGGTCGGGAGCGTAGAGTGGGGCCATTCGGAGCCGTGGTGTGGATCGGCCCGGCATCGGCCGGGGTCTGAATCCCGTCTTCGGCGTTGTGGAGCCGCGCTTGACGGACAAATAATAAAATAAATCAACACCGAAGCCGCCGAGCGCACCGCGGCAGGTATTTATTTATAACAGAAGTCGAGATCAGCAAGAATCGTTAGCGAGGGTGGGTGGCTTGTGTAAAATATAACTCCGAGAGGATTTTTCTTCAGCTACTTAGACACTGAAAGACAATGACCGATTCCAACAGGACTTTTTTCTTTTATATTAATTATCACATCTACAGGTCCACTCTGTCGCACTCGTAGATGCTCACGATTTTCAATTTTCGTCGTCATGCAACTATACCAATCTTGATTTATTTCCCGCAGACACGCAACGTTTGGGGTTGAAAGTAAGTTATTACGCCCTGGACCAGTCCTTGCTCTTTCTTGCCAGCTCACACTGACTGAAGCCATTCACCTGATTTCTTTTCAGTTGCACATCTCCCTTGGCGCTGGTCGCCCTCCCCATTCGAGGCGTTTACAACATTAACAAATTTCTCTAGCACCTGGACCAGGAAAATTTCATGGTGTGCCTAAGATCAACGCAGATATAATAAACGCACTCGGCTTAATTACCACGTAATACACTTTTTATCAACAGCGGTTCACAGAGGGAGGTTAATATCCCTCATAACGATGGTGCTGGTCTCGTGAAGCTGATTCAAATTTCTGTTTCCCATCTACGTAGCCCCGGCTGTCTAGTGACGTGGTTGAGGGGTCGACTTTCAGACAAATCCCGCGATATGGGGGACGGAGACGACAGGTAGAACCCTGGCCCTTGGCGTGACCGTTTTGAGCGAGCTGCGAAACAATGACACGAGTATTAATGCATCCAGATGCAAACTCCTCCCACTATCAATGATTCCGTTTGGGGCAGGTGGTCAACACAGATACCCCCGATCTGGCGCTCGGAGGCGATACCACCTTCGTCTTGATCAATTTCATTTCCCCATCGCCAGTGCTCCATAAAGCCGCGCCCATCCGATATCACGGCATCTAGCATAAACCCGGCGTCTGTGTAGTCTCAGATATTAATTCCTTCCCCCAAGCCTAACACTGAGTAACAACGTCGTATTGCTAAGGTCATATCCGAATGCCGAGAGACCTCCTTCCAGGCCCGGTTACCTGGCTAGGCTTTTGCACATCACACGGAATGTTTTTCCGTGCCACCCCGCATGCACCCCAAGGTACCTGCAAGCTCGGTAAAATCGGCAACATTATATTTAGCCTCATTCATTGTTTTCTTGTGGCATTCCCCGACGATACTCTTCCAGAGTACCAACGGCGTCCTCTCAGTCAATAAATTTGGTAAATTAATTTCTGGACACATTGTCACTCCCTATGCTTGGCCCGTATAGCCTAGCCCACCTTCCGGCTTCATGATTTACGGCCGGCAGCTGATGATGGTAGAGAAAGTAGGTGATATGAGAGCGGCACGAAGGGAAATCAAAAACAGAGTTCAAAATGTAAGGACCAACCTTGACGCCCATTGATTCTGAACCGGACCCTGATCGAACACACACACACCAACATTTTTGTCTGTTTGTAAGGTCTTCCGAGGTGCCGACATGAGGGCTATTTACCTTGGCTTCGCAGTGGCTTTATGCTGGACGGGTGTCTTCGGCAGTAGCCCGTCAGACAGAAACTTAGCTGAGAGACACCGACTCGCATCTTCGAATGGCCCGCATCGCCACCGCTGGGCCAGCAGCAACTTCGCGGCGCTCGGATTGCGACAGGCTACCGGTCAATGCGGAGCGCAGTATGGAAAGTGTACGGGAGATCTCTGTTGCTCCGAGTACGGCTTCTGCGGCGATTCGGCCGACCACTGCAACCCGCTTTTCAACTGCCAGCCAGAGTATGGCAGCTGTGGGTGGCCACGAACATCCTCCTCCGCAATTCCCAGCACTTCCGCTCCACCAACTAGCACCAGAAGCAGTAGCAGTGTGCCAACGAGCACCAGCACAAGTGTTGGTGGGACCACCACTTCCGCGTCTTCAACCAGCGACCTGCCTCCGACGTCGACGTCTAGCAGCGGACCGGCTCCCACAGGAGGCCAGCAGGTAACAACTGATGGCAGGTGCGGCAACAGCACCATCTGCATCGGCAGCTCCGACTTTGGGCCTTGCTGCTCCCAGTTCTTTTGGTGTGGCTCAAGTGTAGAGTTTTGCGGTCCCGGCTGTCAGGGCGACTTTGGGGCGTGCTTGGGAAACCCGGGCATCCCTGGTAACCCGCCAACAAACGGCACGACCACCATTAGCTCAACAACTAGTTCAAGCACTGCTGGACCAACCTCTTCGATTCTGTCCACGACAGAACCGCCCACAACGACGTCTTCGGAAGCTCCTCCCACGAGTACCTCATCGTCCCCGCCTGAGGTGTCACTACCCCCAGGCCAAACACCAAGCACCGACGGAAGGTGTGGCAATGGAGTCAACTGTCTCGGATCGACGTATGGACGATGTTGCAGTCAGTTTGGGTACTGTGGAGATGGCGATCAATTCTGCCCGCCTATCGTTGGTTGCCAGCCCGATTTTGGGTACTGCGAAACATAGTCAATCACTCATATCTCGCGAAAACTGGGGATGGAAGACGTCTAGGAAGAGGGATGGCCATGTGCGTGAGCGGTGGGATAGGGTGGGTTAGAACGGTCGATAGCGCTGCTGCTGCTTGTTTGTTAACTGAGGAATACCAACCCCTTGTCGAGTTGACGTCCGTAGAGACCCGCTTGTGACAAAGGAACAGAAGGAACACGCAAGTGAGAGATGCTAAGGATCGCACCCAAAAGCCATGTATTTCGCCCCGTATCCCGCTATGCCCGACGACCAACTCCAACAAACTCCAGCTAACCACAGCTCGCTTTGCTTCGGTTTCACTCTCGACCACTACCCTCTTCCACCGTTGTAGTCGGCACCCCCCGCTTTGCGCAACTCGGCGATAATACCGGCCTCGTCCAAATCCCGTGGGTCGGCGGCGTTCACCTTCCTGTGATGCGACAACACCGCCCCCACCTCCCCGGACTCGATGCTGACGCGCGCTTTGCGCATGACCTTGGTGTCCTTGCCAATCCAGACGACCAGGGCGAACTTGATGCGCTTGCTCTCAGCATCATTGGCATACTCGACGCGCACGTACCCGTACTGCACTTCCCTGTCGTCCAGCGCGTCTGCCAGCTCTGGCAGCCCACCGGTTCCCGTTTTGCTGAGCGCCAACTGTTTGCTCCCCGGGGCACTGTCGGAAATGAGCAGCCAATTTGTCTCGTCGTCGTCGGAACGGACGGCATCGTACGCGGCTTGGATTTCGGGAGATCTGAGGCCGGACATGTTGGCGGTGCTTCGATTATAGGTTTAACGACTGCGCGCGTTGGTCTTTGGGGAGGAGGCGGGTTGTCGCGAAAGGAATCTTCGAAGGCCGGTCACGGGGGTCGTGGAGATTCGATGGCCGGGTAAACGACGAGTTGCGAGGTCCGTCGGCTCTTGATCAAATTAAGGGGGACCAGCCTGGAGCCGGGTTGATGTTCAACTGCCCAACGAAAATTGCGGTGAAGCGTGCCAACGTTTGGATCATGGAAGAGGGGCAGATTTGGGGGTTTCAGGGTCCTCTGTCGATCAAGGGCTTGGCGTTCATGGGCGAGAAAGGGGGTTGCGGCGGGTAATTCTATACCCTAACCCTGGCAAACCAGCGGCGTGAACCCCTGAAACTTCTCGTTCACAACACAACAATTTGTGCCTTGATGGCGGTATAAATTCAAGACGCGATAGAAGCCACCATAGAAGTACAAGTAATGACTACCGCGATACTATGCTGCCAGGTAAGGAAATTACCAAGTTCCAACAGCGGGAAGGTCCCTTGAGCTCTGTCCAACGCCAAATTTGTACTCTCCCTCGGTAACCAAAACCCAATTCTGCTCAACAACGTCCCAATAGCTCAGGTCTCTCCTCGTAACGTCAAATGTTACGGTGCGTGACTTGCCAGGCTCCAGATACAACTTGTCAAAGCCCCGCAGCACCCGGACTGGGAAGTCCACCCCGTCCTTTGGTGGGTACTCCAAATACAACTGTGGCACAACTGCACCCCCCACCGCGCCGTCGTTCGCGACATCCACCGTGATGCTGACATAAGTAGCCCACAGATCTGGGTTACCGCCTTCATCACCTCCAGCGCCGCTTGGGGGCTGGGCCTCATCGTAGCCCTCGGGGTAGGGGTACTTACCCGCGCCGGTGACGTCGGTGGACTGCAGGTAAGGGTAAATATACTTTTTGAGCGCGCGGAAGTCGCTGGGAAACTCAACCTCGCTTTTGGGTGGGATATCAGTGGAGTAGCTGGGAGGTTCGACTGCAGGTCTAGGCCGCTGTTCAGGAAGAGCCGACTTGCTCTTGCGCGGATTGACCTGGAGGTTGCTGAAGTTAAAGGTCGTGTAACTGAGGCCAAGGCCAAACTCAAAGCGAGGCGCAATGTTTTGCTTGTCGAAGTAGCGGTAGTCGATGTACAGCCCTTCGGAAAAATCCTGCTGAGGGATTACAGCATTTGGCAAATACATGACCTTGGCACCAGGACCATAATCGTCGAGCGATTTGCCGATGGTGAAGGGGAGGTGGCCGGATGGGTTGGTCTCGCCGAAGAGAATCTCAGCAAGAGCGTTGCCGGATTCTTGGCCGGGGAGGTTGGCAAGGAGCACGGCTTTGACATTCGGAAGATCGACCCATTTCTCAACCAAGACCGGCCCAACGGCGTGGATGACGACGATGACATCGCCAGCACCGCGACCGCACTTGGCGGCTACGTTCACGACCAGGTCGTCCCCATTCTTCTGCAGACTCAAGCCCACGCGGTCTCCGCTCACATCGGCCCACTTCACAAAACCTTCGCCAGAGTCCGCATTGACAAAGACGATGCACAAATCCAACTCCTCCACCGTGGACTTGTCTTTTCCAGTAAACGACGGTTTGTCGGTCAGGTACTCATGCAAATCGACTTTGCCCTTGTCAAATTTTCCGCGGAGGGCCTCGATGGGAGAAACAAGATAGGGGAACTCGACAGCGCCTGACCCCCACCCTGAGCCTAAGGTTCCCTGGTTGCTAAACATAGCAAGTCAGCCAGCGCAGATTCATGAGGATTCAGATCGTCACTAGTGTTAGGGATTAAACACATACCAAGCTCGGTCCTTGCAATGGTTAGGGCCTTCACCGGGGCCGGCATCGTCGCCAAACACGCCAACCTTGTACTTGCCGGAGGAAGCCTTGCCGGAGCCCGAAGGGCTGAGGGGGAGCAGCCCCTCGTTCTTCAACAGCACGGTTCCCTCAGCAGCCACTTCACGCGCAATGACGGAATGATTCGCTTGCACGTCAACAAACTGATTGACGACAACCTCGTCTTGTTCGCTCGGGCTTCCCGGTGCCATCACGCCCAGGCGGTCGTTGGTCCAAGACGAAAAGTTAGGAGGTTGGCGGGGGAACTTGGTCTCATCGTCCTGGCCCAACTGGTACCAGGCCGCGACGATGCGAGTGACCATGTCGTTCAGGCGGTCAACGGGGACACTGCCGTTGAGAACGGCTTTGCTCAGCTCGGGGCCCCAGAAAGACACGCCATCAGCCCACTTCGCGCCATCGCCGGGCATGGTCATGTCCAGTCCGGCTAGTGCAGTGGCAACACCAGAACGCTGCGCGAGCCAGTCGCTCATGACGAAGCCCTGGAAGCCGAGCTCGTCCTTAAGAATTCCATTGAGCAACTTGCTGTTGCCGCAGGCATATGAGTTGTTGACCATGTTGTACGAGCACATGACAGATGCCACTCCGGCCTTCACGGCGTCGCCGAATGGCCAGGTGTAGAGTTCGTGGAGTGTGCGGTCGTCGATGTTGGCGCTTAGGGCGTGTGGCAAGCTCCACTCCCACTGCTGACGGAAATGTTCCTGTTCGTTGGCGACAAAGTGCTTGATGGTGGCCATGACGTTTTCGCTTTGGATGCCCTTTACGGTCTCGGCGCCCGCCACGCCTTGGAGGTACGGATCCGCGCCGAACCCTTCCCAGTTGCGCCCACCAGCTGGCATGCGGCCAAGCGGCCCGACGCAGGGACCGAGCAGGACCTGGATGCCCTTTTGGCGAGCCTCAATGGCGTGGGCTTTGCCGCGAGCATACATCAACTGCCGGTTCCAGGTAGCCCCGACGGTGATGCCAGCGGGAAAGGCGGTGATGTTATCAGCGAATCGGATGCCCAGTGGCCCGTCCTGGAGTTGCAGTTGCGGGAATCCGACGTGCACGGCCGGAGCGTTGGTGCCCACCGCCAGGCCCATCTCCCAGCCTGTGCCTGTTGTGACGTTGACCTTTTCCGCCAGCGTCATTTTAGCCACCATCTTGGCGGCCTTGTCGTAGCTCGCAGCCCATGTCTTCGCGATGCCGCCCTTGGGGGCGGGATACCACGGCGGGGACTGCCCATACGGCGGCTCTTCTTGGTATTTCTTGTAGGCAAACGCACCGCCGGCGCTGAGGAAAATCCAAATGACGATGAACCCAGCCACCAGACCGATGCAGCACCGGCTGCGACGTCCTAGGCATCGCAAAACCCAAGACTGCCTTTTTGGGTTCGATGTCGGCGAGCTCTGTGAGCGTTTGGGGGACGTGGAGACATTGCGGTCGAGATATTCGGTCGCTTCGATGTCGGAGTCGGAGTCGTGGTCTTGGAAGTCGTCGTCGGATGGCCGCTTGCTTTCTTGAAGCAGACCTCGTTTGGTCCCGTGGTCGGCCGCCATTGTGTCAACGGTCCTCGGCCGCCGTTCGTGATGCTGTAATAATGGAATACGCGCTCTCGCTTCAAAAGGTGTTTGTCATTGGGACAAGGAGCTGAGTCGTCCAGTAGTCGCTGGCGAGGGCCAGTTGTCGTAACTCTCGGGGTCCGCAAGTTCGGCCGAGGAAAAAGAATGATGCGACCGTATCCTGGCGTTGATCAGCAACACAGGTCCAGCTGGTTGTCTTGTTGATGTTCATGCGCTGGTCCAATTGAGACCACAACAAGCCATGAGGGGCTCAGCGCCAGGGGCGGCCGGGTTCCTTGGCAGTGTGGTCCCTGGAACGAGGTCCGATTGGCTTTGTGGCCGACAGCGCCTTCCGCCTCGTTCTCGGGTGCGCAAGATGCTATGTAGATTGATTATTGCATTACTGCGGAAAGCCATCTTTCCTGAGGTAAGGTGTGGCAGTCAATTCTGACTCGTATAATTTTGAATTCAACACATCGTGTGTCCCGTGGTGTGAAGGATAAAGGCATTGCTCGGCACGCTGATGAAGCTTGACGTTCTCAGGCGGGACACTGCGGCTGTGGGGGAGCTCAAAGTGGAGTTTGGTGACGGACTGAGTTTTGGCACCCCCACATGCCGCAACCGATGCTGAACCCCGTGTGCGCCAACGGGCGGGATCAAGATTCTGCGAGCCCGGAATCCAGAGCATCGGGGTACTGTGACGAGACAAGGCTGAATTCAAGCGCAACCAGAGGTTTGTCCCCGACAATGGATTTATGATACCTTTTTACGTCGCGCAAACAGAAATTCGACCCAGTCTCCAATCTCTCGGCCGTGGAATACCCCATGGGGCTTGGAGCCTGATTGGCGTGTTGAAGGGAATCCCTTATCTTTCCAGTTATCTATGGGCTGGGACCCAAATGTCCGGAACCGGCCTGCGTTATCTTTTGAAGGTTAACAACACCCCGCGACAACCGTTCCTTTCGAGTAAGCACAGTCTGCGCGTTGTGACCCGAAAGATTGGTATCGATGATGAGACCGACCATCCAGGGAACCGATCACACTCCTCTCGGTCAACCGGATGTCTCGCGACGGCCCGAAAGTGTTAAACAAGTTAGCTTGAGGGTCTTGCTCACTTCAACGGCGCAACAGACGACGAGTGGAAAGACCGAGTACACAAGTAGTGAGTGAGTGGGTGGGGGCGACAAATTCGTTAATCTTTAAACACAACAACGCCTCATGACACTAGTTACCTATCCGAACCATTGCGTGGATGCTGTCGAGATCTTGGTTAAAAAGTTCTGTCTCGATTGTCCGACATGCTGCAAAGCCACCCAAGTAAAAAAGGAAGTTTCAGAAAATCTCGGCAATTTCACGCAGCCTTAATTAGTTCTGCCTCAGCCGAGTATTGATGTTATGGTTAAACGCTTCGCCCCTCGAACCGATCCACCGTCGATATTGGGGAACGGCGTTAACTAACTACATACTTAACCATCCGTCGCATAATCGTGTTTTGTCCATGATCAGAGGTCGACCGCCCAAAACCGTTGAGCGCGGCAGCTGAGGGTGGGACCGTGGGATACACTTCGACCCCCCACCACACCCGATTCGTTCCGCCCTTATCTCTCACCAGCCTCATCCCAAGTTCCGGCAGTCGCCCCTCGCCCGCATCTGAACGGCAGCGTTGGGGTTGCACTCATTGACACCCACAAGGTCCCGCCCTGTCGGTTGTGATAGCAGTTACGGTTTCCAACACCGGTTTCTCGTCCATCTGTTAAACTGACAAAACCCCCCGGCGATAAGACAAGTTTTACCACAAGGGCCCAATTACATGCATGCAGTCGCTGTGGGGGGACGGAGATGTCACCTCGGGTACCCCAGGCGGTCTTCCAGTTCGGTTCTTCAGGTCGGATCGCCAATCCGAATTGGGTCTCAGCCCACAGAATGTGAGAACATGCAGAGCATGGCACCCGCATGGCAAACGGCCCCACGGTTTCGGCCGGGGGCAGGGGGAGCTCGTTGGGCTTGTCCGGGGGCACCCGTGGCAAAGATGCAAGATAACAGCAAATCTTCGCGCCCGTGCCGACAACGGGATCCGGCTAACCGTCGGCAGCCGCCGGGATGAAGCCCGGAACTCGTCAGAAATATATATACCATGTTGACGCCTCCATTCCAAGCCTCCGCCCTTGCGGTGTTCTTTTGCTTCTACATAGCCGTGTTCTTATTCTTATGTGATTCGGCGAGCGCCTCAGCAGGCTCAATACCTTCAAGATGGACCATGCTGCGTCGAACAAGGAACACCTTTCCAATGCCGCTCTCGGGCAAGGAGTCGGCTACGGAATCGTGTTGGGCCTTGGCGGTGCCTTTGCTCTAGGTACGACACGATCTTTTCACCGGATATTTCTTAGCCACCTAATGCTTGGGTGATCAGTAGTTGATAGGGACTGACTCGGTGTAGGCATGATCCTCGTGACCTTCATCCTCCGGCGATACAACCGTGAAGTCCAGACATCTGAGATGTTCAACACAGCGGGCCGTACCGTCAAGTCCGGCCTCGTTGCCTCAGCCGTGGTTTCCTCATGGACGTGGGCCGCGACCCTTCTTCAAAGTACAGGTGTCTGTTACCGATACGGCGTCTCTGGACCATTTTGGTATGCTTCCGGCGCGACTGTCCAGATCTTGCTCTTCGCCACTCTTGCCATTGAACTTAAGCGCCGTGCCCCGAACGCCCACACCTACCTCGAAATTATCAAGGCTCGTTATGGCACTTTTGCCCACATCGTATTCCTCGTTTTCGGCCTGGCTACGAACATTCTGGTGTCTTTGATGCTGATTGTGGGGGGTTCCGCCACGGTCAATGCCTTAACCGGCATGCACACCATTGCTGCGAGTAAGTCCTAACCAGCTCTTTGTTATTGAGGTTGCATATCTAACGACATTTCCGGCAGTTTACCTCCTCCCAATTGGTGTCATTGCTTACACGCTCGTCGGCGGTTTGAAGGCAACCATCCTGACGGATTGGGTCCACACCTTTATCCTCTTGATCATCATCATCGTGTTTTCTCTAACCGCGTACGCCTCTCACGATGTTTTGGGCTCCCCCGGCGCTGTTTACGACCTCTTGGTGAAGGCTGCTGCCCGGCACCCAGTGGACGGAAACAAGGACGGTAGCTACCTCACGATGCAGTCGCGAGAAGGCGCCATTTTCTTTGTCATCAACATTGTCGGTAGGTTTTTACGTCCGTTCCAATTAAATACACTAAGCCTGGCTGTTACTAACAACAGGAATAGGAAATTTTGGCACTGTGTTCCTCGACAATGGTTACTACAACAAGGCCATTGCTGCCTCTCCCGTCCACGCCCTGCCTGGCTACATTTTGGGCGGCCTTTGTTGGTTTGCGATCCCTTGGCTGACTGCCACGACTATGGGCCTCACTGCCCTCGCTATGGAAAACACCCCATGGTTCCCGACGTACCCGGACCGTATGAGCGATGCCGATGTCAGCGCCGGCCTTGTGCTCCCTTATGCCGCTGTGGCGCTTCTCGGGAAAGGGGGCGCCATTGGGACGCTCCTCATCGTGTTCATGGCCGTCACGAGTGCCACCTCTAGTCAGCTCATCGCGGTCAGCACGATTTGCACCTACGATCTGTACCGCACTTATTTCAATCCATCCGCCAGCGGGAAGCGACTTATCTGGACCAGTCATGCGGTTGTGGTGGGTTATGGGCTTTTCATTGCGACGTTTTCCGTGGGGCTTTGGTACGCTGGCGTTTCCATGGGCTACCTGTATCTTATGATGGGTGTCATCATTTCGTCGGCAGTACTTCCCGCCACCCTCGCGTTGGTGTGGTACGTATACGGCCCCTTTCCCCAACCGCTAGGAATACCGTTAACATTTTGAACTCAGGGCTGGTCAGAACAAATGGGCGGCATCTCTGTCCCCTATTATTGGCCTCGCCTGTGCTCTCATCGCTTGGCTCGTGACCGCCAAAAAAGAGTGTGGAGATCTAGGTGTAGCCTGCACCGGGTCCAACAATCCCATGTTGGCAGGCAATGTGGCGGCGCTTCTTTCCCCCGTCGTCTTGGTTGCTGTTTTCACCCTCATATTTGGCGTCGACAAGTATGATTGGAAGTCAATGATGGAGATTCGTAGGGGCGACGACCATGACCTAGCTGATGCTGCGGGCATGGATCTCGAGGACATTCCCGGCGGACACAATGAAACAACCGTCGAATTTGATGAGGAGCAGAGAAAGCTGTCGCGGGCTGGCAAGATCAGCAAGACCGCAACAGTAGTTATGGTACGTCTTGATTGCACACCGTCTTCGGAAATAGTGACTAGAAGCCTCAACTAACATTGCCGTTGCCAGACGCTCGCTTTTCTCATCCTGTGGCCGATGCCCATGTACGGAAGCGGTTACATCTTTAGTAAACCCTTTTTCACCGGCTGGGTTACCATCGGTATAATTTGGATCTTTTGCTCATTCATCGGAGTTGGCTTGTTTCCCCTCTTCGAAAGTAGGGCAACACTTGCTCGCACGGTCAAGAACATCTTTTTAGACGTTACCGGCAAGTCACATCCTAAGACGATTCATGCCCAGGCAGTCGAGGGACAGAAGACGTCTGGCGATGTCACGCCCACAGAAAAGTCGGCCCCGAAGTCGATTGTCGAATCAGGATGAAGGATGGGCTTGGATCGGGTGTTCCGGACAACTACTCTAGCTCTGAGCAAAATCGACAGGCCGTATTAAAGGCTCCATGTTGAATGCAATTCGTTGGTTGATTAATGGAAACTCGCCACTTGTGAACTTTGGGGTGTTCAAGAGATGTCATCTTATTAATTATCTTAATAACCAACTATCATGAGTAAATTTCCGACGGTATTCAATGATACTTATTGGCAACTTGCCGGACTAGGCTCTCTACGTAAAATCGGCCACACCGATCCTATCTCCGTTCTTACTCGAGAAAAGTTTCCTGTGGAGCGTAACGTTGGCACCTGGCCTCCCTTATATTAATATCCCGGCTTTTGTGATTCACACCCACTGTGACAATCCGGATCATGATGGGTTCGAACCAGGATACTTCCAAAGCATGGGATAGTGAGGGGTATTGGCGAGATCAAGCGGCTTTCCCACATCGCGAAACCCAACCGATCGATACAAACCCCTGCCTTCAAGGGTAGCAATAAGGAACGCGTCCTTGCCGGCTTCCGCTGCGAGTTCTAGCCCGCGTCGAATCAGCATTTTTCCAACTCCGCGCCGCTGATGAGCAGGATCTACGGCAAGAACCATAAGGTCTACGGTCGGCAAGCCAAGTCAGCACGTGCAGTGAAAGGGTGAAATCGGGTGATCCGGGGGGGGGGGGGGGGGGGCTACATACAGTAAATGTTGCTGTGTCCTTGTGGCCCCAAAATATCGATGCTGATCTCATCAATCAACTTCATGAGCTTGGCAAGTTCCTCTTGGTCGAGTGATCCGGGTGGGACGTCCTGCTGGGTTTCCGTACTCGCGTCCGGTGCTGCGTCCGAACCTTGGGAAGGAGGTTCCCATTGCGCCATGCCCACGATTTCTTCACCGCTCGAGCCATCCTCTGGGATGTCAACGATGACATGCGTTATCTTGCCGCTCTTCATTCTTCCCGCATTTCTAAGACCTCTCCATTGCGCTTCATCCTGTCGAGGATCTCCAGTCTCGGACTTGTCGTACATGCGCGGCGGGAACAGCGCTCGGGAAACGGTGTCTCGGAAGGCATCTGCACCGATATAGCCAATTCTCAGGCTATCTTCTTCTTTTGCGGGACGAAGGACGAGAGGCATGGTCGTGTATGCAACGCGAATACACTGATTCGGCCGTGAGGGGTGAAGTATCAAACGGGGGCGAAGGGGAAGACGTTAGATTATCAGAGATCAATCGTAAAGTTCATGGGCAGGTAGGGTGTTGACCGGTGACTCATTTGCCGACGTCCCGACGATGTCAGCTTTTACGGAACGTTGAAGAGGATTCCCTCACGAGTGGGCAGTTCAAGGATGTGGAGAGCTTCTCAACTTCCTTTCTTGGCAAATATCGACCACCTGATCCATGGCTTGTTGTGCGAAGGGCGCTCGAACACGCAGTCCCCCGATATGCGCGAGTACAGATCCGCGCTTTCAGCTGGATTTGGGGTTATGCTGGAGGAAAGATCCGAATGGACAACTTTATTGACGGACTTCGTACAGTAGTGCGACGCGTAATGCGACGCACCCGAGGCGATTTCAAAACTTGGTACCAATGGGGCTAGAGTTCATGGCGAGGGGGTCTGCAGGAACGGTTACGTCGAATGTATTCGTGATGCGTCCGAAGTTGTTCATGCCCGGGGTTGACCTGATCCACCGGTATTCCTCTTTCCCTGAAGAATATAAATATCAATTATTAGGGCAGTAATTATGGGCTGGTTTTTGGGGTAGCCGCTGTAGGCGTTTTTTTTTTTTTTTGACTGCCTTCGTAATAAGTGGCCTGGCCCCGACTCCACAAATGTTGGTTTAGCTTCGCTTGGCAACCTCCCGAATTCCGAAGCTTTCTTCCACCTTCGAGAACAGGCCGTGTCGACTTTAAGAAAAACGATGACTGTTGTGTCTGGGTGAACATATTTTGATATGAGGCCGACACGGTTCCCGGGGTCTTTAATGGTTCCATGGGCTATCCGGCGGGCGTGAAGGAAAACAGGCGGAGCATCCCAAGGCCGTGGGTTTCAGGCTAAAGCAAGTGGACACATCTCGGGGCAAGCTCGGAGAACTCCAAACTCAATTGTGTGGCCTCTGACGCATCGTCGCCCGCTTTCAAAAAGTGAAAAAAAAGGGCTCAACAACATCTACAATCACCTGACCCAATTGCCCCAACGCACGTCGACATTTCAACAATGGCAAACGATCATATTCTCACGCTGTCCTGTCCGGATAAGCCGGGCATCGTGCATGCTGTGACGGGCATCTTTGCTCAGGAGAAGCACAACATCCTCGACCTTCAGCAGTTCTCCGACCCGACAAGTGAAAAGTTCTTCATGAGAGTGCATTTTGGTCCGATTCCGACGGAGTCAACTGATCATTTGAATGCCGCCTTCAACACCTTGGCGGAAGAGTACCAGATGACGTACCGGATCCGGTCAGTCGCGCAGAAGCCAAAGGTCCTGATCATGGTGTCCAAGATCGGCCACTGTCTGAACGACCTGCTGTTCCGCGCTAGAGCTGGTCAGCTCCCCATCGACGTCCCTCTTATTGTGTCCAATCACCCGGACTTTGAGCCGCTCGCCACCAGTTACGGCATCCAGTTCCACCATTTACCTGTCACCCGTGACACCAAAGCAGACCAGGAGCAGAAGATTCTGGACCTCATCAAGGAGCATAACATCGAGCTGGTGGTCCTGGCACGCTACATGCAGGTTCTCAGCCCGAAGCTCTGCGAGGCCATGTCGGGCCGCATTATCAACATCCATCACAGTTTTCTGCCGTCATTCAAGGGGGCTAAACCGTACCATCAGGCCTACGAACGCGGTGTCAAAATTATCGGCGCCACGGCTCATTTTGTCACGGCCGACTTGGATGAAGGTCCGATTATCGAGCAGCGTGTTGCGCGGGTAGACCACAGCATCAACCCCAAGGGGCTTGTCGACGAGGGCTCTAACATTGAGAGTCTGGTTCTGGCCGCTGCTGTTAAATGGTATGCGGAAGGGAGGGTGTTCTTGAATGGGACCAAGACTGTTGTTTTTTGAAGGTTGCTCCATGTGGACGAGTCAAAGCTAGCAAAATGAAAACAGGACACAGAATTCTGCCATTGAATTCGAGTTGAACTCCCGTATCCGGTGCGTTGCTTCTTGCTGCGAACTCCAAGGCCAAGATTCCCCCATCTTTGGCTGGTGATTGGTTGACACCCATTGCCCTTGCCGCGTCGGGACGGTGACATCACTGTCGTGCCTGCTCCCAGCCCCTGCAAATCCAAGCTGGATCAGACCCGGCGGCTGCTCCCGATTTGAAGCAAAAATACCTTAACAATCTCCCACATAGATTACCCGCAGCAGAGTGTGAGCCAGCCCCCAATGCGCATTACGCTACGATAGTTTTCATCACTCACTGCGGGCCGTGAGCACGAATTGTCCAACCGTACTGCCCAGGCGTTCCGATGGTGCAGCCAACCAACGCCGCAGCGCACGCCGCGGCCGCAGACACGTTAAACCCACCACAGCCAAAACTTCCGCCACTCCGCCGATCTCGCGCATCTGGTTCTTTTCACGCTGGAGAGCCCTTTCCCATCACGTCCCCATTTGACGATTCTCTCGCAAACTGCAGCCGAACACGAAAGCGCTCTGCCGGCGACACTCACTACCACCCCCTCCGTCGGCAGTCGACCGCAAAATACCATACTTTCCCGACACCGCCTCCCCCCGCACCTTCCGATAGTCGACGGTCTCCCCGATCGCCCCGAGCTTGGTACAGGCGCATTTTCCACCCCCACAGCGGGACACCGGATCTTGAGGATGGGGAGGAGTCAGGCAATATTGCTGGGGGGTTGACAAGCCCCGGCTTCGATGAGGAGAGAGAAAGGCCAGCGTCAAGGCGAAGCCATAGGGATCAATCCTCGGACGAAGATGAAGAAGCTCCACACCACACCACAACCCCTTTACCATGGGGCCAACTGGGTCTCCTGGCATTGCTCTCGCTTGCCGAACAAACGGCACTGAATTCGATCGGCCCATACCTCCCGACTATGGTCGCGTCGTTTGAGGATGTTCCGGATGGAGACGAGGGTGTCTACGTTGGCCTCCTTGCCTCTGCCTTTGCGCTCGCCCAGCTCGCGACGAATCTGCTATGGGGCTACATGTCCGACCGTGTAGGGCGCAAGCCAACCATGCTGCTAGGCACATCGCTTCTCACAGTTTGTTTTGTCTTCTTTGGTTTGTGCAACACATATTCCCAGTTGATTCTTGTTCATGTGGCCATGGGGCTGTTCAATGGAAACGCGGCCATTGTCCCAACGTGCTTGGGCGAGGTCACAGATCGCACCAATCAAAGTAGCGCCTTTATCTGGTTGCCCGTCATTTACAGCCTCGGCAGTATCACGGGGCCAGCGTTGGGCGGTTTGCTAGTTGGGGCGGTTGGAGGTGCCCGGCATCCATTCCTCGCCCCGAACCTTGTGGTTGCTGCGCTCCTGCTTTCCAGCGTCGCGGTTATGGGTGTCTGGTTTGAAGAGACGCTTCAGGGATCTGGCCCTAATGCCACGAGCGAGGGCCTCGGTTGGTTACAGGCTGTGCGCAGGTGGTGCCTTGGGCGGTGGGGGGCCGTGATGGGCCGCTCCGACGACACCGCCCCCTCTGATCTTGGAACCGAACAGGAGACGCTTCTACAAAGGCACGCCGCCGATGATGGCGACGATGATGGCGACGATTCGGCATTCCACGGGCTCAGGAACCGCAACACGCTCTCCGTCCTGGGGACCTACCTGGTTTTTCAACTCGCTAACATATCCTTCAACTCGCTCTATCCCATCTTCGCGTCCTCTCCTCCACCCACCGGCCGTGATCTTGGTCCTGGGACGATTGGGGTCAGTCTTTCTCTGGCCGGTCTCGTGACAATTTTCTTCCAAGTTTTCGTCTTCCAAAAGCTAAAGGAGAGAATGGGAAACTTGGGAACATACCGCTACTCGATGCTCGGTCTGGCTATTAGCATGTTTCTGATGCCCTGGCTGGGTTATCTTGACGGTGAACCAGCATTTGGGCTGGGCTCGGGGAAGGGCTGGCTCTACGGCGAACTGGGAATCATCTTGGTTCTTAAAAATACATGTGCGGTTGGGGGGTTGAGCAGCGTCATGCTTCTGGTACGTTTTGCGGCCAATATACTTTTCCTTGGTTAGGCGTGTCGTGGTTTGCTAACGGTGGATCAAAGATCACTAATTCTGCACCGTCACACGAGACGCTCGGTACGCTCAACGGTATCGCTCAAACCCTCTCGGCCGCTGGTCGTAGTATCGGACCGTTTTTGTCCGGGGGCCTTTTTACCCTGTCGACACATGTGACTCCAAAGGGCGAGGCACTGGCTTGGGGGCTTTTCGCTGGCATCACCGTTTTAGGCTGGCTCAGTACGTTTCTTATTCGCAACAAGGGTCTTGAAAGTGCGGGGTGGACAGGCGATGGCGTGGATGGCGAAGCTACTGACCAGTCGGAGTACGAGGAGGAAGGGACTGAAAGGTGACTAAGACTGCATGGTTACATAGCGATCATCATTATTTTAGCAAAGCGATTGGGATTTCCAACTATGATATCAGGCCGATAGCAGCTTGTCATACGTAAACGGTCTTGCAACCGAGGGGCTCCGTACTCTAATGTTTCATCATAATTACCCCCGGGCCCAACATTAGGACGATAACTAACAGTAACTTGTCGTTAGTGCATCACGTTTCGAGAAACACTACTCCGAGACCGTTTTTTCGTGAAACGACACCATCACACCCCGCTATTCCCCACGAATTCCCCATGAGTCAAATTCTCACAATCCGGGCGGTAGCGTTTCTCGGCTAACAAAATATTCCCGGGAGTGTCATTTGAACAACATAGGCCTCACCTTATTCTAATTACCGATGGTACGCTGAGCCCACTCACTCTTACAGCCGATTCTTCGTACCTGGTTGAGTTCTTAGAAACCATCTGACGGAGATTGGCGTACACATAGGTTTACTAGCCCCATTCCTTATTTAATTACTGCTAGATAGGCCGTTCTATGATCCGAATGCCTAGTTCGATGGCTTACTTATTCTGCTGGAGTGACCCTTGGGATAGCTGGGTGGTGATGTTTACCCCCCGACCTGAAAAGTGTTAATTACCATTAGTAGTATGGTACGTTCCGCTCACTGAACCCCCCGTTTCTAGGTCGTATCAAAATTACGTTGTTGACTCCGTATCATAACGCGGAGTTTTAGATCGCCGCAATGAAGTTCAGCAGGACGAAAATACTTTGGTCTAGTAGGAGTTTGTGCACAATTCACTTTATATCCTGAGAGGTTTATACTGATCAGTGTGTAGCCACCGTCGCCCCTTCTTCGAGCAATCTAAAGTAATGCAAGGAGATTGGATGTTTATTAACCTTTCAAGGGCATTTTGCGCACATAGGGCACGAGTAGGCAGAAGAAGAGGACTCGGGATCCCAGGTTAATGTTAATTATTATTATTATCCATTATGTTAATATTGTTCTTTTGAAACTCCAAGCCTATTATCACGCCCGTTTCATCTCTAGATCGGCCCCTCAAAGCCGGGAAACGTTGCGACAGAAGCATGAGGATTGAATCGGCACATCTGCGACGGAGAGCGCGAGCTGCAGCTGCGGCCGAATTATGCGGGCCTCGCTATCTCGCCCGAGGCGCGTCAGACACTCGTGGAACCCATGAAGCGCCCACACATTGTTTCGATTTTGCTGGGCACGAGAGAGGGTGTTGTCAAACCCCAGATCAGCCGTGTAAACAGCCAATGCTTCCTCGGTTCTCCCTTGTTCGAGGAGAAGCGCCCCATATGCGTGGCGTGTCGGCTGCATCCACCCCCATGGCTCGTCATATGGGAGAGAATCGTCAAGCTGAATGGCTTTACGAAGGTGCTCAAGCCCAAGTTCCGTGCTTCCTCGGCGGTACTCGAGTTCGCCATCGAGCATTGCTGCGGCGATTCTGAGTATGTTCTGGCATGTGTTGTTGAACACAGTGCGAGACGACGGGACCGTCTTCACCGCGGCCCGAAACAGTTCCCGATGGCGGTCGGCGGCGTTTATCCTCCCTGTGTTTGCCAGAGCAATGGTTTTGGCGTAGTGTGTCATGGCGGTCGTGGTGCAGTAAAATTCCGGATCCGCTGGAATCTCAAGGTCAATGATTTCTTGCCAGCGACCAAACCGGATGAGGATGTGAGCTTTCATGGACAGGAACCCTTCTAACCAGTCTGCCATTGGTGGTGATTTGATGCGCAGCAACGAGTCGGGCAATGTCTCCTCGAGCAGAGCGGCCGTCTCCAGAGCGACCTTCGATTGGCCGGCAAACATCGCGGCATAAATACGAAAGTGGAAGTTGTGGCAACGGTAGAGGCTGTAAAAGTTGATGGCCCCGTCTCGGTTGACAAACTTGGCATCCGCCCGGATGGCGGCCGTGTTGGAGACCACTGCGCTCCGGTAATCTCCACAGAGAATGTCGATGTGCGATGGCATATGATTGAGGTGACCAGCATCAGGAATCAGCCCGCGCAGGGTATCAGCCGCTTTCAGAGCATGTTCAGGGTTGCTTGACATCTCCATTAGATGGATATACAAATGCAACATGCCCGGATGGGCTGGGTGTTTGGCCAACCCCCTTTCCAGCGCTGCCTTTGCCTCTATTGTCCTCGCCCTCTTCGCAGGTTTCCCCGTCCGTCCATCCCATAGCTGCCACGGAGTAAGATTCATCAGCGAATCGACAAATATCGCCGTGACGTTTGGGTCATCTGGATACCGAAGATACACCTGCTCCATCGCCTCGGCGTACTTGTGGTTCTGCGCATACCCCTGAGATGGAGTCAGCCGTTCTTGCGGGTAACGGTGTTGGAGAGCGCCAACTAGCGCCTGCTCGATTGGGGTCGAGTGCGTTGACACGTTGAGGGAATGCACGATTGCGCGCCTTGCCTTTTGAACGTTGCGTGCCAGCTCCAGCTTATCAAAGATGCCCCAAGGTTTGTTGTAATTTGGCCCCAGCGCAAATGCGAGGCCCCAGTATGCTAGCGCACAGGTTGTATCTTCCGCCGCGGAGCGTTCGAAGCAGTTCACGGCCTCTTCGTGATTGAAAGCGAAACACCAGATGAGCCCGCGGTCGAACCATTTTTGCGCTTCGGTGCTTGCGGTTGTGACGGGCATATGAAACTGCCCGAGGTTGTAGTACGCATCGTCTGCCGTAGGCATCTCGACGCCGGTGCCGGGTTGCCCGGTGGGGGATGGTGTCATTCCGCGCTGTCGTTGGGTGGGTGTGTGTGGTCCCGTGGCGGGGTTCCTTTGCCTTCGGCGGGTTTCAATTGGAGGGCCGTTGCGGGAGGAGAGAATGGAAGGAATTGTTATTGCAGCCCAGTCGTCGGCGGTCCGGTGCTACCTCACGACGGACGAGATCTGTTTTGGTATAAAATGCCGAGAATCTGAAAGTGCATGGCCGGTGTTGGAAGAAAAGCTTCAGGTGGCGGTCAGCGAAGTCTGGATTGACCCGTGCTGAGCCGCGTCTGAGACATTCTTAGGTCTGTCACCACGTCATCACGTGCCGGACCGTGTCCCATTTTCCGCAGCTGCCTGTGCGGGGCTGCAGGGCCCCACCACAGTTGTTGCTATTTCAAGCCAATGAAATGGTAAGCCACCGAACAGACTCGCCGACTTGGCTGCTAAACTCAGCCAACCACGATGGCATCCTGTCGCACCTCTATCCGTCTTCCGTCCATGTCCGCCCTCAAGCGCCGTCTTGGGGCGCTGCGCTTGGTGATCGACATGCCATTTTGCGCCCGCGTGGGAATGGGCTGTCGCCTGACAGGCCGAAAGTGGACGACGAGATAGACCCAACGCAACTTCAGTCTTGGTCGGAGACTCGGAGGTCCCGTTATGGCCTCTCCTAGCTTGACTTACCTCGGTAAGCATGTCTCAATGAGGCAGGTTGCGATGACGGCACTCTGCGATGTGGTTGCAGCGCTACCTTGACACTGTTGACAGTCGGTGACCCGATTCAGAGACATTGGGCTTGGGTGGCTTGAGTGTTTGATGAGCTTCGAAGTTCGTTGAGTGTATTGCTTGAATTGTATTTAGCCCGCTCTTCCCTTGCTATGGTATACGGTCATAGCTTTGAAGCCCAAGTCACTTGTCTGACATCCCCTTCAACACAATGAAGTTTCTCCCAACCATCCTCTCTCTTGCTTCGTGCGCTGCGGCGCTCCCGGCTGCTTCTCAGGCCGGGGTGTCTCTCGTCGGGCGCCAGACCGCCAACCAGATCACCGACCAGTATCTCTTTGATATCTCACTTCCGGCTTTCACCTCCCGCCGGAATGCCCGGGACCCGCCGACTCTGATCTGGGACTCCGATGGCTGCAGCGATTCCCCTGACAACCCGTTTGGCTTCCCCTTTGTACCCGCCTGCCAGCGCCACGACTTTGGCTACCGTAACTACAAGGCCCAAAATCGCTTCACCGATGCTGGCAAGCTCAGTATCGATAACAACTTCAAGGACGAGTGAGTACTTGGTCTATTGACGGTGAAGAAACGAGGTGGCTAATCACACGGAACAGTCTCTACTACCAATGCAGCTCAACCAGCGCTGTGGGGGTGTGCGAAGCGCTCGCTGATGTGTACTACGCAGCTGTCCGGGCGTTCGGCGGTAGCACGCAAGGCAAACGTAGCGAAGACCTGATCAAGGAGTATGAGGAGAAGGTTGCGATTTACAACAAGGCGGTTGAGGAAGCTCAGGCCAAGGGCGAGCTGTGGCGTATTGATTAAGTGTTACGCTGAGACCTAGGCTGTTGTGTCGTGGCGAAGTGATTGTATTTCAAGAATATATTCAATTACCTCCATGCTCTATGCCACAGCCCGATGAGAATATGCCAACATGCGCTGCACGCGGCCGGCAAGCGGCCAGGAGTTCTACTGATCTACAGGTGTAGTGGGACTTCTAAGTCCTTTCAGGTGATCGGGAGATGCCCGAGTAGACCTCCGAGGATCGGCCTAGTCGGAAGAGGCAACACACCTCATTTTCTTACTGCAGGAAGCTTTAACCTCCCGGATGGTCTTGGCTGTTCCGCTGAGATCTGAGTCTTACCATCAATTGGAACTCAGACATGTACCTCCGCCTAAGTTGGCGACTCTTCGACCGCCTCAAAAAGTGTCTCGATTGGTTATTGGCAACCCTGTTTTGAAGGCTCCCATTTACTTCCTCTTGGAATGCAGGCAGGCAGTGCGGATCGATCTGTTAGCCACCGATATCTTCACTTGCACTGACTGAGCCGAATCCACCAAGTGGCCATCCCTAGTGTGCAGAAATACAGCTTTAGCTCCGAAGAGGTTCACACTTGAGACTTACCACATAAGTTCTTCCGTTCTAATTAATTGGGTAGGGGACTTCTACCAGGCCGTGTGGCGAGCGCTGAGCAGACAGGTAGTAAAGCCCAAGAAGCACTGTTGAATAATTATAACCATTCATGCAAAATCTACCATGTGGCAACTATTGGTTGTATGGGACGTTCGAATGCAAGGATGTGTGAATATTTGCTCGGAATAGGGAGGCGTTGAGCCCTCAACCAGGCTCGTTTTGGGCCATGGAACCTCGTCATTTCAGCGAAATACCCACAGTTCTGACTGAGATGGGAGTCTCGACTTCGGGTGGCTTATCTCGCCAGGCGAAGGAAGACATGGGCCAGCGGGTCACTATACTGAGATCGTTTTACTCGGTGATTAACCAGGTGCGTACCCGACCAATTCAAGTTGGAAGAGCACATTGACATAGGTCGAACGAAAAAGAATCAACCGGTCCCTTAGTTCATTTCAGACCCTGAAGGTGGTGCAATTACACTGTACGAGCCCAATAATACAGGCACAGGGCGACCAGAAGCTGGCTTCCATCTCGTCTAAATTTAGTGCCTGTGCCGTTTTGTTTTGGGCCGCTCAGTAGCCCGGCTGGTCTCGTCTGAAGTCAACACCTGTGCCGTATCGGCGGTCGGACCGGGTTGGGTACAGCTCAATTCCAGAATATCAGATGACCATAGCGGAAGCCCCAGACATTAAGCGCTCGCAGTAGCAACAACAGCCAACAACCATCACCCTAAATAACCGGACGGTGGGTTGGTCGGTGTGTTTCGGCCCCCAACTCCCCACAAGAAAGGCTACTTGAATGTACCTTTGGAACCAACACTATGGCACTTGCGCCGCTTTCTGCAGCGCCACATTGGCTTTTCTCTTAGACCCCGAGGGGGGTTCCAGACCTAGGGGGTTCCAAGCACTTCTGTGGGCTTGTGGGATCATAGTCTCCAACAGGTTTAACATGAGAGATAAGTCTAGGGCGTTGAGTCCACCGGGCGGCGTAGAGTATACTAGCAACTGTTACAAGTTGGCCAGATAAAGCGGCCATGTAGCTAAGGGGCGACTGCAGGTCAAATTGCAGAGCGATCCGATAGGCAATCGGTTAAGAAACCAACCTAGAAGGGTTACAGGGAAGGTTGTAAGTGATCGCGGTGATTGCAACGACGAAATAATGATCGGAAGGCTCGCATTGCAGCAGCTATGACCAAGGCACAAGATACCTGGGCGTTGGATATCTTCAGTCATTCTAATAGGTTCTAGGAGTCCATCAGTTATCAATACAACTCACATTTAGCTATAAGCTCTGGTCTGGGCTGTTGGCCAATGGTGATAGCGCCTGAGCCAAAGAAACCCCTAGCTTTGCCACGCCCAGGAAGTTTCAGTGAGTTCAACCCATCCCGACCGGGTCTCTAACCGATCACCCCGAGACGAAACATGGTGAGGCCAACCACCTTGGGGGCTAGAGTTGAAAGAACTGAGGTAGTTGTGACTTGGTTTGGGGGCTACGCGGAAGGGCAACAGCCCCATTAATCCAATAGTCGGGAAATGGAGACGTCCCGGAACACCTACCAACGTAGGTGGCCACACAGCGGCGTCGGCCGCAGGCGGCGTCGGTGTTTGGGTCACGACAAGCGCGTCTGCTTCATGAGAATGCTGCATCGCAGGCCCAACCCCTGGCCACCACGAATTGACTAGAATGACCTCCTCCTAGTGCCATGTAAGGGGATGCTATTGCAATAGACCAGACCCAGCATTCATGGGTAGCCTTAGACTCACCATCACAGCAACGTTGCTGTGGAAAAGATCTATATAAACGGACTCGCTTCCGTTCACATTTCCCGACCTTAACTACCAGCATCTCTACATTATCACATCTCTTAGTTACATCCAGCATCATCAGCCATACCCAACACATCATCAGTCACATCTAACGTCATCCGTCATATCCAATATCGGCCTCTCTCATCTATTCAATCGTGCTCCAGCTCCATCTCAGTCTGTTCCATTGCAATAATACGCAACGGTAATTAAGTCTCACAATCCCAAGCGAGCCATCTTTCTTCTCTCTCTCTCTCTCTTTTTTTCTTTTTTTTTCTTTTTTTTTGTCCTTTTTTTAATCACAACGCTGACTCCCGATCAAGATGGCTGCACGTCCCCCATCACTTTGGGCAAAGCAATGAAGTTGGATGGTTCGCAGTAGCAGTAGGCTGCTTCTCAACAGTTTGGGCAGATCCTGAATATCTCGGCGATGGGTTTTCCTGGGCAGCGGGCTGCCTTCGAGACTATCTATATATCTCTTAAATAAATTGTAGCAGCTAGGGCTGGCCCTTGTCTCTCTTTCTCTGTCGCCTCAATCCCATTCTTTTACCTTCAAATTTCTCCAGTGTAATTCAGGCTGAAGTTCATCATTGATGCATAATTTCAGACTGGTGAACTTGATGTTAGAGTGGGTATTGACCACGCGCTAATCGAACTCGTGTATCTCGGACCACTGCCACCGAATGTATTCATGGAGATACAGATAGTTATTATCTGTCCAGTCTAGTCGGTGTGGGAAGTTACATGCATCATAGGTTGGCCGGACACAGCCCCAAAATGTGGTGCTGCCAGCCATACATGCACGATGAGCCAATTTAAGGATGAACCCAGCTAGCAAAGTAGGTAATTAATTAGTTGGTCTCACACGATCAAACCAGACCCGCGCAGCTCAGGGCCGAAATTAGCTTTCACCTCTACTGTAGAGAGGTAATGTTAGGGTTAGGGCCCCGGCATTTATGTAATTACAGCAATGAAATACTTAGCAGGTACAGGTAGTTAGACTTAGACCGCAAAGGGATGGATGGACCAGTGCAAGTAATTGTGAGGCTGTCAAATAACTGAATAAAATAGAGTCGCCGCCGCACAGTTACCCCTTGCTCACCCCTTGCGTTACTGTGTACGCACTGCCAATTTGCTGTGCAACCCTGGCTCAGGTATAGTCACAACGTACGAATAGTACAAAGTAGTTATGTGGCACTGCCTTCTTCATCCTACTCCACCCCCACCAACCCACTCTTTATAAGCCCATCTTACATTTGCCCCCCTTCCCAGCGTATAGCAATGATGAAGTTGACAAAGCTACAGCAATGTAGCCAGCTGGGCATGCGCACGGGACATAGGTGAGGCGGTTTCGAGGTTTGCAGGCGTGCAGTTTAAGATTTAGAGCATTAATTCGCTGTCGGCGTTCTAGGCCTCAGGCACCAGCAATGAGGGGTAGGAACAGGGGGTAGGAACACCAGCCGATATTGATTAACCAAGCACTGCTTCTTCCTTCATCACAATGCAAGCTCCAAATTCCATCTACATGCATTTCCACCTTTAGCCTCGTGGCCTTCATTACTAATTACCGGTACAAATCATGGTTACCAAGCTGGTTCTCCCGTCCTGCGAGCGGGACCCTACGCATCCCAACCACCCCCCTCAGCTACAAAAGCCGCTGAGAATCCAGATCATGGGAATGAGCAAATATATCGACAGCTTGTTCGACAACGGCGCTAAGATACCACAGGAAGCCGTGCAAACGCCGGGTGTAGATTCGCCTGGAGCCGAATTTGACGAAACCGGTTTGCGGTTCGCTAAGATGGCTTTCAACTTGTTCTACGGCCGCGACCCAAACCCAGATATAGCCGCCGATTTTGTGCCGCAGCACCAACATAGCACATTCCCAAAGGTCGACGAATTCAAGCCAGGGGATGCTCCGTACGTTGTGTCTTCAGCACCGAGAATGAAAATTAGCTAACGAATTTTGGGGGGCTGTTTGCTCCCATCGGCTTTTGAACAGGGTTGAGGGATATTGCGTTACGTTCGACCATCTTGTGGACCCGGCCGACGACGACCCGGAAACGCTCATGATAAACCTTTGCGATCCTGCCGATCCGCAGTCGGCTACCTACTTCGAGCTGGACCTAGCTCCGTATACAACCGGCTTGGCGGCGCCGATCGTGCTCCTCGTCCCGCGGTGCTGCCAACTAAGGAAGGGAACCACCGACCGCCAGAGGATCAACGGCCAAGTAAAGGAGGCCAAGGAGGGCTTTCGCCCACCCATGGAGTGGGAAGAGGTACAGTAGGCTTATTAAGCCAAAGCTATAACTATTTATAGACGTGACCATTTCGAGGTAGTAATTATCCCCTCCTGTAATTTCTCAATGTACATTATCAAGTACCCCCTTACCCAGTAACCCTTCGATGTACTTCGTTCTTTCATCCCTCTCCCGACCGAGCTCTTTTACATGCCCTAGTCATCTCAGATCTGACATATAGCATCATGGCTCACTATCTTGCCGTCGTCGAACACCTGGGAGAATCGATTGAAATGAGGTCATGAAGCCGTGGATTTTGCATTGGGGCGAGGCAATGTATGGTGGGCTGGTTAGGTCTAGGTAGGTCGAACAAAAAAGTGTCAACCGGTCTAGATGAGTTGTAACTCATGCCTAGGTACAAACCACTTACCACCGGATTCGATTTAGTTTCGTAATGGAATGGGGGGACTACCACTTCGGGGGCAATACAGTGAATTGTTTAATTAACTTAGCGGTTAGAGATCTTCTAGAAAGTTTCGGGCAGTCAAGAAGACTAGACTGGTCCTGAAACACTGTTCAGAGTCATTGATGCACATAATTAGAGGTTAATTATCAAGTTCCAGTCAGCAAAAAAAGACTAAGAATAAAGTGAAGCTGTCGTAATCCGTCCAATGATGGGGATGTTAACAAGCACTTGCCCCGCAGAAGGCTGCGCCTGGATTGTTGGTTTTGGCTGGTTCATGATTGGGCGTAAGCATGCCTCACAGTTTCTCAGTTTCCCGAGTTCCTAACTGTCATTTTTATCTCTCGTATCGATATTGCCAACTTCGACGAACAACCAGCTGAAAGACGAACAAAATGACAGTTATATCGCTGTGGGGCGCAATTTTGAAGGGATTAGGATTTAGCGTTATTGCCTATTTTCTGTTCCTTGGGCTGCTCACCGTCCCCTGGTTCCAAGACCAAGCAATCTATCTTCATAGCGTGAAGCTCACCTGGTTTCAAGATCTTAGTGTGCCGGAGCATTGGGGCTTTCTCCGACATCAGGCCACGCTGTTCACGCTCGACACGCCAGATGGCGAGACCCTCCATGCCTAGCACATACTTCCGCTCGGGTTGTACCATCAGCACGAAGATACTCTCATCCAGGAACCCGATGGGATAACTTCGGACATCAAACAGAGGAGTGCATTCAAACTCCTACGAGATGACCCAACAGCCCTCCTCGTACTATACTTCCACGGTGCCGCGGGGACTCTGGGATCAGGTTGGCGGCCGGCCAGCTACCGCGCTATGTACGCCGGTGCCCCAGACAAAATCCACACTGTGGCCATCGACTATCGAGGGTTTGGGTCCAGCACAGGGGCACCTTCAGAGGAGGGTCTTTTGACTGACGCCATTACCGTCGTGGAGTGGGCTATGCATGAGGCTGGGATATCGCCTTCGAGGGTCGTTATTTTCGGCCAGTCCATGGGAACCGCAGTGTCCATCGCCCTGGCCGACTACTATGCCGCTCTGCCAGATCCAATACTCTTTTCCGGCATGGTGCTGGTTGCGCCATTCGCTGATGTCGAGCTTCTGACAGCAACATACCGCATTGCTGGCACCATCCCACTCCTTGGCCCACTTTCACCCTTCCCGAGGCTCCTAGCATTCTTCAACACATTCATCCAGAGCAAATGGTCTAATAAGGACAAGTTGGCATCGTTTGTACGTGCCTGTGAGCGCATACCGGGCAACGACAGGAAATATCATGTCGCCATTATCCACGCTGAGGACGACTATGACATCCCTTGGTCCCACAGTGACCGACTATTCTGGCATGCTGTGAACGCTTCGCGGCCGCAGGGCATTGGGTTTGAGGATTGGGAGGAGGAAAAGGAGCAAATTAAGAAGCCACTCGGCCCAACCGGGTGGGTCGCTGAGCACCGGACGGAAAAGGGGATTATGAAGGAACAGATCACAAAATGGGGGTTGCATGATATGATCATGTCGTATCCCGCAGTAAGCTTAGCTGTCCTGCAAGCTTTTACGGCTCGGAATATGGGGATTGTACAGCCACATGGAGAATGATGAAGGAAACACGACTAGAAACGATATTGATGTAAGAAAATCGGGATTAAGTAAATGAGGAAACACGCCAGTTTCATGTTTGTCTTACTACACCAATCAACAACTATTAATTACTCTCTCCACTGCTGCCACGGCGTCCGTGGTAGTCCCCCACCACTATCATGGTAGACATGCGGCGTGGACTGCTCCTCGGGATTGATCGGCCGCAACGTTGTCGCTGTCATATGCCCCGCTTCCTGGTATAGCCCTGTCGTCTGTGTCAACAACTCTGACCTGCCGTCTAACAAAAAAGCCCAATGCTTACCTTCCGAGGCTGATTCATGTGCAATCAAGTAGGGGTCCAATTCGACAACGCTGTACCAGTGCGATGCTGGTATGGCCAAATGCTGGCCCTGACCATTGACTCCGGGCGGGAGGTGTGTTTCATGGCTCTCCCCTATCCATTGACGTTAGCGAGGCTTGATTCATCAACCGGGGGCGCGACACCTGGAAACTCACAAATAAAAATATAGCAAAACTCGGTCACAGTCGGGACCCAGGTCACTAGTGCCAAGACCTGGCCGAAACTCCAAGCGTTCTCTGAGTCGGAACTGCCGGCGTTGTGGAGGATCTTGGATCTTAGGGCAAAGAAGCAGAAAAGAATGGCCCACATTGTCCCACAGATGGCCCACGCAACACCGAACCTCCAGAGGGGTCGAGAGCCACGGATCCAGCGACTATTTGCCACAACGGGAATGCCAAAGCCCGTCGCCAGAAAGGCCGTGATAAACATCCAAACCGCGGGCGCAACGAGAATAATGGCCTTGAACTCTTCGGCACTCTGCCAGTAAACCGGGCCGCCACGTACGTTGCAGGGATCGTAGGCAGTGTCATTTTGACGGTCGTTGTAGTCTGGGTTTCCCCGTGGCGAGAGAAATGTTAGAACGATGCTGAGGATCCAAATCACGATCAGCACTATTCGCCGCATCCACACTTGCAACCCGTCTTTCGTCAGCCCGCCCTGGCTGCCCATACCCGGAGTCGTCAATGAGTATAGTAACAGCACGGGGAGCACGGAGAAGAACGAGGCTCGGAATGAGAGAAGCATGTCGTAGATGGCGCTGGTATGGTAAGGAAGGTCTGAAGTATCAGGGAGAACCGCTTGATTGCCCATGCCGCTGACGCATAAGTACAGTGAAGCGCAAAGCATGGCGGTGCTAATAAGCATTGTGGAAGATAGGAAAGAGTTGAGGGAGCCCCGGAAAGAATCGATGGTACGTTGGGCAAGAGACACCCTCTTTGAACCGACATGTATCGCGTGGGCGTCACTTTTCGCACCGGGATGCGTTGATGAAGGCCCCTCGCCCATCCTGGACCGTAAGGACTGACGAATATGCCACGCAGTGAATGCTGCCAAGAAGGTGGTTGACAACGCTGCTTCGATGATATACGAGATAAAGACCTGGAAGTTAATCAGATGTGGCTACGTTTCAGTTAACCACCGGTTGCTTAACTTACACCGATCCCGATTAAATCCGGATTTCCTTGCATTGCCATAGCCTGGCAATACTCGGTAGTGCAATTGAGCACGGGGTATAACAATGCATTGGTAAAGAACTCCGAGGTCAAGTTCCATGGGCCATAAGTGACCGATGCTGGCTGAGCATAGGAGTTAAAAATGTACCAGTCTAGAATCTGACTGTGATACTCCCGAAGCGTCGTGTTGTTTGGAATGGTCGCATTGAGGGGAAGCGCTGCGGTGAAGAGCTCAATACTCGTGGTAAAGGCCGGACCGATGGAGTCGCCTGGGCTCGAGGGGTTTGGTGTCAGGACGACGCCCAGCCAGCTGCCCCAGACTTTACAGTCGCTAGAAAAGTTCATTTGATCCCATGGCGGGAATTGCATGAAGTTGACTCCGTCCGACATGACGAGCGAGGACGATTGCGTTGCGAGTACGGCCCCGGTACAATGGTATGTAAATGAGAGGCGAAGATAAATCATTAATCATGAAGGGGGCTTGGCAACGGTGCTGACGATTGGTGGGGCCTTCTGGGCTGCAGGATTCGTCCAGCTTCCTGAGGGATCGTGGGGTGTAACCTTCCTGGCACCCGGATCAGTCCAGGGCTGATTAGACATCACGAACGAGAGCCCGCACTTGGCCCTCAACAATATATACCTGTGAGCTGTTTTACGAGTTTACAGAGACAATTATGTACCTGTACGAATAATTAATAGAGATCTTCGGGCATTTCTCACGGCGACATGGGCTGGCGAAACCGTGAAACTAATACAATATGCATGTGATTATAGACTTGACGTTCCCGTTTACTGGCACATATTTTTTGTGGCATTCCTGACTCTCCCTGACTCTAGCTCAATACTTCGTCAAAGATTGTTTGCGTTTGGGGCGGTTGAGCCGGAATTGAGCTGTTGCCAGGTGCATTTCCGTAATTACCCTCTGCGGATTCTATCTCGTTGGTAAATCCTGTTGAATGTGGTTTTTCATCTTCTACGCGGGATTCTTTATCAGATGGACTCACAGGTAATTAATCCAAACCAGCGGTTTGTCAATACAACGAGTGTTTCACGGGCCGAGGAGGTTTCATCACAGTGTACCCATCAATTAATTACATGGCAAGACCGGTCAGCTAACTGTCCGAAGCATGGTAAAAATCTTTCACACTCTCCGTCATATAGATAACTATGAAGCCCGACATGTTCTCCATGTTTGGTAGCGTTGAAACCTGCGTGTCAACGACTGGACGCACAGAAACACTCGTCAAGCAAAGGTTGGGGCGATAGGCGAGCAAGGAAAGCCAGTGTTGGGTGGGGCTTGCCCTCTGCCTGAGATACAAATGAGCCCGGGAGGTTGATGGTGCGCAATGCGGCGTGTAATGGTGTCCAGGTTAAGGGATGGAAATCGTTGTTGTCGTACTGGCAGACTCTGTCGCTAGATTTTGCACGCAGACCTGGCGGTGCACTTCCCCGGTGAGGCTGGCGAAGAGGGCTGTGTTGCAGGTTGTTACGGAGCCATCGAGCCAGGAATTCAAGAGTTGTAGCTCGGAAACGGTAATCCCGAAGTCGCTAGAAACGGTGGTGCAGTCTGTGTATTCGCTATCGTAGCCGCTAACTTGTGTGTAGCAGCTGCAGGATGAAACTGTACCTGCGGGGATGATGGACGGGTTGGGGGTGAAGCAATGGGCAGAGTCGAAGGGAGGGGGGGCTATTTCTGATCGCAGGCTTATTGTCAGCGGAGGTCTATCCATAAGGGGAGAGAGCCGACTGAAAAATGGAAAGATACTCATGGCCTGGGTCGACGGAGCCGTTTCGTACGCAGTAGCTGTAACCTGCGTTGAGAGTGCAGGGGTCTTGATTTGCATCCAGGCTTGGATTCCAATCCAGCAGCTGGGACAACGTAATCCTGTTGGTAGCAGCTACCTAAAAACAACGATTGGAAATCTCAAGGTTCAACGGGATTTGGGGCTGAAACACGCTATCGCGGATGGTCGTGTCAACGTAGTTTGTGTAGTTCGTGCATACGGTACCCGTCGCGGGCACCGCGGCGCTAGGAACGGCGACATCGGGAATTGGGAGGCCATCCGGGCGGCTCAGGCAGATGTACTGGCCCACTAGATGGCGGAGGTTGGATCAGACGCTGTTGATGTTTGGGTTCCAGGCCACGAACATGCTGGGGCTTACCGAGACACCTGCTGAGGCAATGATTCCGTCCCACGTGTCCCCTTCTTGTACTAGGTATATTCGGCATTGGCCCACCAGGCACAACCTAGCACCGGCTGGCAGCGACGAGCACGCGCGCTTCAGACCGCTGGGCCCATACACGGCAAACGTGCTGACGTTTTGAGACGCCGCGACACTCTCACAGGTGTCGCCGGCTTGGATTGTATAGATGGTCACACATCCCGGATCAAGCGCTGCTGTTGGCGAAGCGGATGCTGCTGTGGGCGATCCTATTCTGGCGGCGACGTATGATGCTGGCGATGTAAAGGCATAACCCGACTTGGAGCAAGACGACGTAACCGAAACAAACGCGGAGGCAAACGCTTCGTCGTACCCAAAGGGAGAGTTGAGCTGTTGCTGCATGATACCCAGCATGCAGTCGGAACATTGCTGGTCGTCCGTGAGCTTGCTTGACGGCTGGTTCAGCCACTCAAGAAACAACACATCGCAGTACTGCTGTGTAATCCTATATCTCATGTCAGCTTATCTTCTCCCAGAGGGGTATTTACGGTGGGAACACTCACGCATCCCGACGACAATTTAGACCATACGTGTAGATAAGCAGGTCTACTATGAACGTCATCGGGAGGCTGCCGTATTCCGCAGGCATCACATCGGTAGGAAGTATGCATGCTGACTGAATCGCCGTCTTTGCATCGTTGAGGGAGTCGAGACAATTCGTCGTGCAGAGGTCTGTGAGATGTTCAACAGGCAAGCGTGGCGTGTTGCTAATTACCCCGTAGATTAGCTCACACACGATCAACATTCAGGTTTTGAAGGACTCACTTCTCTGCCGAGAAAGCGAGGATTTTCGGGCACGCCACGGTAGTATTCACTGCCGTTAGGCATGCTGTACTGAGATTCGGCCAGTTGTCCCGAGGGTAATCCGCGAAACTCTGCGCAAATGCTGCAGCAAGAAGGGTAACGAACACCCATGTATTGAGCATCACAATTTGGAATTGGCCTGGCATGCTGGAATTGGAAGCAAGCGTGCCCGGAGCGCGTGTCCAGCAACAAAGGGGCAGAGAATAATCAATACTGCAGAACTGAACGCGAGATGGTCGGTCACATTCAGGACGAGTCGGGGGGAGACGCCTTCGAAAATGAAGAAGCGAGGACGGAGCGGATCCGAGGAGACTGGTGATTCAATATTGGGGGGCAATACAAGACGGTTGGACATCGAGGAGACGGAAGGGGCATCCAGCGTTGCACTCGCAGCAACGTTATCTTTGTGGTTTTTCTGTTGGCACTAAACACCGCTGATGGGGCGCACATGCAAGATCCATGTGTCCTGCGTCTGGTATCACAGCAAGGGAAAATAGTCAATGGGCGAGACCAACATCCAATGCTGAACCTTGACACGCACGCGGTATTCAGCTGAACTGATGAAGAGACAGGGACACCCGTGCCGCTGAAGAGATTTACCCGAGGGCACCAAGTAGGGTTCTCCACACAGGGTAAACCCTTCACGTCCCAGCCCAACAGGTGATCGGAGATACTACTGTCCGAACAGAGCCGATAATGTGAGGGCCTTGTAATTATGCATGCAGTGACCGATTCATCGATATTGTTTGCGCCATTTATGAGAGTGGGCTGAAATGCAAGCGAGAGATCGGATGTCTTGTTGAAAGGAACGCAATATGGAGGGGGTTGCCACCGTTCGCCGACACCCTCTCTCGCTGGCTCTGCATCTTCTCGTTTGCAGACCTAGCCTGAACTCCTCTTCCTTATCTAAGACGACCTTTATTGCTTTTTGTCGATCACGATGGGCGCAGATGTACTTCTGATTTGGCTTTTGGCCTGTCTCTTGAGTGCTTTTCATGCCCTGGCCAACGCGCAAGCCGTCTTTGCCCACTTTATGGTGGGCAACACGGCCATGTACTCGGTGGCCGACTGGGAGGATGACATGGCAGATGCATCTGCCTCGCACATCGATGGCTTCGTGCTGAACATGGCACGTGGCGAGACAACCAACGGGGCCTCCCTGGCTAACGCCTTTACGGCGGTGAGCAATTTGGGGAATGACTTCAAACTATTCTTTAGCTTCGACTACGCCGGCAATGGGCTCTGGGACAAAGCCGATGTCATTGCCCTCGTCAACACCTACGCGCCCCACGCGGCTTACTACAAGCGCGGATCTCAACCCCTTGTCAGCACGTTTGAGGGCCCGGCAGCATCGGCAGACTGGCCAGACATCAAGTCGTCCCTCGGCGCAGGGCCGACCTGGGCAAAGGGCACAGCTGACGGGTTGTTGAGTTGGGCCGCGTGGCCAGAGGGTGCCAAGAGCATGATCACCTTTACGGATAACTCGTACCGGGACGTTCTCGGCAGCGCCCCCTACATGATGCTCGTGTCGCCTTGGTTCTACACCAATATGCCTGGGTTTCGCAAGAACTGGCTCTGGCGTGGCGATGAGCTGTGGTTTGACCGTTGGGTGCATGTGATGACGTAGCAGCCAGACTACATCCAGATCATCTCGTGGAACGACTACGGTGAGAGCCACCACACCACATACGGCCGCTACGAAGCAACGCCTATAACGCTTTTGATGCCGCCCATGGTCGAACTCCTCTGAACTATGCGCTGAACAAACCCCACGACGGATGGCGAGCCTTCGTACCATTCCTCATTGACATGGCTAAGACCAACACCACGTCCTTCGACCAAGAGAATGTGGTGGCCTGGTACCGTGAGCAGCCAGCCTCGGCATGTGGAACCGGAGGGACGACAGGCAACACAGCCAGTTAGCTGAAAAATGTATATACCCGCCAGGCGCACTGGCCCAAGATCGCCTTTTCTATGCAGCGCTTTTGGGGTCCCCGGCAACCGTCTCGGTTTCCATCGGCGGCCAGGTCGTTGCGGGCAACCCCATCACGACATCCTGCCCAGGCGGCATTACTAACTGGAACGCCAACGTCATCATCGGGTCTCCGCACTCCATCGCATCGGTTTCCCCACTCTCCCTGTCCGACTCCGTTTGCACAGGGGGCTTCGGCGACCCCCAAGTACCTCGACCTCTGCAAGTTCGCATGCAAGTACGGTTACTGCCCGTCCGTGTGCACCTGCACATCATTGGGCGCGGCCATCGCCAAACCAACCGCACTCGGCGTCAACGGGTGCCCCAAGCCCGGCGTCGACAGTACTCACCTCGGGTTGTGTTCCCTTTAGCCGCAACTATGGGTACTGTCCGGCCAGCCTTTGCCAGATATATCCCGCGGACCACACGTGCACAGCGCCAAATCCCACGGCGCCTCCCGTTCCAGTGTGTGTCTCTGGCATGACCGACGGCCCCTTCAGCGACTTGTGTAGCTTTTCCTGTCATCACGGCTTCTGCCCACCTGAGATCTGTACTTGTACACGCGCCGGGTTGTTTGGCCCGCTGGCTCCGGCACTAACAAGTATGGTTGGGGGATCCATTGGCAGCGGGACCGATTATGGACTGTGTCAGTGGACCTGTGCACACGGCAATTGCCCGTCGGACCTGTGCACTTGTTCAGGCAGCGGCTGTTCCGATGATGGCGGTCTCCCGGGCAGCATCGCCTTTTCGTTTAGCAACCCCACTCAGTTCGCTATATCCCAGCTGGTGCAGATGGGAGGGATGGGAGGTGGCATTCCCAATGGTCTGACGCACATCTGGATGGAACCCGTGGGGGAAACATATCCGCTCGGGAACCCCGGCACAGGGTACATCGGAGAGGTCGGGCCAGGCGAGGAGTATCAAGGGGCGCTGGGAGGACCCGCTTGCCGCGTAACGGATTGTCTTGACCAGGCCAACCCTCTCCACGCGGGGTGCCAGGCCGGGGAGGTCAAACTGGGCTTGGATAAAGATGGATGCTTGAGGTACATGTCCGGACGCTCCATCTGTTGCCCGGCCTCTGAGTCCATCACAACATGCACGTGGCGTGATCCCGGAGGATCCAACTGCAATGGCCAATGTCAGACGGGTGAGACGCAAATCTGGGCCTCGAAATTGGGTGACGGCGGGACCACTTCTGGCCCTGTTGACGGTGCAGGGCTCTCCTGCGGCTGAGGGACCAAGGCGTTTTGTTGCGGCACCATAGAGTATGCCGCTGCGAAACGGGGATGTCGTTGGTCGCCGTGTGGTGCTCGATCAGCTTGCGATCCGGACACTGAGGTGACCCTATTGAGCCGCACCGTGAACGGGTGGTGCTGGCCCGGGTACAGGTCCCAGAACTATTGCTGCCCGAAGCCGGCCGCGCTCAAGGAATGCCGCTGGTCGGACTGCGGAACAAACTGCAAGGAGGGTGAGATCACCATTGACCGCGACACCCATGGAGACTACAGTAGCGGGTGTTGGTGGTTTAAGAAAAGAGCTGTATGTTGCAAGGTGGACTTGCCTAGCCCTCCTGCCTTGGCCGTTTGTCATGTGGAAGACCCGTACGGATGCGAGGACCCGGGAGAGTGTCCGGACACTTGGGACGATGGCGACCACGAGAATGACGGTCTTCTAACGAAGCGTTCCCCAAGGAAATTTAAGAGCGACACACTGCCCAGCCTCATTCTTGAGTCTCAAAGTTATCCGGCACGAGGCAGGTTGATCCCCAAGATGATTGGCAAGTACGGGGAGGTTGTTTGGTTTGCGGTGTCGACATGGTGTGACAGCGTGAAGATTATTCGGCGTGCATCGGCCGCCGTGGCTACTATACCGAAGGCTCTCGACGCCGAGCACCCTATTGACGTGAGCTTTTTGTGGTCCTTTGTTCCTTGTCCCTTAATTGCTCCTGAGATGCACACCCCGGGCCAAACACTAATTACCCATGATCAACGCAGCCCTCTCAAAAGCTGCAACTCATTATATCCTTCATTGAAACCTGTGTCACCGGAGTTTTCCCTGGTGGGAGACAATCGTCCATTGCCAAGATCCCAGCTACATGGTTCAGCACCGTTTTCAATGCAGAGGGCATACTTTCGGTAACCCTTCCTAGGGTCACTTCATCGTCCCCCGAAATTACAAGTCCAGTGCAGCGTATGTTCGAGGCTTTCGGCTCCTATACGAATGTTGACCCGTTCCTGCTCGCGGAAAAGACCATGAATCAAATTAAGGGTGCTTTTGCCGGCTTCGGCCCCGCGATTGCGATGGAAAATCTGGACGAGGTCTTTTATGACAGCATCGGCGGTGACACCACTGCGATCAGAGAACATGCGCGGCAAAAATGGATGACATATATCCAGAAGGTTTGTCATCATCATCCATTCTGGCCTTCCTACTGTCATTAACCCTAAGCTTTCTCTGCTTGGTGTTTCCTGTCCTCTGAATGTGTGCTAACGAATTAACCTTCCAACGGCTCATAGTTAGTCTATCGCCCTTTTTGGGTATCTTAAACACACAGAGTTTCAGAGTCACTTGGACGCCGTGGTAAGCAACGTCCGAACCCAACTTGCTCTCACTGAGCAAAACACTTCCGGCGGGGGTGGTCTTGTTGCACACTGGGACGAATTCTGGTACGTTCAGAAGGAGGAGATGTCCAAGTTTGCCCAGCAGCAGGTTCGTGACCAGATCATGCGTTTGTCCTATCTGGTGTCTCGGACAAGGCCGGCCAATACAATGGTGTGGACAGTGTTGTTGGACACCTGATACGAAGAGACGGGCGATATGAGCTGGCCGTGAGGCGGCGAGAGTGACACACATGTTATAACACAGACATCCGTCTCTCGTCATAGTTCTGCTCTTTGGTGTCATACCACCACACCTTTCCTTGGATACAGGCTCAAGAATAAGTAGCATGTTCATGAAATATTGACACAATTATTTTGCACACGGTTCGATAACAAATGAGCCCCGAAGTTTGCGATTGAACATTGCTAGTACATACAAATACATCTTTCCATCAATATCAGTGGTGCTAATTATGACATCGATTCTGTTTATGCTCTCCAATGCAGGTATATTGTAAAAAAGTGTGAAATTAAGATACTACCGAGAAATTGCAAGTGACCTTTGCCAAACTTAGATGTCGATGATCCCGTCTTCAACAGGAAGGATGTACCATGAGTTTGCCGGTAGGAGCTGTGCATACAGCTTGACCAGAGCATCCACCCTCACCCTTTTCCTGACATCTTGCAACTCCCGCTCCCTGTCGTCCTCATCTAACCCCTCTTCTTCCTCTTCAGCACCCTCTTCATTCTGCCCCCGCCCTTCATCAGCCCCCCTCATTAAAATCTTGACGGTATAACCGCCTTCTTCCTTCGCTTTCCCCTCATCAACCACACTCTCCAAACTCTCTTCATCGACACACAGGAAGAAATCATACCTTGCCCCCCCAAACCCCGTAACTCCATCACCAAAAAGACTCCCCGCTCTATCTTTCTCCCCCTCATCCCCGTGTAGCCAGTCCTCAAACCGTTTCTGGGCTACCTCAAGACTTGCATTGTTCAATGTGGCTGCATCCTCAACGACTGTCCAAGCAGCCTTGTCATAGAGGTGTAGCATCGCACGCTGCTCAAGGTAATCGTGGGTATCTTCCTTGATAAATTGAACAAACTTGTCCCATTTTGCTTGCGAGGAGTAGGTGCCGCGAATAATGACAAAACCCCAGTGCTGCAGACGCCAGTGGACGAGGAAATCAAGTATTGGTAAGACCCCTTTGTTTGAGAAGGCATCGAGAAGGCCCGTTTTTCCTGCTTGGTAACTTGTTGTTCTTTGGGTTGTTGATTTCAAGGGAGACGGGGGGTAGAAAATGCGGGGGGAGAAATAGAAGGGTCTGGCGGAGGTACCTGGAAATGTTAGGGGACCCCTCAGTCCGAAAATGGACCAATTAAAAAAATGATAGAGGCGTGACCTCTCTCAGGAGCTTAGGCCCTTTTACACTCAGGTACATAGGTAGATACATAGTCACTCTGGTGAGGGCTCTTTGCGCATTCCTCGTACGACGCGGCCAGCACCATCCTCTTTCATCGCACTATAGGAAATTGGGGAACGAATATAATTTGGTATTTACCAGGATTGTGAGTATCTTTGCAGCCCCTCATGATGGGACGAGGCTTAATTGAGTCAACTCCACGTCTACCGCCTCGCCGTTACCAGCACCTTTCACTTCTTCGTCCTTCTTGTCACCATGAACATTGTCGCCATTCCCTTCCTTGGTCCCTTTGTTCTTGAGCTGTTGAACCCCACTGGCCACATCCTGATACCATTCCTCAGCGTCCCTTGCCCCATCTTCAACATTGTCTTGAGCCTGGTTCCTGTCATTGCCACCACCCCCAATGCCTTTATCATCTGTATCGTCCTCGACAGTCGCATCAGCGCGGCCATCTATATCGTCCTCGTCGACATCGTCTTCGTCTTTGTCAGCACACTCGGCCGAAATACCTGAGCCAACAACCTCCCAGCTGTAGTGTGATGACGGAGCTGGTAGAACCATCGGCGTGACAGACCACACCATCTCCCACAACGACTCCAGCAAACCGTTGGCTACCACGCTCCGAAAGCCTAACAGCTTCGCTAGGACCATCAGAATGATCACCTCTGCCAATCCCGCCAGCCAACCGCGATCTCCAAAACGAAACTTGAACAACATGCATGCCAGAATCGCCAGCGCTTCCCTCCAAAATCGCACCAGCCATCCCGACCCAACACGCACGTCGTACCACACCCATTCCAGCCAATGCACGTACACAAAGCGATCCCACCGTCCCAGGAGCGCAGCAAGATCCTTCGGCGGATCGTCAAGTCCCTTCCTCCACCCCATCAGACGGTCGTCCCAGTGGTGTTTCACCTCTAGCTTCTCGCCCAATGTTGACCGCCACGGCCCCGCCTTACAGAACCGGACCCAGCGCTTAACAACATGGCATGCAATATCGCGATCGACCTTGAAATACTCTTTGTGCCGCTGCCCGCAGCAGCAGTTAAAAGTGTACTGCAGGTGCTGCAACTCGGCGTGGGCGAGCTTCTCCACAGTCGTGTAATACCGCTCAATCTGCGGATGGGGCATGTCGATGCTGACGCGGTCAAAGCGGATGCAGCGGCATTGGTGCTCAATCTGCCGCACCCGCCTCTCGACAAACTTAGTCGTGTGCCCGATCTTAACGATCTGCTCCCCTTCATGAACGGCAGTCAGGACGTAGACGAAGGCGCTGCTTCCCGGTTTGCTGGCTACAGCGGACCGCCTGATCAAGTTTTCGATGGCGACGTCGGTCGTGCGAAAGAGTTGAGGTATTCGTAAAGGAAAGGGGTTGTTTGCCGAGCGGGTCTCAGCCGCTGGACGAGCAAAGTGTAACCGAGGTTTTGGCCGACTGCTTGGAGTGGACGGCTTGGGCGGAGCTGAGGCCCGTCGCTTGGCTACAGAAACAGATGGTGACTCGACTTCCGGAGAAGCAATGTCGATCGCTGCATCCTGTAATACTGTTACGGTAGGTGCTGAATGATGTAAGACTGGAACTGGGCGATATTTCGGTATCGGAGTTTGTGGAGAAGAAGACTGAGCGCGTGAACCTTGAGGTTTACATATTCTCTTCGGCGTGAGCGGTTTGAGGGGGTTGGCTTGTTGACCGGTCCTTCTCTCCGAAGGAGATGAAAGGATCGCAGGTTCGTCTTCACCGGCCAGCCGCTGTGTTTTGGGCTTTCGCTTCGGTTCTGGCGACATCATCGAACGTTTGTGAGTAGGTAACTTACTAGTGGAAGTTGAAGTACATAAGAACGAGAAACTCGGCCTTCAGCCGGGATTTAGTACCTCGGTATTTATAAATCCGGAGGTTGGAGGCAACACGACGACCAACAGGGCCTTGGCAGGCGCTTAAGGTGCCAGGGACTGAGGTGAAACTGTTACAGCCCTGCGGCCTATTAGACGAGGCCTCCCACCTCGCAAGATTTTTACATGCAGGTGAATATGCGACCCTTGTATCGCACAGCCACACATAACTGATCTCTCTCACGACATGCTTCAGGCTATACAAGCGGCAAGGCAGAATTGGAGGTTGGGCTTGCCCAATGGCTTCTGTGTAGCCGCGCCCTTCAATATCCTGCAGAGTCAACAGTGCACCTTTAGTGCCCACACGGCTCAATTATTACAGCACAACTCAGGACTTTGGACCAACTTTTCGTTGGCTCGGCATAGGAATGACTTTAGCTGCCGTCTTTCTAGCATTGTTCTTCCTAGCCACTTGAAGTCAACGAACCGCTTCTGTTAAGCATAGATTAAGGCATGTTGTATCAGGGGTTATCCATTCGCCGGCGGCAAAACTGGCACCCAGGGTGAAGATATCTCCGGTTGAGCTGCGTCGCGGGGCTGCGGTAGCCGCGCGCCGACTGTGGAGCTAGACCAGGTCTCCCACCCCCTTCCCACCCTACATCGTCAGTTGACTTGAGCAATACAGAGCCTGAACCTGCCGCGGGGGAGGGCTGCAACCTCGTCTTCCAGTGGCTTAACGATCTGTATGTACATGCCGCTAAGTGTTTCTGCGTCCCCGAGGCTGACCCTCTCACCTGACGGTACCCACGGCACATCTAGACACGTGCTCACAGCTCTCATGTACATGGCTATACATCCATCCATTGCCCTCCACACACGGCGGGCAACCAGCAGTTCGGCGTTCGGAGTCGGCTCGCCGCCGTCAAGGTCGTTTGCTGTATAAAACTTCTCCAGTGGTGCCCAGCAGTTGAGCTCAATCAACAAGTTGCCCAGTTTCAAGAGACCAGGATGGCGGTGGAAGCGACCCAAGTCGACTGGCTCGGACCCGGGGGGAATCGTTCAAATGGGGTACTGATGAATGGTCTAAGAAGGTCGATGTCGTTATCGTCCTTGTAGAAGAACCTCATCCGGCCCTTATCCCATTGGTCACTGAGCCAAGGACTTTCATGGAGCTGCAGGAGAGACCGAGCAAAGACTAGGGCAAGCCGACGGCGACTGGCCAGTGGTGGATTCGGGTAGCGCTCCAACATCCCAGCGAACGATATACTTGGCACGGCGATTCTGTACCGGAGTATCGGCTCGTTTGACCGAAGACGCCAGGTTGTCAGCGTATTGGGGGCGTCTTCATATTCGACGAGGAGATTGAGGCAGAATTTCGTGCTAGCTTTAGGCTGGGTGACATCGCAGATTGTACTTAGCTCAACGCCTTCGAGCCTCTTTTTCAGCCCCGCGCTGTGCTCGCAGAGGTGGTCAGTCACTAGTCTTGGTCACTTCAGAAAGCAAGCCGGTAATTAGATACCTTGTTCGCTTGATGGCAATGACTCCCTCACAGTACCGCTCACTTGGATGACTCGAATGCAACACGAGGGGGTTGAAAGCGACACCCTCACTGGCGTTGAAATCGAAACCTTCAGGGCTTCTCAAGGAGAAACACGCCTCGTGCCTAGTCCCGCAACTGCAAATCCAGCGGTGAGCTAGCGCGGTAAAGAGACTCATCGACATGACCCTGAGAGGGGTGTGAAGGTCTTTCTGGGCCGTGGAGACGGAAATATTGCGGGCGGTATTGTTGCACGCTCTCTCGACGACCTTGCCCAGCCGTTTATCCCAGGTGTTGAGGTTTCGAAGGCAGGTATCGTGATCTGATGTTTTTTTCTAAAACCTAATCCTACCCTAAAGGCGGCTCTTCGTCTCCCCAGAATCAATATCGTGCTGGAGTTTCTGCAGTTTGAGAAACATGGCTGTTTGGCCCTGTAGAAAGCGTCAGCAACATCAACGACGTCCCGCGGTGTAGAGCAGGAGTTTTCACCATGTCGGCTTTTGTCATTTTCAAGGAGTTGTCGTCGATCAATTTATCCAGCAAATTTAGAACTTTCTTCATGATGACGTCGAAGTCGTGCTGGTCGTCGATGGATACCAGTAGCTCAGAAAAGGACCTTGCTACCTCTGGATCCTTGTTCCAGTCACTCGATCCTTCTTGTCGCAGTATCTCTGCCCTTTTCTCCTCAGAAAGATTTGGAAGATGCTGAAAAAGGGTTGTGATGTGACTTTTGAGCTCCGACGCCTCCCAGTAGAAGGAGGTGTAGAAGTCACATAGCTTCTCATCGTAGGGCGCGTGCGGGATGGCTTTCCGGAACGGCAAAACACCGAATATGACACCTGGTACTTCGAACCCCGACATTTCAATCAACCCAAAGAGGGTCGGAAGCAATAGTATAGGCCCTGGGGGACGATGGTTGAGGGAAAAGCAACTGCCAAAGCCGTCGGAGCGCAAATTCCCGACCTTGCTCTCGATAACAAGTTCACAAGGAGCAGGTAACACATGATTGGGGCCCGCCAACCGCCCCTCTCCCCCAATCATACAAGCTTGTAGCTGATGACTTGATCCACAATATGTGTGTATACCGGAATTCACCCCTCTCTCTTCGTCAAAGGCCGGCATCCTACTATACGAGTCCCATGTTTTTGATCTTCGGCAAACTCCTGGAGTTCTACTGTAATAAATATCCCTTCCTCTACACGGACTACCGTCATGTCTCACCTCTCGGACCTCGTTCTGCAGTGCAGCCAGCTACTGGACGCCGCCGTCCAATCCAGGCCGCAGCGAAAGCTGGATCCCGATCTTCTCGTCGAGCTAAGTAACCTCCTGACTCGTCTCCGCATCTGGGCCGGCTATGTCGGCGCATCTGCACCGGGACAGGCTTCTATCGACCATCGTCTCTGTGACGATGCCGACCTTACCGAATTACTTACGTCCCTGTTTCTCGCCCTCAAGCGCGACATAGAGTCTACGATCAATCCTCCCCTCTGCGAAGAGGAGGACATTGGATCAGGGGCTGAGGAGCGAGCAAGTTTCGATTCGTCCAGTTATTCGAGCACAACTTCTTCTCTAGAGCTGGATTCGGACGCCGAGGAAGCCACCCAGGTATCTAACCGCGCGAGTCACGGATACTACGTCCAGCGAGCTGCCAACATCACCGATAGACTCTATCGTCTCTCGGCCTCCCTAAAAAAGCCGGCGTCGTCGAGCGAAAATGATAAGGAGACTTCTCATCGAGCGGCCAGTGTGGGTTTGTGACGATCTGGATGGTGTTAGAGATCGCGCCCAATGCTACATGGACGCCCGGTTTGAGCATGCTTCCAACGTCCTGATCGAACGCCTTGTCTCTGCTGCGGAATTCCGACGATTGAAGTTTGCTATAGGAGGCGCCATCAGGGTGAACTTGCGCAAGGGTACGAGGCTTCCACAGCGAGAGAAGGCAGCAATCTCCAAGTTCAATCTGCCAGCACTTCCGCCCTTGCCCAGACCGGCGGGTCTCCTTCTCAGGGGCCACAGAATAACGACACTCGGATGCCGTCCGTCCACCTAGGCCCTCAAATCGAGGGACTTTCGGGAATCATCCCTTCTTCGGTCGATCCCCAACAACTGCGAAATCATGCAAGAACCTCACCGTCATCCAAAGTCGCACAGCCTGCCTTTGCAAGGAAAAAACAGCTTGACGTTCTGCGGCCGGCAGGTCACGTAGACGAAGTAGCGGGGTTGGTTGAGTGCCCGTACTGCTTTCGGTGGATTAAGGTGGAGGAAACACAAGAACCCCGATGGACGTAAGTCGTTCTGACTCACTACGCCTTTGGGTATTTTCGAACTAACTCGTCGTGTGTTCGTTGAATAGCCGTCACATTCTCAACGACATAGACCCATATGTATGTCTGTTCGACACCTGTAAGGAGGGAGATGTCCTTTTCAGTTCACCTGAGGAATGGCTTGGTCATATGCAGTGGCGACATACGCTTGTCAGGGCATGTCAGGCGCCTGGGCACGAAAATCACAGGTACAATTATGAGTCGGACTTGGAAGCGCACCTCTGCACCGATCACGCCAAGGCCTTTACACAGATTCAGCGCCGTGAAATTCTCCAGAAGAGCGCGATACTGTCGCCAGACACCTTTGCGATCCTAACAGCTAGTATCAACGCGTCTCTGCCTGTCACCGACAGCCCTTCCCGCGGCCTGGCTAATCCTGCAAGCGATCACGAGCACCAATGCCCACTCTGTCTTCAATTGCCCCCCTTTCACGCCGACACGGACGGCAAGACTGTCGAAGATGGCATCCAAGATCATATTCTAGGCCACCTCGAAGCTATAGCCCTGATCTCACTACCAGCGTTGGAACAGACGGGGGATACTGAGAAGGGCACAAATATCCGTCAATTGATGGTGTATGATCTTAACTTCTCCCTCGATCAAGATGATGACCATCTCGGTCCGGTTGCGACCTCGCCACCCGAGGTAGCCAGGCCGGTCGCTGCGAGTGTAATTACACTAAAGGATGCAAAAAGGTTCTGTAAGAAGGAGCCTTCCGAGAAAGTGTTCATCTGGACCTGCTGCCACTGCTTGATGGACCACACAGGATCTAACCATATCCAATGTATCAACTGCCACCATGTCCTTGGCCTGGCTTGCTGTTACCGGCAGCTGATACGCTAGATCGTAGTTTTGGGAATTTGAGAGTAAGTCGGCCCCCCTGGATTTCGGCCACCCCACTTTTCGGCCACTTGGCAAACCA